TAATAGTTTTAATAAATTTTTTAATTAAAAATATATTTTCTTTTTATATAAATTAATAAATAAAATCTTTTTATATTATTATTAATATATTCTTACAATTAATTAAAATAATAAAATTAATATTAAATTAACTAGAGTTAATTTAGTTTATTATCTAGTATCTTTAATAAAAATTAATAATTTTAATATTAAATATAGTTAATTTAAATTAAATATTTAATTTTTAATTTAATTATAATTAAATATAGAAATTTTATTAATATAGCTATAACCTAGCAGTTAAGTATAACTGACCCCATTAACCTAACCTAACCTGGCCAAATGCCACTCTAGTTACATTTGGTGCAAATTTGGGTAGATTGGATGGTGGATTTCCTCGATGTAAGGCAGTAGAGCAGAATGAAAGTTGGAAAGTAAAGGTTGAGTGTAGTTAAATATATGATGATCCTCGTCCTCCAACCTCGGGGAAGTTTCCTCTACTGAACCTCCGTTTGCCATCCAAGCGCCAGGTCTCCTCTTTCCGTCGCTTCGCCATTCAACGCTATCCACGCTGCGAGGTCTCGCCCTCCTACCGCTGGAGACCGCTTTCAGCTTATACGCCTCACCAGTCGGCTGCCTCCCACAACATGAAGAAAAAAAAATTATAGCCGAATCTAGTGCTTATCGAACCCGCTTTCTTCTGCCGCCTTCAGAGCGATGTCAACGGCCTGACTAATCGGCATGTTAAGCGGTTGGCCGTGCCCGGGAATAATTATGTCGGCATCGACTGATTTGAGCACTTTGAGAGCCGAAAGTGCTTCGGGAATTGAGTGGTTAAAGAACCAAGGACATGGCTGTGGGCCCTTGATCGTCGAGCATGCATGACCGGTGACCAGGCAGTCGCCAGTAATCACAGTGCGCGCTCCCGGTACGTAGAAGGCGCTGTGCCCAGAAGTATGACCATGCGTGGCGATCGCAACCGGTCGACCCGGGACATCCAGTTGCCCTGAGGCAACCGGCTGTACGTCGGTGACGGTGATGTCGGTATCGGCACCCACTTTAAGCACCCGCTCCCACCAGTCGAGGGTCTGTGGCATTGGGCCTTTCATAATGTCGGCCTCGGCCGCTTGCTCAAGGTAGTAGCGGGCGGCATGACGGATCTCAATCGGGTCGGAGTAGATGGGCACATTCAGCCGGTCATGAAATGACTGCACCGCGCCAAGGTGGTCGATATGGGCGTGGGTCAATAGAATCGCGCGCACGTCCTCTGGTCGGTTACCAATCGACCTGATCACGTTCTCTATCATAGAGACATCGCCGGGCCATCCACCATCAATGAGGGTCAAGTCGGACCCCTCGCGGAGCACGGTGACGTTGACGTCCGTGACGCTAATGCAAAAGACGTTGGGAGCTACTTCGGTCATTTCGTACTTCCTTCTTGACAGCAAGGATAAAGCTGGTCCGAATTTGTGCATTAATGTCCGCAATATGCTTGTTCCCTTAACAGAGATTGGTGGGGGAAGAAGCCATGTATCGTGACGTAATGTTTAATAGTCAACTAGTTGTCAATGTGGCGGTAGTTAATCTACACGTCATATATAAAATCATATAATCTGAATATAAGGAAGGCCAACAAGGGGTTGAGAAGACCTATTAAATCTTTCTAAAGGCATTTAATTGCAACAGGTTAACCTCCCTGTATTAGAATTACACATCGCGTGTTTTTAACGGCAATATTTGCATACGTTTCGACATTAAACCGTAGCATCTCCCTACTTTTCCAGTGTCATTGCCATGGCTCTTAAGACGCTAGAGCTATTCAAAGATACCCTTGAGAAGTGGATATCAGGATTTTGCCGGCTCCATCTTCCAATGTTGGCAACTTGATTCATCACCATCATATTCTCCTTCCAGTTTACGTTGAAACCTCCAGTTAGCTTCCTCCCATAAAGCTGTTAGTTATTGCTAACGCTATCTTCTGCCATTATCGCCGGCCCAACACGCGAGCTGCGCGTTGTAATCTAAGCGTTCTCCCAGCTGGTGGCGTTCTTATCCAGGTCGATGTTAAGTGTTTCGAGGAAGCGGGCTGTCATCATATAGTGCCCGACCAGCAAAGTCACTGTAGCCAGGCCCTGCTCTCCCAGATTGGCCAGGGCCAAGTCGAAGGTGTCCGTAGCTTTTGGCTTCGCGACGACTTCGTCCACGAACTGCAGCATTGCCGCTTCCTGGTCGGTGAGTTTGCCATATTCTCCCGATTTAACGGCGATAACCTCCTTGTCGCCGACATGTACTAATTTTGCTATACCGATGTGCTGCATCCACTCGTAGGGACTATGGGTAAGTACGCCGACCCGCAGAATAGTCATTTCACGAAGCTTTGGCAGCAGCGGCGATCCTGATAAAGCCTTGCCCAAGTCCAAGTAACCATTGGCGATCTCCGGCGTTGTGCGCAGCAAACCGCGAACGAGGTTGGATGGGAACCGTTTGTATATATGCTCCTCAGTCTCAGTGCTAGTAGCTACGTCGATGAGAGGGATCCGAGCCATCACATCGCACTTCCAATGTTATTTGTTGCAAAAAGATGAGATAAGGTCCGGTGATCAAGAAGGACGATGCTTGAGGAGAACAACTGTGAAAAACCTGAGGAAACGTATATATGTATAGGAAGGAGGAGGGCAAGAATGTATTGGAGTGACGTCTCATAATATTTTCTCCGGGCGAGTCGATTGGGGTGAGTTGGGCTCGTCTTTTAAGAACTACGTATCTGGATCATGACGTCACACAGCCTTATAGGCTATAGAAATTAACTAAATTAACTCGTATAAACTATATGATAAGCTGGCTTCAAACTTTCTTATAAGAAAGGCCCATTCGATCACTGGTCGAGCCAATCGAAACCAGTCACCTTCCACGATCAAGCATCTAGGGGACTTCGCCCCCTTTGACTGATTGGTTAAGGAAAAATGGTTCTCATGGCGAGATTCAATGCTACTGGACATGCATTTGATTGGTGCGAGGTGACATTCTGTTATACTTTCGGGGTTAGAGTGGTATTTGAGTTGGGTTCGGGTTCAAAATCTAGAAACCGCTACCGACCCGAATACCACTCTAATCCCAAACACCATCACAAACATCTATAATCTACCATGATGCACTCTAAGCCCCTCTCTCCTCTAGCACCCTCCTCAACACCAGCTGTAACTCATTCACATACTTCGCTCCCAACATATCCGCATGCCTCCCTGCACACTGATGCACCACCATCCCCTTCTTCGACAACTTGTTCCACTGCCCCAAATACCTCTCTACCCAACAGACCCGATCATCCGTAACCGTCACCAACGGATCCACCGCAAACACATCCACCGGCACCTCCACACTCCCCCGGGGAGCATATCCCTTCGCGGCGCTCGAGAACCCCGCAATAACATCCGTAACATGTTTCAATCCCGCCCTATCCAATCTCAACACCTTCAATCTCTCCTTATCCGCCTCACCCAGAATCACATCCAGCGCGACCTCAGCATCCACATCCCGCAACTGCGGCATAAGCGCCACGTACTTCGGCTCGTCGATAAGTTCATAGAAATACCCGACCATCACCAGTCCCTCGTTCCAGGTTAGTCGACCAACTAAGTCCGCGATATCGGGCGGCCCGTCAAGCGCGCCCAGGAATCGCACTTCCTCACCGGCGGACTCAAGCCGTTTGACGATCTCGAAGGCTATGCTGCTGCCTAGCGAGTACCCGGCGATGGCGTACGGGCCGGAGGGCTGCGTGCGCCTCATGGCGGCCGCGTACGTGTCTGCCATCTCGGTGATGGTGGCAAAGAGGGACTCGCCGGGCTGTACGCCGCGGGAGCGGAAGGCGTAGATGGGACGCTCGTGGAAGGCTCGGGCTAGGTTGGTGAAGATGAGGACGTTGCCAGAGGCGGGGTGGACGAGCCATAAGGGGGCTTTGGGGCCGGAGAGTTGCAGGGGCACGACGGGATCATATTCATTGGTGGTGTCTGATACCAGAGAGAGGGCAGAGGTAGGGCTGGCTTGTTGCTTGGAGGCAAGGCGTCGGGCAAGACCGGTGACGGTTGGGTCCATGAGGAGGTCCGGGACGGTGAAGACAACCTCAAAAGTCTGCTGCAGATCCTGAGTGACGGTGTAGAAGTCGAGCGAGGAGAGACCTAGGCTGAAGAGGTTGGTAGTCACACTGACAGAGTCTGGATCCATGTTGAGGCGCCTGCAGACGAGGGTGAGGATGGTTTGCTCGGTGGACGAGGAGGGAGCCTGGTGGTGCGCTTGGCGGTGCGCGTGGATGATGGTCTCATGGGCTTCCCGCTCGGAGTCGAGAGCCCCCGACTCGAAGATGCACCGGAAATGTGCTCGGGAGAGCTTGCCGAGGGAGGTTCTCTCAAAGTAGTTGTGTGGCAGGGGAAGTATAGCGATGGGTTTGACGTGCACGGCCAGGCTGGCGATGCGCTCGATGGCTTCGTTGGTGGCGACCCGAGCTGCAGCGTCGTCTAGGGCGTAGCTGGGCAGGTATACCACACAGTAGGACTCGGTAACGGCGCCAGCAGGCCGGTGGGCAAAAGCCAGCGTGAAGTTTGGGGTCAGACCGGGGATACGCGCCTGCTCGAGGCTGTGCTCGACCTCGACCGCGAAGATGGTCAGCCCATTGAGTAGGAGCGTGTCCTTGGTGCGGCCAGTGACGTACAGCTGGCCGTGTACGTCCAGGTAGGCGTTGTCGCCCGTGATGAACCAGCCGTCAGACGTGAAGGCTGCTCGCGTGGCAGCTGGATCACGGTAGTATTGGTTGAACAGCACGGTTCCGCGTAGTTGCAGCATGCCCTCTTCGCCGGTTGCCGCCTCACTCTTGTCGGTCTCACGCAGCACGCGCATCTCCACCCCGGGAATGGGCCGGCCGCAGGACATAAACTCGCTAGTCACGTCGTGGAGGTCATCCAAAGTCTGGTCGACCAGGTCCCAAGCCATGCCCGCGCATGACTCAGTCAAGCCATAGCCGGCGCGGATGAAGGTCTGGGCGCCGTAGGGCTCCAGGGCACGAATGAGCTGCACCGTCATTTGTCGCACGGTAGCCTCGCCGCCGGAGAAGACGCAGCGCAGACAGGAGAGGTCCCAGGTCGGGGCAGGTTTGGCCTTCTGCTCCGGTGTGGGGTAACAGACGAGATCGCGCAGCAGAGCCAGGAAGAAGTTGGGGGCAAAGGTGACAGAAATCCGATGGCGATCGACAAGGTCGAGGAAGCGGCGCGGCTCGGCCACCATCAGATCCGTAGCTACCTGGATCTGCTCGGCCCCAAGCCGCATGGCTTGGAGGTGGATCTCAACCAGGTTGACGGCGTGGTCGAATGCGACCCAGCTCATGAAGACGTCCTGTGAGGTCGCCCTGCAGTGCGCAGTTTTACCAGCCGCTGCAGCCAACATTTGCGGCTGGCGGAGACACACAGCTTTGGAGAAGCCGGTACTGCCAGAGGTGAGCATCAGTGCTCCGAGATCATCGGCCCGTTGGTTGCGACCCATCGGAAGCGGAATGGAGGCGGAGGAGGAGGAAATCAATGCGGACTCCTGATCCACACGATACAAACGTGGAGTGTCGACGCCCTGAAAGGCACATGCCATGCGGCTGTTGCTGAGCACTACCGGGTCATCCAGCATCTGGAGAATGTGTTTGGCCTGGGCAATGCGACGGTCGGTCGAAACTGCCAGCTTGGGGACAATACAAGGCAAGTATCCCGCGACTGTGCAGGCCCAGAACCAGCGGATGTTTTCCTCATGGGTGTCAAAATGCAGCAGGAACACCGTGTCCCGCTGTAGGTTCGGCATGGAGGTTTGCAGCCAGTGTGCATCGTGGCGGGCCTGGTCAAGCAGCTGGTAATAGGAGAGACGCTCTCCAGCCTCTGTATCTGATGGTGAGGTCTTGTAAAAGGTTACTCCTGCGGACGTGGTTGCAGCTCGCTGCAGAAGCTCAAGAAGGCTGGTGGCCTCGCGGTGGGGCCGGGTCTCATGGATGCTTTCTGGAGTGTAGCTCTGAAGCTGGTCGTTGCTCAGCCCGAAAGCGGCACGTGAAGGAACAGGATGCAGTAACATGATAATGAGAGGGATTTCGGGATGTTTTCTTTTTTTTTTTTTTCCGACAATCCCTATGGCGCTTGAGTACATTTTTATGGGCGGGCTGCAGAGCTAAGCACTGCCATTGCGGATTTACGAGGCTTGTCTTAGCAGATGAGGCATACTAGAGAGGGGGCAATAAATCCGATGAATCTTACTTGTGCAGGAAGTAGGGCCACTGGAGGGGCGGAAATGTGGGCCGGTTGTTCTGCTAAACCCTGGTCCTTCCCCTCTTCGCTTCCCATGAAGATTGGAACTAATGTACAGTCCAGCAGAGTATCCCTGTCACCATAATCAATCTGACCACAGTCAGGAGGGAGTGAGAGTTATTTATCAGCGACCAAATTCCTCTGCTCTGACAATGGGCTTCGTTGGGTTGTCAAAGAGGGTCTGATAATCTGGCAAAATTGTCCTCTCATCCCACCTCCACCAATTGTCATATTCTTATATTTTGTTATCTACATGACTCGATCACCGTCGCCATGTCGGATAGAATGTCCTCATCGTCCTCTGCCCACTTTTCCACGCTAACCGCGGCAGAGCTGGCGGCGTGGTCGCAGTCCCTCAAGCCAGTAGTGCTGGGTCTCTGTATCACTATGTTGGCGCTTGGCAATTTGGGGGTGATGCTACGTATCTGGGCCCAATGGCGCATTCAGAAGCGCCCCATGCAGGAGGACTACTGGCTAGTTATGGCCGTCGTATGTTTCTATCTTCTTCCGCCGCTCTGCATACACGAACTCGGCTCCGTTCACTAACCCCTCCTTCTCTGCCTTCAGCTCTTTGCCAACGTGGTCTCCATCGCCACTATAGTCGCAGTGCACTATGGACTAGGGTACCACATCTTCCGCGTCGAATCTGAAGATCCGTCGCGACATGCGTTGAAGTGGATATTCCTCTGTGTGTGGCTCACTGCCGCTTTCAACGGGCCTTCGATGCTGGCCACCAAGGTTGCCCTGCTCCTGTACTACCGCCGGCTGTTCGTCGTGCAGCAGATCTGGCTGCGCATCTTCTGGTGGACTAGCATGGTGTATGTGGTTCTGTGGGGCATTGGCTCGACTATCACATACGTGCTCTCGTGCGTGCCGGCCAGCTTCTACTGGGAGCGCTTCGACTCGCAGTCGACCATGCACGGCACCTGCCACAACACCACCAGCGCCGACGGCCTGCCGCTGATTCTGGACCTGGTCTCTGATGTCGCGATCCTGATCCTGCCCATTGCCACCATCGCTACTCTGCAGATGCCGCTCGCCCGCAAATCGGGGCTCATGATTGTGTTCTCGGTCGGATTCATGTAAGTTCCCTCCCCTCTGCCTGAATCTCCTTATATCCATAACCTAATCTTACTCCGCAGCGCCATCGTATCCGCTGTCGCTCGCGTGGTCGTTCTCTACAAGGAGACGAACCTGCACTCGGACTTTACCTACGCGGCCGCGCCCTTCGAGCTGCTGGACGTGATCCAACTCAACATGGCCATCGTGTGCGCGACCGCCGTGCCCATCGCCTCGGGATTCCGCGTGGCTTTTAGCAAGAAGTTTCGCAGCTCCAAGAGCTGGACGGCGGGGGGCGTGGGTGGGAATACGTACCACAGCCGCGTCTCGACGGTAGCGGCTCGGGCCGCACGCCTGCGGCTCGAGGAGGAGGCCAGCAGCAGCACCGAACAGCTGCATATGGGGCACTTCACCACCAGCTGTGCCTCCAAGGACCCGGAAGATCGGGCGCGGAACGGAGCTCTTGTGTCCGCCAACGGGATCGTGGTGAAGATAGATGTGGATATCCGGTAGTATATACTGTACAGTACATAAGAAGTACAGGCAGGCAGTGGAAACATATACCCTAATAGTACCCATATTGATTACTATTATTTTCCTTCCCCGTTCATACTCATACCTCATACTAATAATCCCACCTTGACACTCACTAACAAGTCAACTCACTCCACCCTGGTAGCACACCACCAAATGACCCTGGTATTATCATCCATAAACTTCGCCTTATCCCGCATATTAGTTGTCGTTTCCCCGATCTCCAACTCCGCCTGCACCTCCCACTTACTCCCCGTCCTCACACCCACCTCCTTCCAAAACTCCACCAAACTCTCCACATTATGTCTATAATGCAACATCGTCTTATCCGTCAACCCATTCAAATCATACACCCCGGCCACTGTACTCCCCATCTGCCGTCCACAGACGATCGAGCCGGGCTCTCCCCTCGTCAACCCAATCAACCTTTCCACGCCGCGTAGCTGCCCCTCATAATCCCAAAAGTGCAACAACGAGCCCGCCCAAACCACATCTATCTTACCCTTCATCTTACCCACGATCTCCGCCTTCTCCCAATCCTCATCTGACACACCTAGATCTGCGCCCACGAAGGTAGCGGGGAAGGCCTCCGCATTGTCGCGGAAGAGCTTATAGCCGAGCTCGAAGAACCCAGCTTCTAGATCGAACCCATATAATTGGGATCCGGGAATAGAGGCTGTGTAGACCAAATGCCGAAGCTCCTGGCCGACACAGCAGCCTGCGTCGAGGAAACCGTTGGCAGGGGATACGCGCAGACGGGCAAGCACGTGCTGGTAGAATGGCAGGCGGGAGAGGTGACAGCTCAGGAAGCGCATTTGGCCGATGCAGGGGTAGGGGAAGATTCGAAAGGCTTCATCTCTCTTGGTAATTGCAAGGGGTTTCAGTTAGAGGGGGAAAGATGAGTGCTTCGAAGCAGGGGTGTGTGTCTGTGCCTACCAGGGCTAAGACATGGGAAATGACCTCTTCGGGTTTGAGCCCGCTGTAATTCTCCAGCATGGACCGCGCGGCAGGGTCGATTGCCGTGACGCTGGTTTGGTACCAGGCTGGTTTGGTGGTGGTAGTGCCCATGGTGGCTAAGATTTCGCCTTGGCTGGAAACTCAATGTCGGTTTGATAGATGGACTAGAGAAATGAATCTGGACATGTTCGCCGTTCAGTTTAATTGTAGGGGAAGGTTGTTGATTAAAAAAAAAAAGCCAAGATGCCTAATCTCAATTGCATTTCCACTACCACAGCCTGTCTTGCCTCGACGCCAGGTGCTAAAATAGTGGTATTATGGTACTCCACCAGTTTTTGTATGGTAAAGCATATGCAACGGGGTTTTACGCCAAACTCCGCCTGCCTGCTTAACCTACCCAACCTACCTGATTCGTAAAATTTTGAAACAGTGGAAAAGAGGAGAAGAAAATATAGACATAAGATTATCTATTCAATCCCAGTATCCCCACATACCACCTTGCCGAGGGATGTAGATAGCCTTATATTACCACAGAACAGGTGAACATCTGAACATCTCTACCGAACCAGCAAGAAATCCTTCGAAGAAGGATGCACAGCGAAGGGGGTTGGAAGGGGGTAAGCAAGAGATCAAGAAAAGAGCAACTGATGCCTCACATGCTACCTACCAAGGAGGGGTAACTAAACTACTGCCGACAAGAGCATTTAGCGTATAAAGCTTAGCCATATATAGTAGCTTGCTAGTGCACCGAATCCACCCACCACTAACACATTCCAATCCCCGTCGGATATCCGTCAGCAAATCAAGTCCAAACTTCTCTGCTCCACGTTAGGTAACTCCGTACCGAAAGCAAACATCCCTGCTTCAACTGGCAATGCCCGTATCGGGAGTCTGCCCATCATAATGCTCATCCCAAACAACCTCCACCACTGCCAATGCGCTCCCCTCGGCCCGCCGGACTCCAAGCCACCGAAACCGCCCATCCGCCTCCCGCAGCAACCCGCGCCACTGCGCCTCGTCTCTCTCGCGCGAGTTGAGAAGCTGGAGCATATTCACATCCATGTTACTAGTGAGTCTACGCTTCCACATGGGTTCCTGGGCCGGGTATGGCTCAAGGACATGGTCATGAATCAGCACACGTGCCCCGGGGCATAGCGCCGAGCGCAACTGCCGCAGAATCCGCACCGCATGCCGGTCGCCCCAGTTATGGAGGACGTGGCGGAGGTAGTAGACACGCGCGCCGCGGATGGTAGGTTGAGGGGTGAAGAAGTCATGCGCTTGGAATTCCACTTTCCCGAGTGCTTCTGTTGCTGATGGTATATGCTGCTCCTTCGCGCGAGCAATCACGCCCGGCAAATCCTGCACCACAAACCTCAGGTGGGGGAATGCCGCCGCCAGCGCGAAGCTGATGTCGCCCTGCGCGCCGCCAACGTCGACGACGACGCTATCTGTCGGAAGGGTAGAGAGTAGCGGGTGAATGGAGGAAATCAGTCCCGCGGTGCCCATAGCGGCCCCTGATGCATAACCGCGCTTGCTGGCGGCGAACGTGGCGGCGCGGTCGGGCGACTGTGAAAGGACGTCGTAAAGCGCCAGGCCCCTGTTGGCCAGGGCGAAGCCCTATGCAATGTCAGTGCTCAGTATATCTAGGATTCCCCCTCCCCCCCTGCTGCATGGCGCTACGTTTGGGAATTTGAAAAGACGGGTGATCTGGAGGGTTCTCGAAATCCAGTTACTGGGGTCACACCAACCGACTCATTCGGCTCCTCGGAGCCTGGAAAGCGCTTTAATGCTTCGATAGTCTATATGTAAAACACACCCCTGTTAGCCGAGATGAGGAGCTGCGTTAGGCTAAGGGGGGGCACTATATACCCTGGTCGCGCCGGGCCAGCTATTCGCGCAAGTTGAGCCAATCCAACCATGAAACCCCTCCTGTCGCAGCAGCATGCTGGCACGCGTGTGGGCGACTTCACTCTCAGCGGGCTCGTCGAAGACGCGGATAGTCATGGCGTGGCGAAGGAGGCGCCGGACATCGGCTTCTGGGACGTTACATTGCGCGGATAGGGATGAAAAAGTGATTGTTCCATTAGGCGGGACCAGATGCGCAATGTTGAATTGCTGGATGAAGTGCAGGGCAATGAGATGCGCGTGCTTGTTTTCATTGCATTAGTAATAGTTGTATTTCAGGGGGGTAATGGAGGAGGGGTACAGTGGCATAGGAGCGCAGGAGATCGGCTGGGTCGAGGAGCAGGTCCTGGATCTCACACGCGGCGTGCAGGAGGGCGTTGCGTGCGGCCTCGACCGGCGGGGGCAGCGCCAGTGATGGAGGGCAGGTGGCTGCAAACGAGGGCTCGTCAATTCCGTGCTGGGCTAGCAGGGATTGTAATTGCTTGGCCGAGTCGGCAATAGTCGTGGCCAGGGCTTCAATGCGCGAGGCCATGGTGAACCAGGGGTGTGGGTAGATGGTACAGAGTGTTGGGGATCTTATTTTCAGACGATCTATGCATCTGGGACCTCGGTCGCTGGTTTTCTACAGTGGTTGTCGATGGTAAAAGCCAGATCGCATAACAGACTACACGCACTATAATATGACTACTATCATAGAATCCTACTGCGTATAGTTTGGCCCCCACCAACAGTCTTAGTGCATGCCGCTTACATTTAGTAGGTTCTAGGGTCGGCTTTTCACTACGTGCCTTTGTCAGTCTTTCAAGAGTTGGGATTGCTTACTGTACACGCTGAGTATATACAAAGCACGCGATGTGCCAGTTTGCCTTCCACCTATCCAGCTCTATGAATATCTTTTGAGAAAGACGTGGATCAGACGGAGGCCACCGCCGCACCGACCAGGGCCAGCACACCGGCAAAATAACTCCCCGAGGCCATCTTGTGGCCCGTCCCACTCGACGTCTCGCTAGCGGCAGCGCCGGTGCTGGTGCTGGGGCCGGATCTGTCCGAGCTGGTGCTGGTGTCGTTGCTCACCGCTGTGACGCGGAAGTAGTTGGCCGCGACCGGCGAGCCCAGCCCGGTCTGGTTAAGGAAACTAACCAGCGGCAGGTTCAGCCGGTTCATCGGAGTGTCATCGTTGGTTAGCATGAATGATTCGTAGCGGTTGGGGATGCTAAAGTTGGTGGACTGATTGAAGAGGAACAGGGTGTAGTTGTGGGTGCCCGACCTGGGGGCCGGGGCGATATAAGAGGCCAGCACATTGGCGTCGCTGCTGCTGTTGGCGGCGGTCGTCAGGTTGGCGACGACGGTGTGCACAATCACCGAGGGGGGAGTGGTCTTGTTCCAGTCCGGGTCGATCATGAGCAGCAGATAGGGTCCCGAGTTGCTGAGCCCCATGCCATGGAGATGCGGCTCCGGAGCGTCCTTGGCCACTATAGATGGTTTATTAATCAGTCAGACAGTCTGAAACGGGGATTGGTCATGCATACCGCTCGCGTTTAGAAACTCGCCGGGGGTAAAGCTGACTGCAGTCGATCCCACGGAGAAGGTGACATTCAGCACCTTCGACGTCTCTCCAATGCTCGCCAGCTCAGGGGGGGCGGCATCCGCGGCGAAGGCAGTGGCAACCGCGGCGAAGGCAGCCATGGCAGAGACAAGACGCATGCTGGGGATATATGTTGGAGCTGGACCTAGCTGAATCCACAATTGGGTGGGAGTGGGGTTAAATAGAGAAACCTGCGAACTGTGCACTGTTCGACACTTTGCCTATAATAGGTCGGTTGCCGACAAGCAATGCGCGAATGGCTCCATCAGCCTTGGCCCTGTCTAGGGGAGAAAAGGTGGCGTTTCCACATGGTTGGTGGCTATTAGCGCACATGGTTCAGTATTTCATTTAATTAGCATCTCATGGCTGCATCTATGGCGCAGTCCCCCCTACACAAATTATTGTACGAATATCTACCTACAAACCCAGCTTGCTTACTCGCGCAATTGCGAACTGGACGCTGCTGGTTATCAACATACGCACAGGCGTGATAGTAACAGCGTCTACTAGGGCACGGCAGGCCTCGGCGAGGTATTAAGTTCGCTTAGGAAATATATATGACTGTAGTTTTTAAATAAAGATATTACATATAAAATCGCGACTAAAGTATTATTTAAAATAAACTTCCTTTAATATTAAATAATTTTCTAGATTTTAGTAGTATCTACTAATTCTTTTCTATATTAATTAATTAAATATTGTATAATTTTGTTAAAATAAATCCTATATTAGTAAATCCTATAGATAATTATAGATAATTTCTAAAGTTATGTGAAAATTAAATATTTTATAATTGTAAATAAAAAATACAAAAAATACAAAAAATAAAAAAACAAAATTATATAGTACTTTATATCATATATATTAATAAAAACAGATAGTTATATAATTCTATCGATTTATAATTAATTAAACTTAATTTTAATAAAATTAACTTTTCTATAATAGACCAAACTTTCTCAATTATTATTATTTGATTTTATTAAATTTTTGTTTATAAACTAGTTAACTTAATGTAACGGCGGTATACTATATAGGTGCCCCCAGGGTATTTGGGATCGTTGATCCCGAATTATATGACCTTTTGGCCTTGTGGAATAGGGTGCCCTGGCTCTATCTCTTACACTTAAAGTCGGATTTTTAAATTATAATTATCTAAAATTTAAAATAATTCTATCTATTTTATTTAATTCATATCTATTCCTGAAGTTATTAAATATTTATCCCCTGTATTTATTAACTCTAAAAGTTTTAGTATAGCGGCTAGCCCTACTTATGAAATGTCAATCTTGATCTCTTTACCCCCTCTGGGTTAGAAATTGTCAAACGTGGCCTTTTCGGTTGCTCGGGCTACTCCTTGGGCTGCTCCTCGAAGCCAACAAACTTCTCAGTCTCATGAGACTGCGAGGATGGTGAATGGGGTATTTCCAATGCAGAATTGGAAGACTCCTCCTCAGCCTCCTGGTCAGGACTCAGGGGTGGAGTTATCAGTGGTGAGCGGCATAACTCTGGGATTTTGGTTCTCCTGATCAAGATCTGTATTGGCCGGCTGTGTCATGTCTTTCACGATGTTCTGATGGACTAGTTAGAACATAGAAGGAAGGCATACGAACACCTCGGCCCTCATATTTTGTTGACCGGGGATGGATACAACCGTCCCCGTCTTAAATTGTGAAACATCTTGACTGCAATATGTTTGGCAACGTTGATTTGTGATGGTATCAAGTTTAAGAAGCTGGCTTTAAGAAAACCCGTGCCAAAGTTCAATGCGGAAAGGGAGCTGAATATATTCTCGCGCTGGCCGGAATACTCCCAGCGATATTGTGGGGCTTTGAGACCGGATTAAAGCTGTGTATACTTCGGACTAGAGTCCTCTGATTGTCTTTTGGTGCCTCAAGAGCGTACGAACAGTGCTGAGAACGGAAGACTTGTTATATTAAAACAAACAACCTATTACGCCATCTCAGATGCCAGCTGTCTGGAGACAATTATACTCTAAATCCGTACATAACTTTTCCCCCTTGATAAAATTACCCAGCTTAAAGACCAAGGGTATATATAGTCTGGTGAATAATCGCCCTCGACTGTCTGATGAAGACCTTGAATATAACTAATTACCCGGAGAAGTACCAAGGGAAATCGACCCCGACACCGACACAGTAAAAACGAGTCAGAGAATAAGAACAGTGGCCATAGTCAACTGATAGCACTCGAACTGTACAATAGATTCGGTCTTCTTCAGCTTTCAGTTGAGGAAAACGAGAGCTTGCATTTCTGCAGCCAGTGGAGCTTTGATCCTGAAATATACCCGGATCCACATAAACTATGGTTTGTTTACTGTCAACTAGTTGTTCGGAGAAAGATCTTTTCTAGTATTTATCCGAGTTTTCTACCAGACACCTAGATACTACAGTATTGTTTACTTCGTACTCAGCCAATTCCTTATCTTACAGATCTCTCGAGCTATATTCAAAAGCTGCCAGGAAACATATCGGATGATATTGTAAAATCTCTCCTGATAAATGGTGTCTGTATCATCCCGGAAACCGAAATTTGAGACTACTTACTACATAGCTATGCCAACCAGACCTATTGGGATATATCGCTGCTGGATGTTAACGGCTTACACTTGTGTCTATAAAAATACGGAAGATAATCAACCAGACCTTCCTCTCTTTCAGGGTGTGATGTTTACAGGGGTTTGCACCAACAGATTCTCTTCAGCCCTCTTAACGACGTTTCGCGACGATGATAGAAGTGCGAGAGATTTTCTATAATCGGGTAAAACCTGTGTACGAGCTTGATTATGAGACGGACGGCATCTCTGGCAATGGGACAGATGCATGGCACTGGGTGGGCCATACCCTGTACCGTGGCACAGCGATCGGGCTTCAGTAAAACACAATACAATCTGATATACAACTCTATTCTCAGGGAATACACAAGCACCTCTGGTGGTGTATCTACATTCGGGATAAATTGATTGCGTTGGGATCAAGGCGTTCTATGTGTATCTACAAAAACGCGCATACCGTGCCCATGCCCGCACAGCCTGACTTTAATATACGTGAGACCTCCTGCAGGCCCACGATAGAAGGCAGCCTCAACGTAGGGTGCGTCCAGGTGGAACACTTGGCGCAGCCACTCTGCCTAAAAGCAAAGATCTGCATTCTCCTTGGTCGAATATTGGAGTCCTGGTACCTTCTGCTTAACAACAGCCCAGGCGCGGCCATTGGGACCGAGGCCATGTACTACCCCAACCCAAACATATCTATAATCTCGGAGCTTTGGCAGTGTGACGGGGAGCTGGAGTACTGGCGACCCATTTTCAACATTTCCTGCAGGCTACTCCGGAAAATATTGCGCCAGATATTGCTTATCTGAATTAGGGGTTTGTTGGGGTTGATATTTTTTTTGACGGTTTGCCCTTCTACCGGCCCCTCGCACAATATTTCTGTAATTACTCTTTCTCGAAATCCGAGAGCGAAATATAGTCTTTAAAAAGGGTGGAAAGCGCACTTTGCCAGATTATCTGTATCCTGAAGAATCTCCAGGGACAAAAGCTTGCGTCGAACATGAATGGGGTTGGTGCGGCAGCGCTGCTGCCTGCGATCATCTTTCATCTTATTCGAGTTCTCGTCACTTTGAGACTGGGAAACTAATACTGGGCGAATGGCAAAACCGGTACCCGTTTGCGGAATTCTCGCGCGGTATACATTGTGGGACGAACCGCCCCATCATGTCCTTTCACGGATGTTCCGTCTTAGGCCCTTTTGTCTTTTTGGCTGGCTACCTCGATGTTCAATCCACAGTATGTGTTTCATGTGATCTCCTGAGGTGACTACGCCGATGCTTAGATCATGCAGAATGAAGTTGGAGAACCACTTCACGTTTTGTGATTCGGTTGCCGGGTCCCTTCAGTGGTCATCTAGCGAACTTATAAAGAATCCAAGGACACGACAACCATCCTAACCGATATGAGCCGAGCACCAACCCTAAATGGAACTGCGTCTGGCATCAGTGCCCAGTTCATGCCTACTTGACTTGCTATCAAGTACGGACCGGGGAGAAACATTGGACCAGGACTTGAACTTTGCGATTTGTCTCTCCGCCAACATCTCAACCTCGATTCCCAGATTCTGAATATCATTCATGCACTGTTGCGCTTGTTCTTCTATTTCATGTATGTGCTTTTGCGCTTCTTCTTTCATTTCGTTGATACATTCATTTGCCACATTGCGTACCTCTGAGTTCCCATCGTCGACTTGCTCTCGAAATTCGGCTTCGTTCATTTTGCATTCGTCGAAGAACTGATCACGAGAATTGCTCACAGCACTATCGACAATCTCATCGACAATCGGTGATATGTGGCGCTTAATTATCTTATCGATATATCGTTCCAGGCGGCGGCTTTTGATCAGCTCGCCCTTGGCAAAGCTGACACTGGCAGACTCAGATGGCAGGTCACTGTCTACATCATTTGGCATGGCTAGCAGATGGGCGTGTCCTGATGCAATTAATACTTCGCGAACCTGGTCTTCTGACAAACTACTGAACTCATGTACAAGATCCGCAAGTCTGTTACGCTCTTTGCGGCCAGGAGAGAGAGTACGCGTGAAGTGCGTTGGGCGGATTAACGATGGGGACGGAGGGGATGGGCGGAAAGTACTCGGTGTATCGGGCTCAGTGGGAGAGCCTCTTGATGCAGGGGATGAAAGGAGCGCTATTTTTCGTGGTTCATTGTCAAGTGGCATTGAATCTAGGGATTACTAATGAGCTATTGAAGGCCAACGTACATAGAGCATCAGAAGATGAGAAAATACCTCTACGCCGTTTTCTAACCACCTGCTCGGACACGGACTCCTCACAATATGGAGGTGGACCCACCTGCTTCACCTGTTCGGACACGGGTTCCTGACAGTATGGAGGTGGATCGGACGGTAGACCGAAGACATGCCAATCTCTCTGGACCATGCGATGGCGAGCGTGGTCAAAAGGCTCTGCCTCAAGACTTCGTCCTCGCAGGGCCTGGCAGAAACTTTCGAGCTTATCAAGTTCTTTATTCACACATTGTCGTCTGGCAAAGTGTATACGGAGAGATTCGGATCGACAGATCTTTGCAAACGAGTGGAAATTCAAGTCTGCTGGCGTGGCTGGACTGAGAGACTCCGTCTCAGATGGACAAAAAACAATGCCGATCGTACCGAGTGTCAAACTCAGTGTTGAGACGGCCGAAACATTGGTGACATGCGCCGGGATTGTGGGAACCAAACTGGGTGAACAGAGGCCGTCGTTGCTAGTCTTGTGTAATGTACATTTTTCGACTCTTTCTGGGGGAATATTCAACCTCACCTGAGCTCTGACGCGAGGGTTAGCGAGATCTGCCGTAATCGAAAGGGTGATAGATCCCCGGCCGGCAGTTTTATCATGGAAAATACGAAGGCTAGCCCGACACGACACGTCGAGACCGGGTGAATGAACAATAACTGCTTTGTTGAATACCCAGGGCGGGTTTTGCGATGGGGTGGTCATTGTGTTCTTGCAATTCGTTGGATTAAAAAGCGGAACCCTCGATAAATCGAGTATCCCTCCCACCCGGGCTTTGGAACAACGTTGAGCAGCCCTGACTCGGGTAATATAGCGGATCCAGAATGATAATAACAAGAAGATGAGAGTAAGGTGGTACAAGCTCTTGCGGCCTGGTCACGGGTACGTGCCCAATCCGAAGTCAACAAGTGAAATCGGAGAGTCCTATGAAAACACAGGAATGGCAGGACTGGCGGCGAGAACGGCAAAGAGCCAATACTTCCTTTACGGGATGATTCTGATGTCGCAGGGAGGGAGATGATGAAGAAACGGCCCGCGAGAATGGAAGAAAGACGCGGCTGGGGCTTGGCACGCGGACCACGTGATGGGCTACTTCGGGTGCGATCCGGATTTACGTATGTCCCTTCCGTCCACACCCGATCAAAAATACCATAATTCAGAACTATACATCCAATCTCCCGTCCGGTCGGCCGCATCCGCAAGGCCCACGATGTTGAGACTGAGGATGGAAGTGGTTCTTTCCGTTGGCCAGGAATCTGTTTCCCCTGCATGCGATGTCAGAGCAGCGTTAACCAAAAATTCATGGAGAGGTGCATCACGCTGAGCCATGTGAATGTCGTTGGGTGAACTCTCCTGCATCGCATCAATGGCGTTGGATTCACTGGATGCGTGGCGTCGTCTGTAAACTGTGAGAAAGATGAGCCAATGCGGGTTTCACGTTGGAACACATGAGTGGCAGGACTAACGGGGGAATGTATAGACCTTCGAGTGCATTTGCGGCGATCATGGTTTAAGTAAAAGACTGTTCTTGAAAGAGAAAAAACCAGGATATATTAGCCTGTGATTGCAAGGCATTCATCGCTGTGCATTCGGTTGCATACTGACGACTATGTGGGACCTATGCCCTAGTATGCACATGGGACCTCTGGGATGGAAGTGGGAATAGGGCATTTATACTGGCTCATTTTGTTGTTCCTGGGACCTGGGTGTATCTGTTACCCAGAGCATGTGGCAATTTATCTACATTGCGTTTATCTTTCCCTGTTAACTATGGAGGTGCGTTTCAAAAGTTATCGAATTATACGTAGAGTGGCATAATTTAACTGTTGTAATCTAGCAACAATTTAGCCTGACTAGGATTGGTTAGATTAACATATAAATTTTCTTAATTTATCTACATGTAGATTAATTAAGATCCATACAGGGACAACCAATTGGAGACTAAAACCTGCCATAAGCTCTCACTGGGGGAAGCTGATATCAGTGATGCGAGTGTGTCCTTGCCCAACATGAAGCCATATTCCTAGAAACTATGCGGGACATGGGAAAAGGGGAACGATCCGAGCCGTCTAACACTTTAACAGCGGGGAATTCAACCTTGTAGGGACACTCATTGGACTTGCTTGTGACGCACCGACGACCGGAGAACAACCTGCGAGATTAACTCCCTTGCCATAAACTATTTACGGTGGATAATGTCGTGGGCATTGTTGTAGGTTGCCATCTCCCCAAAACCCCTCAAATCCAACCTGTTAATCCGATAAGCCCTGTTTGGTGTATTTCTGCCGAGTGCAAGGGCGCCTTTAGCCATCATGTTTCCGTATATCTGGGTATAGACAAGGTGGGGTAGAGCCATATTGACCACACGCCAGCTATTATACTAACGAGGGGAGGAGAATGCAAACGTACTAACATATCGTGATGCACTACCGAGTATACGCCTTAAATAGGTATCGTTCTTATTTACTATAAATCAATCGAATAGCTTCTAGCTGCAGCCGCTAAGTTTCCTACCACTAACTTATTCTTTCTTAGACATTCTTTATATACCTCCTAACTTATCTCAAACAGTTTAACAAAGTCAAAATTGTATAAGAAGGAGTCTAAGTTGAAAAAAAGATGAACGGTGCTGGGGTGTCAAGATAGTAGGATCTCGAGATTGCTTTACTCACAATTTTCGCTAATAGATATTTACTACCGATTTCGATCTACTAAGAACTAAGAATCTCAGGGACTCTCCGAGGAGCCCATGTATACTTGCAAAATATCCCTGGTAGAATCACAAGGCAGATACAGTTACCAATATCCAATCTTCCAGACAATCCGATACGCATATTGTCTGGAACTTGCAAGAGGTTCAAGGATTGGACCATATCACTTTTTAATCATCTGCTCGAGCTGCTAGTATTTCTCTTGTTGCCCATTGGCTTCCCGTGCCCCGAACGCGTAGCGCCATATCGCCGTCCTACGCCGAAGGCGCCCTTACAACGTAGTAGTGGTTGGTGTGTGTGCCATATATTACTATAGACTGGGATTCATCTATTTGCCGTATGAGCTGGTCCATACGAATCATCGCCCAAATCATCAACACCACAGCTCTAATCCTTACAAGCAATGATAACTCGTCTTTGCCCGTCTATCTGCTTATCTGCCGCCTTTGCTGTACACTGGTTTCTGCTCTTTCTGAAGTTTAGTGTCGTCCCTTCTTAGCATCGTCGTCTAGCGCCTTGTCCAACTCTTTCTGGTAGTCCTCTTGGGCCTTTCTCAGATCCTTCTGCAAGTCTTCCATGTCTTTCTGCAGATCCTTCATCTTGTGATGAGAGGGACCATGCTGCATGTGCTGGGAAACGCGGTTGATCTTGTCCTGAAGCTCTTCTACCTCCTCTTGTCTTTTCATCACAGACTTTCTATTGTGATGCAGCTGATTCAGTGGATAGAATTGACTCGGCGGATATGGACCTTGCGGGGGATATTGTTGATATGGACCCGCTTGCGGATATAGCTGCTGAGGGAATTGCTGCGGGTAGGGACCGCCCTGGGGGGGAAGATTTTGTTCACCCTTATGCTGGTGCTTCTTGTAGATGTCTTGAGCAATAGAACCGGCAATCGCACCACCGATGGTTCCGAGGAAGCCGTGGTTGGCCTTGTGGCCAGCGAAACCACCGACAGCACCACCGGCAAGGGCACCGGCAAGACCACGCTCACCATCCTGGGCCTCACCAGGGGCGGCCTGCTGCTGTTGCTCGTTGTAAGACTGAGGATATTGATTCTGAGGCTCTGGGTACTGCTGCAGATATGATTGCTGAAAGCCTTGGGAAGGGCCCTGGGGAGGCGGAGGCCCAGAGTAGCCATACCCATTTTGGGAGGGGGTTCCATAGTACTCTGAGTTCATTATTGGCAGTAGGGATCGAGCAGGTTTAAGGTAGAATGTTGAAAAGTAACGTATGCTGAGTATTCTATCACACTTCCCAGCAGGTGAGCAACAACCTTTAAATATTTGAATTTAAGAATCTCGTCTAGCCCTAAATATCCACTCCCCCTTTAAGAAAGACACTACGAAGGAACGTCAGCTGGGATATGTCGACATCACACACTCTGCATAAAGCTTCTGTCCTGCAGTGCCCGTATTTATTTGGACATGATCGGCGTTCATACTAAGCTCTTGTTCATTATTGGGTCACGTTTTGGCCCCCATGTATCCACACCAGACTCATTTTGGCCCCCACGTCTGGCTTGTCCCATTGGGTCTTGTCCATAGCTGTGTCCGTTTTGTTTTTTTTTTTAAAAAATATATATATATATATATATATATATTCGGTAATTCCGTCTATGTTACTTCTGTTGGACAAAAATCCTGAGTCCGGGCTCCGATAGAGTATCTCTATCTACGGGTATCGACTCCACAAATAGAAACCCTAGCCACGAATACACGCGTACATTTTCTAACGGATAAGTTGCCCTTTTCGCTAAGAAGTGCCAATATTTAGTCGGCTAATCAATTTAAGCTGCCTTCGTAGATTCTTCCAGCGTTGCTACAGTGTAAACGTAGTTTCTCAATTGATCAATACATCCAAAACTGCCGGGGGAGGCCGGGATTCACTGGTAGTATAGGGGCCCATAATGGGCCTGTGGGCCCCCAATTGGGCCCCAAACAGTGCAAACATAGGGCTTTACGTTAAAAAACGTGATTTATCCTGCTTATTAAGCGCCTTTATGAATGCCAAGACCAATATTTATGCAAAAATGGGTTTTGGGGGGGGGGCCCATTGGGGGCCCATCGTGGGCCTAAGGGGTTGGGCTTGGGCCCGGTAGTCAGGGCCCAGGGCCCATGGGGGTTGGGCCTTGGGCCTGGAGTTTGGGCCCATTCGTGGGCCCTGAAGAAGACTAGACCTGACTGCGATGATATTACTAATGGCTCGTAGCAAAACCCTCTTGTCCTGGTCCGATGGATCCGTTGCTATGAGGAGTGGAGAGCTATTGTCGGCAGCTAGCAAGGGATGGATTGACGTTTGCTCATGGTGAATTTCCAGCGGATCATATATCATAATTGATGTATAGAATCATGTTGTAAATATCCGTACTTACTAAATATCCGTACTTACCTTCAAATCCACATACCAAGGAATTTTATGTACAAGATGCACTCCCGTCATCTGCTCGGAACTAGTAGCTGCACCGCAGCTTTCGCCACGTCGTAACCGACTACAAGAAAGCAGCTACCAAAGAATGTTGAACTTTGCCAACCCCTTTCTAGGCTGTGGTTCCGGTTCGACCTCTTCGTGGGACAGGTAGAACTGAAGCAGACCGACCAGCGGGATAGTATCCAAGGCGATAATGCGCGTTTTCCTCCAGAATTTATAGCCCAAATATAGACCTAGGACTATTGGGATGTTGATGTACGATGAGATAAAGGTTTCGGTATCCCAGTGGCCACTGATGAATGTGCTGAAGCCACCAGTGATAAGCAAGAGGGTGAACAAGGTCAGAGACGCCCAGGTGAAGTAGGGCTGGAAGGGCGCGGCCCATGGAAGCTCTCTGTGTCGGTCGACTCCTTGCTTCTTGCAACCGTAGTAGAATCGGAGGTAGACGATGCAGACGATGAGCCAGTCCACCAATGTTGCAACTGCTACAATATCACGTAGCCATTGAAAGACCACCGTTGCTGAGTGGGAAAGGGACATATATCCCAAGCACATGAAGCTTCCTATGAAGCTGATAGCCACATAAGGGACAGAGAACCGGTTCAGCCGTTTGAATACTGCAGGAGCATGGCCATGGACCGCCATGCCATAGAGAATGCGGGACCCAAAAAGGATATAGGAATTGCCAGCAGACCAGGCGGATGTAACGATAATAGCGTTAATAACTGAGGGTGCGACCTTGATCCCCGCCCGATGAGCCGCGATAACAAATGGGGACTGAGAAGCCGTGCCAGTCAGTTGAAGAAGAGTAGGATCATTCGATGGAACAACCAAGCCCATCATGAATATTGACAGGACATAGAAGAGGATGATGCGGTACAAGACGCGCCTGGTCGCCTGTGGTATTGATTGGCGCGGATACCTGGTCTCAGCCGCTGGGATCGTGATATTCTGGATTCCCGAGTATGCAAAGATTGCATTCTCTAGTGTGGTCCAGAAACCAAGGAACCGGCCAAGAGCACCTTTGATCCCAAAATACTGAACAAAAGGCCCTGGGTCTCTCCAGTATCTAAAACCGATAGATTGACCAGTTGGTCCTCCACCGCAAGTAATCACTAGCGCCATGATGTTCACCCCAACGATTAGCAGAATTTTCAAGATAGCGAATGAAAACTCAAGCTCTCCATAGATTCTGACGAACACCAGCGCAGTGATAAGCACTAGGAGGCTGAAGACGGTAATCCAGATTGCGTTGTTAATGATGATCCAGAATTCAATCAGAACCGAGGCTGCCACTATCTCAGCAGGGAGAGTGACTGAGTATAAGTATACTTGATTCCATCCATTGGCAAAAGCCATGGCTGGGTCAAAGAAGTATTCCGCATAACGCACGACACCGCCACTGAGCGGTACTAAGGCACCCATCTCTCCCACCGTCAGGACGACACTCATAACACCAAGGCCAACGATAGAATAGGCAAGGAATGCACCCAGTGGGCCTGCCGTTACAAGTGCTTGGCCAGAGCTGAGGAATAGACCTGTGCCAATTGTGCCAGCAAGAGCGATCATCTGAAGGTGCCGTTGGTAAAGACCTTGCCTGACAGCATGTACTTCTCCGAAGCCACGCCGGATGAACCCTATGTCGCCATCGGTTGCGCTAGAGCCGTCTCCTTCTGCCAGTTGAATTCCTGATCCTGATTCAGTAGGCATGTTTGTGAATCGATGTCGACGAAGAGTGGCCATATACGGCCCAGAAATAAGCCCCAGCCAGGAGCGGGAGGCGGGAAGAAAGAGAGTTTAGTTGTCCACGCTCCAGTGAGTTCTGAGGCCAGATTAATAGGTCGTAGTTGTGGATAAGCTTGGGGCTACCAGATAGCTACCATGGGAGCCCCGACGCTTAATAATAGACTCTTCGAGCAACTCATGACTGGATGACCACAACGCTCTACAAATAGTGCGGTTTCAATCTCCTCCTATGTTCTAATTATATCCATTGATTCGTTACGCATAAGTGCAACTGACTCTACTGCTGTCACTTAAACACAGCATACTTGTGGCAAATGTTGCGGCGGAAGATCTGCCACAGCGCCATCGCAGTGTCATTGTCGAACGGCAGCGAGGCTTGGATGGCGCCAGCACTGCACAGCCCGTTCTTGTGGTCGATAAACGAGATCAGAGTCAGTCCGTCGCCCCAGGTCAGCGTCAGCTCCCTGTACAGCCAAACTTGGTATGTGGATACCGGAAAGAGGGCGTTATGGGAATATGATACACCAAACCTGAGAGAATTGGAGGCGAGATAATGGCATGCACAGTGAGACCAGAAATGTGAGACCGGTTGACTCCAAATGGGGAGCATTCTGGGATATTGCATCATTTAGGCCAGGAAGTTTCAATGTGTTCGAAAATAAGGGGAAGAACGGGTCGATAAGTAAGACGATCCACCCAATGCCTTCTAAAAGACTTTTGACCGATGGGACAAGAGAGCCGGTGCAAAACCTCACAGTGACTGTGTTCAGAGAAGCGACACTTCAACGGCTGCGTTGATCCTCACCAGAATATTATGAGCAAAGTGAATATTTCTCGAGTCATCTTCGGTCAGATAACTGGCGCTTTTGTTGAAGACGAGCGTCTCTAATGTCTTTAGTCCGGTGCACTCGTTCGGGAGAACCGTAAATACTCTAACGCATCATCTCTGAGCTTGATCTCCCCGGACCGGCCATCTGTCCTTTCTCTGGTGGGAAACGAGATGCGTCCAACCACCACCGCACATTGCGTCTACCGCTATAGCTAAGAGCGTTCTGAATCAAAGACGGCAGTCAATCACTCTCTTCTCAGCTATCGAGAAAATCAGGTCGCCCTACACGAGCGAACTCACCAGCCGTTGATGTCGTCGGGACTCTAGCCAGCTTCAACCGAGAGTATGCAAGAGCGGCGATGGAGAACTCGGACACCCATTCTTCAGTACGCGTCGGCCAACTGGCCTTCTCACACGGCAAGGTCCGAGAGTGGCATATCCATAACTTGGGACTCCTGGCCAGAGATGATAATCCACGGGCATGATCTCACCCAGACTCCATGGGGGGACAAATCTTTCGACGCAAGTGACCCTCTTATTCTAGAATGGAGCTTCCAAGCTCGTCACTATGCCCTAGGACGGCTTATCACCATCCAGCGGCGTGCTTTCCAACCAAAATAGAAGCCGAATGATGCAGAGATCGGCAAGTGAAGGCAGCATCAAGATGCCTAATAGCCTTTTGGAAGGAGAAAAGCCAGATGGCGGTCATGCTGGTCGCACTTCACTACAGGAAGCTGCCGAAAGTGGCCACCTGGTTGTCGGTGAGAGGCTCCAATAGCCAGGAGCCTATGTGAATGACCCCGCTAATCGTGGAACATCGCGAACCATTGCCCGTTGTTACCCACATAGTAAGGACTAGGTCTTAGCCTGCTCAGCTGTGTGGTCCGAAGCGAGGTGGGAAACGAAGAAAGTCCAAAATAGAAACGGCAATGTCCCACAACGGTGTGGAGACTCGTAATTTAGATCGACTTCTGGTAGCATGGAGAGTCAAAGGAAGGCTTGGATCGAAGTAATCTCGATGGGGCCCTCCAACGTTGGTGACAAAATGCGCTGGCCCACTTCTGCAGGCGATCACCGCCGCCGCAGGAGAAGAAGCAGGTGTCTTTGGAGTAGGGCAGCAGATGTGGGTGCGGGACAACGTGAACGGGACGATCTTGCGCCAGGCAAGCGCCTGTCCGAGACCGTAGGTTTGGGCAATGACGCCGAACACCTGGCAGAAGAACACGCGATACGGTTTGAATTTCCAATGCTCCCGCTTCCAGTCACCTGCGGACCGGCGCCATCCCATCCCAACAGTTAGGGAAAGACGAACTCGATGCTGGTCACCTTCGTGTTCGGGCCGGCGGGGAAGGGGAGGTCCTCGTGCAACCGCTCATGATAGAAGACGTCAAGAATAGAAACAACGTTGAGTGGAATCAAGCCTAGGGACTCGAGTGTGCTGTTCTGTTGAGTGGTGACAAACATGGGGAAAGATGGCTGGCTAACCAGGTTCAGATACAAGAATCAAGCCCACGTTGTGGATCCAACGCTTACGGAACCGAGCATACGGAGTAGCTATCCGGATTCTAGGCGGTTAGTTAGTAGGTCTCTGGAGTTAGTTAACCTTAACGTTAGGTGCCTAGCCAATAAGAGTTGTGTTACTCCAGCCAAGAATGGCATCCGTCTACGGTCCGAGCACTTACAGTGCGAAACCCTTCGGGTGAAGTCAGTGCGGGCCGGCTTGCCCACGCTCGTCCTGCACGGCCCGAGAACCTGGACGCACTCGAGGGTCACACTACAACCATAATGTGGGCCGCATGTTAGATGAGGTTCACGAGAATTTATCTGGATTTTCGTTGTCTTTCGAAGATCAATGTTCATTCATATTAGCCAAGGACATCTTTTGCGACTGAGCTAGCTCATGCTCTCTTTAACCTCCTTCAACCTTCAAGCTTGCCGCGAAGCAGTGAATGAAAGATAGACATGCGAGACAACGACCTCACAGCTACAATTGGCAGAAGCTATTTTCGGACTTCCGGAGAATTCAACGTGTTCTAAGTTTCGTGTTCCCGATATACGGGTAGGGAAAAGTGATAATACTCGGAGACGTTTCCCCGACGCTCTCTGGTCGTCCTGGGAAATGGCACGCGCCATCCATAGAGGTACGGATCCATCCAATATTGAAGTCCCCGCATGTATTGCCCTAGGGAGATTTCATTGGAAATGAGAACAACCAGACCAACCCGCCAGCTACAGGATGGGTCGAAATTGGTGTCACCACTTTCCTCGAACTGAGTTTCTTTCGGAACACTGTCAAGGATAAGGGAACAGGCTAGGGTAACTGTACTAGGGATAGCAAGTTCTGCGAGAGGGTCTGAGAAAGTATTTCTATAAATATGCGGTGAAACGGGTCTCGATCCATACTGAGCAGCTATGGTCTCCGTGGGATTGGTCGGTCGTCGTTATTAACTTTCAACCTAGCCTGTCAGCTTCTCTCGTTGCCAACCGAGCGGTTCGTGTCAAGGCTTCCTTATAAAACTATTAGTCTTGGAGGTGAAGTGAAACGTGTCGGCTGAGATATTCTAGGATATTCAGTCAATATCAGCCATACAGTAACACGATTTCGACGGCCTACGTGCACGACGGGGACGAACTAGAGAAAGCAAAGACAAGTTGGAGCCTAACGCTAATCCCAAATGAACATACTCGTAGAAATACCTAGACAAATACCGATCCTGGGCGATCCGTGGGGCAAACGCCACGTATTGACTTGGTTCGCAGTCTCTTAATAGTCGCACACCGTAGAAACAGAGTATGATTAACATGCCAGTGGACCGGCACTAGTTCACTCCGGGGCTCTTCTGTGAGTCGGGCTTTCGGGACAGGCGTCTATTCAACCGTGGCCCAAAACTGCAGCAAATATTACAGGCATGGCTTGTCTTTGTGCTATGGGCTGAACCCTATGCTGCGCCCAGCGTGGATCCATTCTTAAAGGCCCAGTAACTGTTGGGGTTGCCAGCTCTCATGGAAATGGAATACCATGGCTGTCGCCTTAGCACGAAGAATGAGAAAGCTCATCGTTGTGGTGGCTCTCTCTGTTGTCAGCTTTGCTACCCTTCAATTCAGCTACGCCGACGACTTTGCCTTTTCCGAACACTTGTCAGGATCTATACAGATAGTGGATGAATGTTCTCCTAACGCGCTCGAACGTATTGATAACCCTCGTCCTGTGGTCGGTTCCACAATACCAAACATTGTCCATCAAATATGGAAAACGGCCGACGTCCAAGAATATTCCACCGAAATCGCGGCGTCTCGCGAGTCATGGAGGGCTATGCTTGAGCCCTCGAACTACACAGTCAAGCTATGGACTGACGACGATATCCTTGAGCTCATCAAGGCAAATTATACTTGGCTGTTGCCGACGTATAACGGATATCCTCACGATATTCAGCGTGCCGACCTTGCGAGGCTGCTCATCGTCCACACTGAGGGTGGCATCTATTCCGACTTGGACCTATACCCCCGCTCAGCCGAGCATATACAATGCCTCCAAACACTTGGTTTGCAGGCCATATTCTCCCGGACGGCAGGCACGCTCGGTCTCAGTAATCATTTCTTTATGGCCAAGCCTGGCTCTCCATTCCTGCAGTGGGTGCTTTACGAGGCTAAGCGGCGAAGTAGCAGGCTCGCGTCTCGGGGTATAATCCTGCCGTACCTGCAGGTCTTTTGGACCACTGGACCGATCATGGTCACGGCGGCGTTTAGACAATACGCTTGGCTATACAACACGCTACAGCTCGATATAGGGCTGCTCGACGACGGATTTGGTGGCTTGGTGGTACGGCATGCCGCTGGGCGGTCATGGCAAGGGGCGGACGGCCGGGCGCTAAATTATATTGCGGATCATGCCAGGACAGGGACAATGTTAAGAGCTGTTGTATATTTTTTTAGTGTGGTGGGACTTATCTATATGGGTACAAGGTGCAGTAGTAGATTCACTAGGTGGATGACAAGGTGAGGGCCAGTATTATACATCGTCTAGCATATTCGACGACGGGAAATTATATATATCGTTGATCCTTGAAACGTAGGTTCAAAAAGTACACTCTACCGCGTCGAACTGATATCTCCGGGGTCTCTTGCTGGCATTACATGAGTGGTCTCCCGGGTACGCATAGTACCTCTGATAGCAGGGGTTATAAGTAAAGGACAAATCTCTGGGTAGGTATATATTGTTCCAGTAATTCGGGAGATAGCAGGGTTTCAGATCACAGTAAGGACTGCGGGTCTTGATAGTACGAATCTATTTACATTGTAGGGGCCTGATTACCGGCGCTAGAGAGGTCCCTAAGCTATGTCTCCTGTAGTATGCTAGAGATGGACTCTTAATAAGTCGTATCTATTAATACTCCTCCGCGATGCGGATGAAAATTATGCTAAGCGCCTGAACATTGTGCAGGATGAATGTCTCAATCCTCGCACGACAAAATTGAACAAGCACATGCTCGTGATTGAGAGAACCTATTTAGGATACGTAATAGCTCGACCATGGCCTACTATAATCACCCGCCCAGATTAAATCCCCTCGATACTACGAGATTTATATGGCGGCAAAAGCCAAACCAACGAGATTCGGTGCAACGAGTGATCTCGTTATTGTTGTGGGAAATTAATTCAGACAAGGAAAGACTCTCGTACTATCGAGGTTCTCGTTATAACAAGGCTCGTTATAGCGAGGTTGTACTGTATTCCTCTTGCATGTGCCAGAAACATCAACGGACTGGAAGAGGGTTCACTCGGTTTGGCACGTAATCGTACCCAGCAGGAAGCAGTTAAACTCCGGCTAGTACCACCTCGTCTCTACTGCAAGATTCGTGGAGTCGCAACTTCCTCAAATTTCCATTCTATGTGTCATGCTCTGTCCCTCGTTGCCGCTTTCCGAAAGCCACCGTTTCCGTGACGCCGACGGGTATTATCCGCTACATCCTACTAGCCTAACCTAATCCCCCACAGTTTCCGGGTTAAGAGTGGGCCATGTCTGGACACCCAGCAACCCCAGACAGTCCCCTGGCTCTGGATACCGCTAGAGAAGGAACCGGCCCTACCGACTAGGCTTATAGCTACACTACAGCCTGGGCTCACCTGTCGAGTCTTGGAATGTAGAGGCAGCAACTCCAGCGACTCTCTTGTTCGATTGATCCTCAACATTGCACCACATTTCGCGAAGCATCCGAAAGGGAGCCAAAACGCACAGAGGCAATACTTTCATGTCTTCCGCTACGATACGCACAATGGCCACAGCTTTCGCCGGCTCCGGCAACACTAGTAACGAGAAGCAGCTGAATGACAATAACATCCGCAACTCCCCGGAGAATATATACTCGCGGACATCCCCAACCTACGCCAATGTCATCATTGCGGGCCTGGAACGGGGACGGATGGAGCTGGAGGCGCCCGCTGCAGAGCCCAAAGCCGTGGGCGAATGTCGTGGAGCTGGCCCTCCTGAGGGAGGCCGGGAGGCGTGGCTTGTCGTCTTAGGCGGATGGTGTGCTCTCTTCTGTACCTTTGGCCTTGTCAGCTCTGTTGGCATATTTGAACAGTACTATGTAGCGGTGCCGTTGAAACTTCACTCCAGCTCGACCGTCAGCTGGATCACGTCGGTCCAGATATTCATGATGAACTTCTGCGCGGTGGGGGTATGTGACTTCTAATTGAAAACCCCTCCTTTGTGCCTAGATTCCCTAACCCATTACGTTGACTAGTTCGGACGGCTGTTTGACAACTACGGTCCGCGCTGGCTCCTCTGGGGTGGTACAGTTGCCTATGTCCTTGGACTCATGATGGTCTCCCTGTCCACCGAGTACTACCAATTCTTCCTCTCCCAATCCATCGTCGGCGCCGCGGGATCGAGCGCCATTTTCAACTGCTGCATGTTTTCCCTCGTCACCTGGTTCAATGAGGGCCGCGCCGTAGCCTACGGCATTATGGTGTCCGGCTCGTCGGTCGGCGGCGTCGTTCTCCCAATCATAATGGCCAGTCTCATTGACAGTATCGGCTTCCCCTGGATGATGCGAACCATGGCGTTCGTATTTCTTGCGCTTCTTATATTTACCTGCTTGACCGTCAAGTCGAGACTGCCCCCCTGTCCGAGACCGTTCAAGATGATGGAGTTTGTCAATAACTTAACGGATATCTGCCTGGCCGTCACCGTTGCTGGCATGCTCCTTTTCATGTGGGGCATGTTTCTGCCTTTCAATTACATCTTATTGCAGGCTGAAGCTGCCGGCATGTCTCCAACTTTGATTCTGTACCTGCTACCCATCCTGAATGCTGCAAGGTAGGCAACAATCCCTGGTTTTCAATAAACATATTCCTTTTGGTTTGCAAATTCCTAATGGTCGACTGTAGCATTTTTGGCCGTATCATTCCCGGGGTTGCTTCCGATAAACTGGGTCGTTATAATGTTATGATCGTCATCAGCTTCATTTCCGCCTTGTCCTGTCTTGCGGTCTGGGTCCCTGTTAAGAACACAGCAGGCATGGTTGTCTTCGTGATCATCTTTGGCTTTTCTTCGGGGGGATTTATCTCACTCGGCCCTAGCCTGATCGCGCAGATTTCCGATATTGGTGAGATCGGAACCCGCGCTGGTACGGCGTTCACCATCATGTCCTTCGGAGCTCTGACCGGCAGCCCAATCGGTGGGGCGATCGTTTCAGCTCAGCACGGCGAATTCTTAGGCCTGCAGCTCTTCTGTGGCTTCAGCTTGCTGGCCGGATCCATTGCCTTATTTTCCGCGCGATATACCCTGGTTGGCTGTAAGCTAATCAAGGTGTAAATCATTGGAAGAACTTGCTCTCATCTCACCGAGGGATATACAAGTGGAGAAAGGTCGCAAGCAAGTGGGCTGCTCATTGACATATTTGTATGCAAGGTAGTATGGTGTTATACGGGCTGTACCAAAACTTAAGTCCACGAGGGCAGATGTAGTATCACTCAATTGATGGAACTAATCTGAGGACCGGTTCGATTGCCGTCCCCGGCAGCACATTTACTATAACAATGGAAGACCCTTCCTACAATGGTACCAAAGTCACCCTGTCTTATAAGGTGGATGAGGAAATGGAACAGTCACAGGCCTGTGAGGTGAGACTCTAAATTTGCCCCATGTAATGGACAGATGTATCTAGAAACACATAGGTGTTAGCTACAGCCGATACCTGCATATCGCTTCGGCGAGGGGTCAGTGTATGAATTCAACAACAACAACAACAGCTGTACCTGGCGGCAATGCTAGGTTGTCCACTCTCTTATCAATCATGTGCTGTCCATATACATGCCAAATGTTTGCCCGTCAAGGGCGAACGCATCCCACTGCGTAAGCAAATTTGCTGAATTGTCCACATTCAGGCCGGGGATAAACGAGAAGGCAGCGTCTAAATCGGCAGTGTCATGATTCTCCTCAGTAGTCGGCCCATCATTCTCGGAACGGCGATTAAGGTACGATTGGTTGATTCCGGGTAGATGGGTGTCGAAATTCAAAATCTGATCTACGAACTGGCTGGTAATCCGACGCCTCTCCTCTACACGCCGCAGTCGCTGGTGGTTGATTACCTCAGAAAGAGAGGTGAGGATCTCGTGGTATCGGTTGGCTTGTGGGCTGAGAACAGAAAGGTACAGCAAAACCGATCGAGCTGCGTGGAACGCTTCATCAGTCTCAGTGGCTATACCTTCTTCTGCAAAGAGCGCAAAGCCGAGCAATAAGCCAGACGCAAATATCCAGGCCCTAAAAACGCACCATCAGTCCGTACTCAAGAAAGCCGGATCTTAGGGAGCAAAACACACTTTAGATGGCACATGTTCCGAAGTAAATACCCTGTCTCCATCGCTGCCTGTGACATTTTCACCATGTACGTCGCAGAAGCCACACACACTTGTGCAAGATGAACAGGCGTTCGAGTTCCATCCAGCTCTGGTGCCGCAGCCGAAGATTTCGTTGTACAATTGCCGAGTTTCAGCATAATATTCGATGTAAGGAACGGCCGCGTTGCTAACACAACAGCAAAGTAGTACAAGCATGTAACCTGGACTGCCCCCAGGAGATGTTCCCTATTCTCGAAGTTTGAGTTCGTTATGGAAATACTCGAAATGTGCCGCAGCTCGGTGGGTAGACTCTGGCTCCATCTACGAAGGTCATGAAGGTATTTCTCGGTCAAGGTTGACGTATTACAGCGTTCTTTTCCTAGGGTGCGTTCAAAGCCATCAATGATATTACAAAGCTCATAAGCCGGATTGACTGTATGACCCCCGAGCTGTGTCTGTAAGTCAGCAGTGTCATTTCGCCTGTCTTCAGGCCAAGGTGGGCATGAATGCTCGAGTCTCCCGAGGATGGAGTTGACGATGGTGTTCATCACGCAGAGACTTTTCCATGTTCTAAGCCTTGATTTGTCATCAGTTAGTTATGCTGTATCAATATGTGCTCATCATACCTGAAGTTGCGTTCCCCCCATGCTAAGAACTGATAATGATCTTTATTGTGGAGCCCTAAAGTATTGGCAGCTTTCCACGCGATCCCTAAATACATGCAGGCAGCATTCCTGTGGCAAGCGCCCAGGAGGTAGAAGGCCATGAGCAGAAAAAGCCTCACCATGTTCATGCTAGGGTCGCACAGCAGTCCATTAAAAGCCACCTGCTGCCCTTGTGCGAAATACCTGGAAGCATAAGCCAAATCCGAAGGCGACAGACCTCGGCACTGGCTCCCTATGGCAAGAACCAGGTGTGCTATTGCCAGTTCGCTGATATTGTATCTCGGAGTCTCCCCCAATCGCACGGAACTTAGACCCAAGTATGCGTAAACCTCCTCCCTTGAAATGAGGTCAAGAATCGCACTAGACTGGGAGAAATGATTAGCCGAAATAAACGACCAAGGCAAGCTGGGCGGCCTTCTTACTGCCTCAAAATAGGTTTCTATGAAACCTTTCCGTTGTTCTTCGTCTGGTTCTGGCAAGCCTTCTGAAATGGTTGGGCTCGGATCAATTTCAAGCATAGAATCTTTGAATCCAGCCTCAGTGAAAGAAGAAGCGCCAGCATATCGCCTGATAACCTTGCGTACAAAATCCAAGTATGAAAGAGAAGATCTGCCTCCAGTGTACACTATGCAGCGTTCAGTAAGAGTGATGGTTTACTTGAAAGCCTGCACAAATACCTTTCTCCCCCTTGGAACTCAGCAACATTCGACTACGATCTGTAGGAATTCTCGTCCTATTTGTGGGGTCAGGGATACAGGCTGGATGCTTTTCATTGTCATCCTGGCCATCAGCAGTATTGTTAACGGTGCCATCGTTAGGAAGGCTCTGCAACAAGGAGGAGGTTCGGTGACACTGCAACCTGTCGTAAGTCGATGAATCCATGTAGACGCAGGAATCGCTCATGTGGCGCCTTTTACATCCTTCACAAGGCTTCTGCGAATTACACCGTATTTTTGAGGCCCTGCAGGGAACGCACGCTTTTATTGCGCGTTTGCGGTCTTGCAATTTGACCTGAGGCCGGGGCATCCTGAAGTGCTGTTGCAACAGGGCTTCGTCCAGTGCTGAGTAGCTCCTTAACATGGCAGGAAACGTAGGACGGACTCGCCAGAAAAAAAGGGGGAAGCACAATGATGAGATGGTTTATGGTTTATGGTTTAATAATTAACTTCCACAACCCGTGTCACTTTTGTACCGTAAGCCCCACAAAGGCTACTCTAAAGAGTAGTGCTAGATCGACGTGGATTGGATGAGAGGAAAGATGGGGTAAAAGTTTACCTACTGGCCATAACCGTGAACCACGGATTTGGCAAAGGATACAAAGCCACACAGTGCAGTCACTCTGGCCCATGTACTCATAGTAGATAGATTTGTTCTATTACGGGGGGGCAATTTAGAGTCCCGCCTTACAGGCCTGTCACTCTTCCAATTTCCCCGCCAGGTTGTGATACAAGACGAGCTTGATACCATTCTGGGAGGCGATCTTCCATTCTATTTGTAATAGACGCATTCTCAAGAATAGTGCCTCTTGGTATTAGGGGTTGGGAAACAAAATAAAAGAGCGTAGGTCGTGGCACCCTTCTCCAGAAGACATATAACTTGAAAATGCATGGGAATTGTGCAAATCCTCACCTCCACCACGGCCATCAACGAAATATATGCTCCGAACTCCTCTTCTACTAGGTACACGCCTCTATCCGAGAACCTTGTACTTTACCATCTGCTGGTCACGTCCGGATCTCTCAATTGTCGAAGTCCCATTGATAGGGGTAGCAATGAGAACAATCTGACTGTATGGGGTTGTCCCATCACTGTTGTAGACGGGGGTCTGCACATTGCATGTTTTCAGGGGTTGGTTACAGTGATCAGTGTACATGTCCTGGTACTGCTGGCATGCGGTCTGAGGGTTGGTACATTGATCAAACGTCCCTAGGGAGCGGCAGTTGATCATGCCGTGGGACAAGCAGGATCCAGTAATATTGAGATGGAAGGTCCAGGTCTCAACGCTGCACTGGTGTTGAGCCGGGCAAGTCGCAGTATAGGAAACGGTCGTAGTCACAGTTGTACTAGTCGTGGAGGACTGTGAGTAACTTGCTGAGACCTCAGCGCCCCCAGTCACGCTATCACCGGAAACCGAGCCAGACAGCTTCGCGCCGATGGTCCAGCCTGAAGTCGTAGAGTCCATTGTTGAGGTTGAGTTTGTTACCGTCATGGTCGAAGGATCGTTAGTCAGGTTAATCGCGCTAGCATCCGTGTTTGATACATAGAAGGCAGTTGCGTTTCCGGTTTGGATCCAGCTGCGGTCAAATTTTGCAGTACTAGTGCACTGCCCGAAGTACTGGATGCAGGTTCCTTCCCAGTACCACTCTGTATCATAGTACGGCGGGTTCGAAGAATCAATTGAGAAGCCGGACTCGACCTGGGCCAAGATTTGGTTAACCTCGGCGGCTGTCTGTACTCCCTGACTGCGAGCAGCCACAGCGAAAAGGAATAAAGAAAGTAGAGCGAGCGGAGCCATTTGGTATAGATTGGAAAAGAAAGATTTGCAATATGTTTTGCTTGGTGGTGGAGTCGGAAGTGGAAGGGCCTTAAGAATAAACCACAGACGTAGACTGGAAGTAGTGACGGCCTTATATACCCTGGCTACGATGACCTGTTTCACACTCGTCGAAATATCCCTCATTGTCTGTTGAGTTAGATATTTCCTATCCCCGCGTTCAAATATTATTATTATCCCGTCATACACCGCATGGCCAAGGTGCAATGCGATCTTTCTTCCCTTATTACGTACAGAAATCATGACGCGCGCACGTGTGCGCGTGGTTGGATGGACAAATTGCAGGCTTCCTTGGGTTCCTCCTTTCGCCTGTGCTCCTGCTAGGTAACTCATGAATGGCGATGATCTTTGGCGCCTCAGTAGATCCATCGTGAACATCTAAGACACCACCATTCATAATCCGTTGGGGCATATTAGCTTCCTGTTCACGTCATGTTACAGACAATCTAGTCCCTTCATGATCGGGTACACAGCAACACTGGGCCAACCATCGGCTCGACAGAAGACAAAAAGAATGCTGGCCCAAGAAACATGGTTCGTATAGTAGAGACGGCACAAGCTTCTACAGAGTAAGAATATCACTCAGTAGGTAGTCTAGACGTGTAGTTAAGGTTGAGGTTGCAAACGCCCTGGCAGGGGGGCTTGACAATTTATTTTCGCGACCTTGGGCCATTTCTAGTATGAGATCATTTTCCCCCAAGCCCGGTTCATGGTGGTTTAATAGTTACCGACTTACTATAGTTCTTGCATTTCCGCCTTGGCCGTCCCGAGTCCACGATTAATCCCATCAGAAGAATCACACCCAACGAAAGTGCTCCATCAGATATATAGATAGTACACAATCTGCTCTAGAGTGCACGCGTAATGGAGGAAACATCTGATTATGCAAGAGCTATAATCGCTCTATTATCGGGTTGAAAGTATTGATCCATATGCTTGGCATGGTAAACGGTAAATCACAAGTAATTTAGATATTTTAGGCACTTCTTTTGCTACGATAGTATAGGTAATACTATGTCAGCCAGACGGACTATCTTAAGGAAAGTGACCATATATGCAACCATGTAATATAAAGTAGTTGTCTGACGGGATAATTCGCCGTTGTCTATGTTCTAGTATCAAATAGCTGATTTCCTTGGCCGCTAAAGATGGCAGTCTTGACATCCTAACGCTATCAATGAAGTGTTCAGAGAATGCTCCAAAACGGCTGAGACTGCCTCAGCGCAACTGACTGATCATCTTCTGGGAGATTTTAAGGAGCGTATGCACTATGCCCCGGACGTGTAGCTAGGACTTAAAATTTCGATTATGTAAAAGTGTTCTTAGTACAGACGCGGATGGGGCCGTGGCGTTTGGCTTGCCTGAACAAGTTAAGTGAAGCGAAAGTATGTCTCATTTGACTGCTTAGTGAGTTTCCAGATTGAAGATCTGTGGCTCCTCTTTTATCCTATATCATCCAAAGTCCTGGAAACTTTATTTGCGGGGAAGGCTGTCATTGGCAGGCACAGTCCCGATTCTACTATTTGGTAGATGGATACGTAGGTTCTGCACTCATCGAAGCAGCTGCGAGGCGTTAAGACAGCTGACGCGTCACCCGTACAGATCTTATTCCAACCCACTGTAGTGAACTGGCCGGTTCGGTGACTCGGTCCGGGGCATCAGAGTATCGAGGTTTTATTTCGCTTCCGGCGGGCCGGTAGTGTCCCCGTTGGTATGTACTAACGTATTCCTACGTTTAACTACGGGGTCATACATAGGCATCTCTGTCGATCGTACTGGACTGCGAAATGGTTGGTTGACCAACGAGAGACAACATGAATGGATCATGTCGCAGTCACCTCACGTGTTCTTGTCTTGTAGTAAGAAGCGACAGTTCCCTTTGATTTGCTCTCCACGATGCCGCTTTTCCTTTTGGAACCTATGTGCATTGTTGAGGAAGCTGCGCGACGACTCCTCAAAGAAATGAACTAGTCGCTCTCATCCCGTCGAGGAAGCCTATTGAGAGTGGGCTTAAGTCTGCTACTTCTGGGGGTATGTTTTGCGCTTGTAAGCAAACAGTTCAGGTTCAGGAAAGGGATAGGGAACATTGTGACCGTATCCATTGAAATTGGTTATCACTTCTGCTTCAGGTTAGACTGGTGGTTAGATAACATCGCCATGTCAGGCTCCGGCGAGGCTTAGGCGATCCACGGAAAGATTGGCTCAGGAAACAATAGGTTCACGGTTTCAAGGGTCCGAGGCTCTAAATAGAATGTGGGGGGCAGACGTTGGGTTTACACGATCTACCCCTGAGGAAGGCACTGGCTGGAAGCGAGCTGGATGAATTTAGCCCTTACCCTTAATTATGGGGCTATGAAAGTGGTAGTGCAGTAGTTTCAGACCTGCACATAGGACATATTTTCCGACAACAAAACCAGCTATATCCTAGACGTATCGGCTGTGTGCACTCTGTCGAGTGCTAGTACACGCAGGGTTTAGTGCGTGAAGAGAATTTCTGCCTCGTGTATACCCTCCTCGGGTCACAGCAATCGCTTTGTATTTTCTGAGGCAACCTTTTTACCCTTTTTTCGGCAATTTTTTACTTTTCTATTTTCTTTCTCCTATTTAATTTTGCCCTCCTCAGCAGTCAGCCAACCCGCAGAGCATCTTTGCCGTCCAGTTCTGTTGTCAGTGCGTACGTGTGCTTCTTCTTTCCTCTGCCGTTCCCATACACTCCAATTTACGTAAACAGAAATCCACGCATCATTACAGAAAAAAAAAAAAAAAAGAAGCATTTAGGATCCTGTAAATTACTCGGACATTGGGGAAGAAGGTTAAGCCTCGTCAGCTAGAAGTATTCGACATTATGCGCAAGATTACTGTAACAAGGTCAACGGGGCAGTTGAGGTTCGTAACCTATCGCTATAATAAGGGTGTAGAATGAGGTTTTTGAAATTTACCTGTCCTCTCTATTTCCTTCGGTCTCTAGCCTTCTCAAACCACAGCATGATGGTTGTCGACTATGCAGTTGCCGTCCCCACCTTTACTGGAAGTGTCATGTCAACGATCGCATCTTCACTGGTCCTTCTATCTTATGCCACTTCCTCTAGGAAACGGCGCTTTCGTCACTGGCTTATTTTGAACCTGACCATCGCAGGTGGGAATATCCATATATTTTCGGCGCCAACAAAGCTAACTAGCAGGCCACTCGCATTCTTGACCAGACTTTATCAATGCACTCAATAACTCCATTTCAGGGCTGGCAGTCCTCAAAGGGGGCCACGACCTGACGCTGGGCACCGGATGTATATTGAATGCTTGAATCGGCCAGCTGTCGGTGCAGGTAAAGGACCTTTACTTCGTCTGTCTGATGACCTTCTCAGCCATGAATCTAGGCAAGCGGTTTCTCTGTGCTAGCTATTGCATTGGTCGCTCTCTGGATTATCAATCAACGGGCGATAGTTTCTGCGCCAAACGCGAGCGTGAAGAAGCTGCTGTACTGCCCACCTGTTTGGATTGTACCTGTGTGCACAAGTACGTGGGTGGACATGAACTTACACCCTTACTAATATCATTGCCAGGTACTATTGGATTGGGATTGAAATTGTATGGGCCGGTCAGTGGAAATTGGTGCTGGATTGAGCCGCAGCATCTCAGTCTGCAATTTGCACTTGGCCATGGCTGGCGCATTGCCATCATCTTGACCACCGTGGGCATCTATGCCTATGTCTTCGTTATCATCAAGCGACATTTCGAGGGAATAGCATTCTTCCCCCATGCAGCTACCAACTCAGGGCAAAGAACGGTAGAAGTGAGTAGAGGGTCGGTAGGGGTAATGACAATTGAGCTGGAGACGACTGTGGTAGTCGAATCCGTCGCAGCCGATCATGCTGGCACACGAGTTCTTGGTTGGTTTATCCGCTTGCACGCTTAAGTCGGCGCTCTGAGTATTCGACACATCCAATTCGAGTTAGCTATTTCTGAGAGTATTACTGATTATGTGTGCTTATCTAGACTCGTCACTGTCGACAATTTCCGATAGACAGTCGGAGGGCCATCGCGATGCCGTTATTTCCTCCAAGGCGGAAACTGCGACTGAAATCAATCCCTACACTGCTCAAAGAGCCATGCCTCATAGCTACTCCGAGATACGTTGAATAATGCTGCACAATGGATATCCTATAATATACGTGATCTGTTGGATACCAGGCCTCCTCAATCGTCCTTTCGAGTCACTTGACTACAGCCCTCGATGGTTAAAAATCCTTCAGGCCTCCACACAGTACGTTGGCATCGCAAATGCTATTACATATTCATACAACGAAGGGGCGAAATGGAGATTTCGTGCGTGGAGAGCCGGACTACAGCGATTGTATGACTGATATGTCGACGGTATCTGCTAGAGGCTTGAACAAGGTTTAGGCAAGCTGCGCAAGCCATAAATGTCAAGCACTGCCAACCACAGTATAGTTCAGTGAATCCGAAGAAGGAAAGGAAACCTTTAGCTGTCTGGGCTAAAGTACGCAACCGGATTGGAGTGTGTGTGTGTGTGTTACATAGAGTTCTAAGTGGGTTCACTGGGGGCGGAAATTAAGTATGCATTTGTAAGTGCTTACAGAGAATACAACGCGTTACGAACAGGGATCTAAGTGTCTCTTGGTAGAGAGCGCATTTGAATTTTTTGGTTGGTCAAACGACGTGATCAGCGGCATGCCATGGGCCACGACCCCTTCAAGGATTTTGTGGCAAGCGCATAAGCGTCTGGAAGAATTTAAACATAGTGCTGATAAAGTTGAACTCATATTCTAAAGTTCCGCTAACCTTAGCAACTTCTTGGGTGTATGGGAATCAAACCAGAACGGTTTCCTCAACATCTAGTGGATGCTGGCGATCACATAGCGCAACTGCATTCGAATTGACGTCTACCTCTGCTTTTAAATCACATTTCCAGTAGTATTCCAGGATGCCATAGCATATTGTATTAAGTGGGTGGGAAAGCTTCGGAGCAGGGTCGTTCAGAGGAAGAATGACTGCTAGCACAGGTGATGCGTGTTACCTATATGTACCTAGAAGGAAGTAGGACTTATTAGCTCAGGCCAAATAATTTTTCCATGAACCTTAGAAGGAAACAAGGTTTTAGTAGGGTTAATTTAGCATATCACTACAATATCCGGTTGTCTCATGGTGGTTTCTCGGACGCCCATCCTGGACCCATATGGCGTTCTCTTCCGCGCTGGTCATCGTTACATTTATGCCAAACTCTAAAGGCTAGCTCCACTGTTCTCGAGAAATCATCATCCTTTCGTTATTTGACAGTAACTATCATTCCTTTCAGTGAAGTGCAGGTGTTTGCGTATATACCTCTTACAGGATGCGGATGAAACGACAAAATCTTTGATAGTGTTTGATTATCAGAACCCTTTCATGGCTGAGTTGATCACTACCGCCACCGTCGCCTACATTAATTAAACATGGGAGGAATCTTCTTGGTGGAACTCAAAATTTCATTTATATTTCGCTGCCTTTTATTTTTTTTTTTTTTTTTCATTTCCCCAGAAACCGAAAGATAACTTTCAGCAAAGGATACCTATATTCTATATTTTCAACGCATTATTTGACAAACGCCTCTCACACACATTGTCCTCAGATAAAGATATCTCGAGCGTGCTTCCTGCCGCCGAAAGTCCAGCCAGAGGATCTTCTCGTCCAGGATTGGGAGCCCCAATAAGCTTGGTCGTTCTGCTCCACGTCACTCGGTATAGGTGTAGGCGTGATTGGAGAAGAGTTCTCGTACGGAACATATCCGCCGCCCTGAAACGCTGCAGTGGGGGTCGTCCAGGCTGGTGAGTAAGACAAGGCGCTAGAAGGCGCTCCGGTGGGGGGACGAGTAGTCGTAGGTGCTGCGTCCCTACCCTCGTAGAGGGCTGGGCCTGGGATCACATAAGTGGCAAGGTTGTTGAAGATATCAACTAGGATGCCGGGGTCGGTTGGTGTGTAGAACTGGGTGGCAGGAATGCCTTTCGGTGTAGCAGTGCCACCGCCTGTCACCTTTAAGTTGATGCATTGTGGGTAAGCTTGCGCACCATTGTCTTTCATTGCATTGTGTAATGCGATGATCTCATGGCGAAGAACATAATTGCCTGCTGCAATGTCGGAAGGGATGTTGACTGTCCAGGTATTGTTGGCAGCCATGAGCTCATCGCTGGCCCATCTTCCGGGGGACTTGCTGTTGTCGAGAAGACCAGCCTCGTCAATTTTGAAAAACTCAAGTTTGGTCTTGTTCACAGAAGCGCAGCTCCCATTGCAGTTCGCAAGATAGCTAATAACCTACTCTGGATTAGCTTTCTCATTGGATTCGAACAAGTTCCGTTGTAACGTGATCCTGAAACTTACCGGGCCACGGTGATCTTCAAACCATCTGCTCCAGTGGATGGTCACCTTCCCACCAGCAGCCACCTCGCCAGCAAGGACACCAGGCTTGGCATCCTGGTGGCAGATAATATTCGACTGGTTGTAATCAAAGGTTTGAACATAGGCGTCCTGGGTATCCGCAGTTGACCAGGCAATGAGGTCAGGGACGTTTTGTTCATGAGGGTATTGATCAACCAGGAATCCACCATAGGACTTGCCATCAATGTCGATACGATCGATGTGTCCATGAGCTGCGGCCAGGCCAGCTGTGCCTAAGATGAGCCATGCAACCTTAGAGAGAGACATTGTTAAGTAAAGGGAGTGAACTTCAGTCAATGAAGTAAAGCTAACGATCTGATAAGAAAAAGAGAGTGAGAGAATGCGTATTACAGGATGAGGAAGAGAAAGACGATTTGAGGGAAAGAGAAAGGGACTTTATATGTGCCCAACATAATGGGTCCTTTGCGAGTAGGCAGCACACAAGCGAAGCGTTCACTTTGCATGTTCGCCTGCGATACCCGCACATTCGCTTCCAAATGTATATGAAACACAGACTGAAGATCCATGCCATTTGAGATCTCTCAATGATTCTGCGCCTTTTGACACGTCAGACGCCCGGGTTTCGGTCTTCACCCAAGTTCTTTCTCATGTCTTCCACCAAACAGCATCTTGTTCTGTTCTGCCGATGGTTGGTAGCGTATCTGCGCGTTTGAATTCACGCTCATATGGATACACTTGTGGGATATCCAGAAATGGTTACGTTGGTACTCCAGCTTTTAACGTTATGCAATCAGAACATGCAGTACTCATGACACTTCAGCAATGCTTTCAGCTCGGGCCACTGGGAGAATCTTGTTAGCCATGTTGCAGTGGCTATGGTTTCAGGTCGTGCTAAGCTCGACACTAGCGGTTTATTTGGTAGAATGAATTCAAGGATCCAATGATCCATTGTTTCATGTTTGGAACATATCTCGTATTTCGAATAAGTTTACAGGGTACAGGTTCCTCATAGAAGCTCAGGATAGCCCGTGTCTGCGCATTGCCCATGTTGAAGCCAACAGCAGTACGTTTTTTATCATCTCTGCTTCAGTCTACGTGGTCTCAGAACCATGACTACACCTATTAAGGGCATTAGTAAGCCGTTAACTACCATGAAAATAAGATAACTAAAGTCATGAGAGTTAACAGCACGCTCTTGTCACTCAGAGAACCCCATTTGACTTCAGGTTGACCGAGTGGCTCAGCATACATTCTCTACAGGCGTTGTATCAAAGGGGGATATTCGATGAACAGCAAATGAGGGCCTGGTAGCTCTATGCGTCAAATTCGGTCTATTTCTGTCGCTCTGACGTAGTTTGTACTAGAGTCCTTTGAATAGTGATATGATCTTTCAAAGTGGCAGGCCACATTTGATGATTCAAAGCCTCCTGGCTGCTGCTGTAATCGATAGAATCCTGAGGCAGGGAAGACAATACGGTACTAATCACACCGTTGTCATTTTCGGACCTACAATCGGGGCGCCAAAAGCTCGGATCGTGAGAGTTCTTCAAGCCATGACTTTTCAGGCTGGAGAGCGGGTATTTGCCAGAGTCTCTTCCGGAGCTGCGCGCATGCCGAACGGGCGATAGGCTTTCATCCAGCAGCCAGCGGAAAAGGGGACGAAGAGTTACGAGGCTGCTTGCTGTGATTCCGAGGCCAGTTTCAACGACGGACCAGATGGCGATCTGGTAGGTGGAACCTTGAGCCATATTAATTACATTTTATATTCGAAGGTGGCCACCATAGGCGCGCCCGGCTGTTTGCTTCCAGAGACTTACGTAGGAAATTAGCATCTGCATAGAAATGAAGGAACGGAAGTCGAATTATGACAGCGACGCTTGCACTAGCACGAAACTATTAGCCGCATCAACTTTGACAACCGAGCTGTATGAACCAGATCGCTTACATGGCGCCCATGCTGAGAATTCCTCCAACTGCAAACTTCGTTCTGTTGTTCATCCGAAGCTTCCAGACGAGGAAGTAAGGCAGAATTCCAAGCGTCAAATCACACACGATTGTCACAGAACTGTAAACATACGCGATTGCGACCAGGATCTTCTCGGACATACAAGTCCCTGATTTCGTGGGATCCGCAAAATCCCAGAAGTAGGATATTGGATCGCAGGCCAGGAGCAAGACAAGCCAAAACATGACACCGACAGCAATGGTAAGACCGATGTTGCTCCAAAGAATCACACGATGAATCTTTAAAACTGTTAACCGAAGGAGAGAGATAGCAATAGATACCTTGGTCAGGGCGGACGCCCATACGTAGAAGATCTGACTGAGCCACCAGTACTGCAAAGCCACAATCCTGCTTAGCGACCGCAATGTCCGAAGGCTGAAATAAACTGGAGATGCTCTTTCAAAGAATCAGTACTTACTAGCAAGGCCTTTCTATAGACTTCCATATTTGTGAAATCTGCCCTTGAGCGGCCGACACCATTCATTGTCCCGATGAAACAGCAGACGCTCAATGTCACGAATAAAGCCTACAAAATCATGAGCAGAAGATCTTCGCTAAATTTTCCCATGGATAACCCACTAGAGCTGCCAGTATAAGGACGTCATCCCAACCAAAGGCTCTGAGGATATACAGTCGCACGAAGGTCCTCAGCAGGACTGTCACAGTGGAGAGAGCCATCATCACAACGGAAACGACGAAGATAGCCAAACTGGGGCCTACGAGAGGCATTGAAGAACTCATTTGAAGATGAGTCGTTGCCCTGGTTTTCGTGCCTCTGTTCGTGCCGCAACCCAATGTATCAAAAAGAAAAGTGCTGCGAGCTCTTCCTGACTAGCTGGTTGCTATTTCGGGTGCTGTCAAGGTCGCATCTTCCCGATTCTTCAACACGACACGAAGGAGATGAGCAAGGTCTCCCACAAAGGAAAAAGGCTCTGAGAGGACAAGGTCAAGAGGGGAAACTTCGACATCTGCGAGTGGGCTGTGGAGTTGAGTACCATCGAAGCAAGGGCGCGGTTGTTTCTTGAGCGAGGTGTACCTGTCTACCCGTGGATGGATTCGCTGATCCATAAATTAAACTACCGACGGCGACACGAGCACCAATAATACTGTCGCATTAGGATCAATAGCGGCCCAATTCCACTGGGCTCCCTCGTGTTTTCCCCTCAGGCTCGTGTTGTATTGCCCCATCAAAATCTTCACAGCCCCCCAAATTAGGGAGCCGAACTCGATATTTTCTTTCCACTAGCTGTTCATGTTGGCCTTTATTCTTGAAACCCGTCGATGGAAGGAGCCGCGGCTGGAGGGTAACATCATCCGAGGCAATCGGCCCGGTTCTAAGGGGATAGCTCCACTACAGTTGGCACTAATTACACAGATCCCTCTGGACTAGATCCCTTTTGGAACAACGGCAGGAACGAACAAATCGGTATCCAGTAAGCAACAGTTGCGTCCCAGCCATAGGCTAAGCTTTCCAGCGGTTAGGGTTGGGGCGCTAGCACCGAAGCTGTTGACCTTCACAAGAACTTGGAACTTTAAGCGGGACGAAGAGCGGCTTCTGGAAGTCAAACGGCCGGTGATTATGGAACCATAGCCATTATGTACGTAATGGGCGGTGCTTGTGGCTGCGAACAACTCCCAGTATAGTACGGAGTAGGCGATCATTAGGTTATAAGTTGCTCTAACCTGTCACCGAATTTGGTTTAGCCAGCTAGACTAAAATAAAGAATCCGTACCTGGTCTAGCGGGCTGTGGAGCTGAACCTAATTCCCAACGAGTCAGACACGCCTACCATGTAGGTAAAATATTTAGCTAACATAGCTGACAGTCTATGATTCATCTCTGTATGCGGAGCACCATCCCTTTGAACTGTGCCGATCAGCGGTCTGCTCTGCTCTTTCATATGGTTTAAAACTACTACGCCTCTTTTTTAATCCCTGGACGACCAAACAGACAGATGCAATTATGTTACCGGTGTATACACAGATACTACGAGGCTGTAGCATCTAGATATAACTCCATGTAACAATACTATACCTCATACTTAAACCTTGCACCCTTGTAGATGCTTGGTGTTTGGTATACCAAAGCCCTCAAAGAGTGCTATTTTATATACACCACGAAGAGTGTTCAGTTGGCTAGGGTGTCTGAAATATGGAACATGACTCTGTCCAATCTTTCGTTGGGATACAATCCCAACATACTCACCATTAGCTAAAATAATGGATCTCAACACCTTAGGTCCACCGTGACCGTAGGCCTAATCTAAAACCATGGCCGTTTCAAGCTGGGGCTGATTGGCGGGGAAAATAGGACCCTGACGTCCACTATCCATTGACTAGGGTAGAAAGATCTGCTCCCGCAGTGCTACAAAGCACACTGGCACAACGCTCGTCAGGAGAGGTTGAGTCGCCACATCCAGAAAGTCTTCCGAAGCTTTTCAAGGATATCGTGTTCGTGGAGCTCCGATTCCAGAGTCAAAAATTACCCAAGAACTTTAGAATACCGTTATGTACTGCAGTTCCGTGGACTATAGTTGTTAGCTTCAGTGCGCCGCAATAGCTGATCTACAACTGATTTTACGCTAGGCTTAAGATGGACTAGCAGCATTTGTTCATCCTGAGCCTAGAGAGAGTTCATCCCGCTTGGACTGCATCTGTAGCCTAGCACTGCCCATGCGGTTTATAGCGGTTTGCTTGAACTGCTGGTCAGTTCTCTGTCATTGCTTACGGAGTAAGCTTCGTGTAATTAGTGCTAGACAAAGTCTTTGGTGTAACAGCAGATTACGAAGTTGGAGCTCTCTGGTCACCACACATCCCCCGTAAAGTGCAATTACAAATGCTGACCCATACATAGAAAGTCCAGATCATAGACATGGCGTGTCCCTGGAGAGCATTTGTAATCTTTTTTTTCTTCTTTACTTTCCTTGTGAGCCGAATATGGGCTTCTACAGCGTGCCAACGCCCTCGATTTCCGTGGGATTATTGAGATGGATTGATGTTCTTTTCCCGAATGCACTGAGATTCCAAGCCCCTCTCCTTCTGGTTCACTAGCGGCCACGCTGTAAAGAACTGCTAAATTGCCATGTTAAGCGTTTCCTAGACGTTCAGTTGCGCGACGTCCAGAGGGGCTAAGTATACAAAAACTAGTTTTGAGGTTGACAGAAGCAAACAACTATAGACAAGAAAGAGACAGGCCCACTCAGGTTGAAGGGAAAGCTTAAATGGCCAGAAGGTCTTGCCATAATAAACGTGTGACGTGTCATCTGCATCCTCTGACAACCCGAACACCGTAGGAGACTCCACCAAACTGAGACATACTTGTACCTCGCTTAACAATGGTAGCTAGTCATTGGCTTTGTTCTAGCTTCGGTTGTCAGGCATGAACTCTGGTTCTCTACTGCGGTGCACGCCCGGGACATGCTCTGTGTGGGACTAACCTGCCACTTGACTTACTCTCTAGGTTCAGAGAACAGGTGTTCTGTCGAAGGTGACGAAAAGTTGATTTTAGAACTGACCGAACAAGCTCTCTTTGCATGAATAGATGTCATACAGTACTAGTTTGTCGTAGTAACCAAGCGCCCTGAACACACGATCATAACTTGAGCTAGTATATATTTACTTTAGGCCGAACTAAGGAAGGTTTTGCGGCTTTATATACCATATTTAAGAGTACTTTGCCACTCCAGGGCATTCCAGTGGTAGTGCCCCCCCGCACCATATAGGCAGTTGAGCAGGCTTTCACAACTTCAAAAAGCATTAGCGGCAAGCTGTGGCTATCAGCGCTGGGTTGGAACCCAGGCGTTACTTGCCAGCCTAGACGTACGCATCATGCAGAAGTCGCATTACAACAGCGTCCCGACCGGCATGAATGATACCCTTCGCACACGGCCTGACGTTGTGGTGAGTTATAAGCGCCAATTATCCAATATATCACTAGGGAACTGCTCCACAATAACACGTCTTAGCAGACCTCGTCCAAGATTCCGCATGACAATGACGGCACGTATCGGCAAAATTCTGCTAGACGATTGAGATTTCAATTGTGGTCAAGAGTCAAGCAATATGCCCCTTTTGGCACAACAGGAAAATCCCGTGCCCGCCAACTGGCTGCCAGTCAAGCAAGCCCTTGTCTGCCAGAGATTAGTACCAAACATTCTGACAAAGTCACGATTACTTCTGAAAAACATGAACAACTGGGTACATCGCGATGCAATGCCAGTATACCAGACGGCAGATCCAGGTTCATCAACACCGTGAAATCAAATCCTACGGACTCGCGTAAGTCGATGAGCCTTCGTATTGTGGTCGAAAGTTGAAGCTCATATTTTACTTCGAAAGTTCCAGCGCCTTCTCCCAATAGTGAAAAATCAAAAATTATTTCGACTGCTAAATCGCCAACCAACCCTTTCAACGCTGCCATACTTCACCCGGTTTCTGGGCCCCTTATTCTTCCCTCACAAGCAAAAGTTGCGTCGGTGCAGCTGTCACCTCCGACTAGCAAATGTCAAGACGCACTTCCCAAGACTACAAAGACAGATACGGAGGGCTCAATTCACCCAGTTGAATTATTCGCCGTCAGCGCGGAGCCTGAAACAACAAGTCCCCCTCCGGTGCCCCCAAAGTCACCACGAACGATGGATCGCTCTCCAAAGCTTCAGCAAGAACAATGTACGTTTATCTCGCCATGGAGAGATCTCCCAACTTCGAATCACGGAAGATACGTCGCATCCGACCCGCTCGGCACAAAACCTCCATACATGAGCCAAGCCGTACATCATTGCAACGGCCCATATAGGTTCCACAGTGGAGGAGCTCTGCTGGGCCGACGATTCCCAAGTGAACACAACTCACCAAGCAATCGCGAAGGCCAACGCCATACCAAAGCTGAAGATGCATCACCGGAGGTAAGATCTGCGTATACACTTCCTGGGACACCGCAACGAATCCGTGGCATACATGTAAGGTATCAATCCGACACATCCGTCATGCAACGGGGCAGATCAACACGGACGAATGGCACAACTAGTAGGAATCCAAACAAGGGATATTTCTCGACAGAACGCCGAGCATGCTTCATGCTCCCTCTCGCAGTTGCTCCATCAGGTGCTAGCCCGGTCTTTTCGCCAAATGAGATAGAATGTCTGCACCCCTACGCTAAGCATCAGGCTGAGGCATTCAAAGCATTAAACTGTGGTGAAGTTAGGGCACTTTCTCTGGTATGAAGCTAGGACCCGCGGTGTTGTATGTTAATGCCCACCAGCTAACGTCATAAAGGAACTCCGGGTACTTGAGGAGCGCTGCAAACAGATTCGCCGTATTTACAATTCACTCGAATTCGAGCTCCGTGGTCTGCAGGAACGTACAACTCGGCTCCTCGGGTCCCAAAGCACGGACTTTGCTGAGTGCAGGAAAAACGTGTTGATCCGAACAAAAGCTATGGCAGATCTTAACGTGTCCATGAAAGGTTGGGCCAGCAAGTTAGAGCAGGCTACAGACCAGCAAGTCTATCTCCGTCAAAAGCTTGCAAGACATGTGGCGGCGACTTCGCTCCGCGACACGACCAACCCGGGGCTTGGACTATCGGACGAGCCAGATCATGGAACAAACCCGGTAATGACGTCGAATCTTGTGGATACGAGCCGCAGAAAGACAGAATCCATTAAGGTCTACGCAGACTTGAACGTCTTCGAAGAAATTGCCACTTTGGCGGAACCCGAAAGGCAGATGGAGCTTACGGGTTTCCCCACAAAGGAGACCTCTCGTCACGGTATTCTTCCATTCTGAGCTTGTCCTGTCCTGGTCAGCAGCCTTGGTGGACTTCCGCGTCAGATAGATAGATGTTCCATATTTCAGACCTGCGATTCAGGCCGCAAAGTTCGAGTAGGTGTTGGAGAAGAAGATCGCCTGATCAAGATGGATCTCTTCAGCCAGGCAGAACATTTGGCGGTCCAGGCATTGCTAATTGTTGTATGTCCGGTGCTTAAAAGAGTAACCGAAGAACCAACAGCGTCGTAGGATTGGATTATTATTATCATTGTCGAAATTATCAATAAGTCCAGCTTTGACACGCAGCTCAATGGTATGATCTCGCTCAGTCGCATTCACGACCGACTGAATATTTTCCAAAGTCTGCTGGATTGCAATTCCCTTTGGACGAATCGTAGAGAAAAGGAGAGGATGCCGTGGAGGATGTTTAGAGCAAGATAGAGGTGGATATAAAGCTGTAGAAGGCAGAGTCTGAAAAATAAGCGCGAGCATCTCAGGCGGTAGGTTGCTTAAACCCGCCATTAGGATGAAGTTGTATGGATCAGCTCTAACAGTAAATTCCCCGGTATAGCTAGATCCTCCTTCTCTTAATAATTTCAAAGTAGGACGACGGCAAGGAGCCGCAAGCTGCGTGTGCTTTTGGCCACAGCTACAATACAGTGCATTGCGCTGGCTACAACAAAGATGAGGGGAAACTATCCAAGCTGGAGAATAGAGCTATCTTCAGCCCCGCCACACACCGCAGCATCGGCTATTCTTCCTTCGTCCACAACCCCACTAGGATCTCTCATATTTATTGGCTCGAGGGAAAGGATATTCCAAGACGGGAAATCCATGTGGTTTGAATTTCTTGAACTTCAGCACTAGTTGTTACAGGGAGCTTGTTTTTAAGGTCAGCCAGAAAGAGTGTAAAATTGGAAATTAGGGATGGGAGATAACCCGAGCGTGGAAGAGTACATATCCCTCTTAACAGAATAACTAACTGTACTACAACTACGCTGCGGGCCAGTTCCTGGACAATGCCCGGATGTACGCGGTCATTATAGTATTAACAGGAGTGATCAACCGCGAAACAACGTTGATTCTTCAACGAAACGACTGAGGAGAGCTATTAGCTCGGTTGAGCAAGAAACGTCTGATTTCTGACAAGTATCCACTTGCTCTTTTGCCCGAAATACCACCGTTCCATACTCGCTTTCCTCGGCTGCCCATTGGATTGCTGACCTGCCGCGATTGTCCAACGCAAACATATCAGCTCCCGCTGTGAGGAGTCGCTGTAACACTGTTACATGTCCTCGTCACGCTGCCCAGGGAAGTGCGGTCATATCAGTGCCATCAGGGAGAGAAGGATCGATTCCCTCGTTGAGTAGTAGATCACCTATCTCCGTTGCTTGGCCATCTCGGGCAGCTATATGGAGTGGTGTAAACTCCTCTGTGTAAGCCCGTGCAAGTATAGGAGCGATGGCAGCACCTTCTGCCCGACGAAGAAGTTCATCAAACAGGGGTGGAAAGGATGCCCAGTTATGTGGAGCTCTTCCACAATTCCCACGTGCAAAAGCGTCGGCTCCAGCGTCAAGTAGTTGTTCTATTGTTGCTGCAGCTGCGGCTGCCCTACCACTCTGGACGGCCCAATGAAGAGCGGCCATTCCATGATCATCTGTTGCTGTTATATCTACCTCTTCGACCAGAAGCATTGAGAGGATCTCTTGACTTCCACCATATGCAGCGTGATGAAGGGCTGGACCTGCATCAACGATCTGTTTCCTTTCTACTACTTGTCCAAATGATATACATAGTCCTGAGAGACTCGCTTGAGGGTGTTACCCACCCAAGAGGAATAGAGAGTTCTCCCATCTCATCTAAGCGCAATGTCTATGGAGGTCAAGTGAGTCAATCCTACTAGGTTTCTTACAGCTATACTATTTTGAAGACGAAAAATACTCAACCAATCTCCATTTAGATCCCTCAATGGCCAATGGGCCGGTGTCTACACCCTGGACAATTCAAACGCAACCGCCAGCGGCGAGTCTGAGTTCTTTCTTTCCTTTGAAAGTGATCTCAACGACCGCACCCGGGCCCGCATCAATGGACAAGGTTTTGATGATGCTGGCTCGTTCACAATAGCGGGAACGCTTGACTCAAAGGACTTGATAAATTTACAAAAGAACTACAGCACACGTGGATGGACGTACGCTGGGAAATTGGATCGAGCGCTCAGTGTGGTCCATGGCTCGTGGGGGGACATTCGCAATGGACCGATGGGGTTCTTTGCCTTTCAGCAGGTGGATGACGAGGATGTCGTATCCGCGGGGTAAGCTGCCAACACATCGGCTTAGATGGACCGTGGTGGGTGCTAACGGATGATAATAGGGAGAAAATCCGGCGCATTAATGGTCGATGGAAAGGAACATACAGCGCAGCCAGGGAAGACACCCGTTGGCCGTGTGAGTTCGAGTTGACCGTATCTCCCGGGAATAAGCAAGAACAGTTGGCGATCGTAGGAAAGGGACTGGACAGCGCGGGTGCGTATTGGATCAAGGGGATGGTATTAATCTGCCCACCAGGTGATGTTTGTTAAACAGTATGCGGGACACTCGTAAATCTACCAAGGTTACATATCTATTTTTCTGTCAATTCTGTATATGCTGAATTGAGATTTCATATACACTTTCGCAGTTAGATCCCCGCCCAGTCAAACGGACGCGCAGCCATACCAGGCTCCTTCGCAGCTAGGTCCCACACTTCCACGGTGCCATTGACCAGCTCTGTGTTGTTAAACAGTTCCTCTCGGATCTGTGGCTTGATGGGCTTTCCACTCGACGTCACCGGATATTTCTGCGTCGGCCGCAGCACACGCAGAAGCGTGGGCAACTTATATTGCAGGATTCCTTTTTCTTGAGAAAGCCATCCCCGGATGGTCGCCAAATCTAACTTATTGCCAGACGTGTTGTCCCACCTTGGAATGAGCAATGCTGCAACTCTCTGTCCTGTGTGGAGATCAGATACACCAAGGATAATTACCTGGGAGACATACGGGTGGGTAGACAGCGCTTCTTCGACCTCCGGGGCAAATACCTTCCATCCATTGAAGCGAATAACTGTAGATCAGTGAGCAACAACGTTATTCCAATCCTGATTTTGGGACAACTAACCATCCTGAGATGCGCGGCCGTGGATATACAAATAGCCCCCTTCCAGCCGCGCTAGATCTCCTGTTTTGTAGAAGCCATCGCTGTCGAAAACTCCCCTCATAACCTCAGGATTAGGCGATAGGTACCTGTCAGGATTTAGAGCTAAAACTACACCATTTTCTGGCAGTGTCCACCTGTGGGTAGTACCTACCTCGTGAAGAGGGCCGGGCTTTTCACAAGAAGCTCTCCTTCGTCATTAAATTTCAACGTCACCAGCTCCGATGGTATGCCGCAAGACTCCTACATGGATAGACTGTTTTTAGTAGACATATTCGTAACGACGTGACTAAAGGAGCCCTACCAGTGGTATACCTTCATCTGACTCCCATGAGGTCCTAGCGATCATTGCAAGCTCTTCAGTCATCCCGTAAAGATCGACGAGTGGCTTTCCCCCACGCAGATCCTTCCAGACAGTCCGTCGAACTGGACCAACAGGCATAGAGCCCGTGGCTAAGACGCGAAGAGCGCGAATACCTGCCAATACCGACTCGTACCTGGACGACGACCATGATTTCTGAGCCGTGTCTAGCTTCTTCTCCATTTTATCGAGCATGGTCGGAGTCATAACCATGCACGACACATCGCCAGCCGACAAGCGCTCCATCAGCCAATCCGGGTTGCAAACACTGGCACAAAACTCAACGCATGCTCCAGCTAACAGGGTTATGAAAAATTGCCAGAATCCACCCATCCAGTGAACCGGAGAATGCAAGAGCCATGTATCATGGGGCGACATGCCCATGTGACCCATCAGAGATCGCAGACCCGCGACGGCACTTCGCCGGGAATGAAGGACGCCCTTGGGTGGGCCCGTGGTGCCTGAGGTGTACAGTAGGACAAATCCTTTCTCCATGTTAATGGAATCACACCGGTCGTGTGACTCCAGGACAAATGCCGGATTGTCTGGCGGGGGGGATTGTGTGGGGTTAAACGTGAAGGACTGGACACCGACTTGGGCGGATATAGCTTGGGCGTGCTGGACGCCCGCCGTCCCTGTTGTGAGGAGTACCGCATCGCAGAGCTCAAGGAAGTACTTGGCTTCCTCTACAAGAACCCCAGGTGCTTTCCTATCTAGTTAGAAACACTAGTTATATGATGAGAGTGACAGGACTTAACGCACAGAGAGGTACAATCACCGCCCCCACACTGTAGATGGTGTAGCAAAGCACTGCGTATTCATATCCCGGAGTGGCCAGAACCGCAATAAATACATTATCTGCATTGGGATCACGAAGCGCTTGCTTGGCATGCTCGTCAAGACTATCCCAGAGCCGAGTCCGAAGGGTCACGACATCATACAAAAACCTTTCCAGTGTGGCTTCTGGGCAACATCCCGACAAATCACGAATTAATGTCTTCTTCGGAGTTTTCCGCCAGCACTGGAAAAGCTCAGTGAAGAATGGTTGTCCAGGGATCTGGAACGGAGGGGCAGACATTTCTTCGGAAATAATGGGGAAATATATACAAGGGCCGAGCACAGAGCTTGGATCTCGGATGAAGAAGGTGGAGAGTGGAAATTGATGTCTCAGAGCGGTATGAGTATGGTACCCCGCATAGAAGAAGATCAGCGGTCCACGATTGCATACTCTGGCAAATGATAGATCGGCACGAACTACAATCCATGTGGTTTTAACTTCACATTTGGATGTCTTTCATTGAGAGATTATGTAAGTGTGCATAGCTCCCGGCCCGCAATCCAGCAGATTGATTGGACAGCCGGAATTCCAAGCGTACTAAATTCATCCGATGGTTCCAACCAGAGAGATATGACCAATGAGGAGATTTATTTACAATATCAAAACTGACTCACTTATGTCAATTGGGATCAAGAATTCGACTCGCCGCCCACTCAATGTTGATTTGACTATTCCAAAAATCGCGAAAGCAGGGAAATTGGGAACGCTTATCGTGGAGAAGTTGAAGGCCAAACATCTCGTAAATGTGCAGGAATCTGCATGGTATAGCTATGTAGAGGCTGCAGCAGCGCAGCAAAAGACCCATACGATAATACTGTTTCGCTTTTCATTCTGGCTGTAGGCGTTCGTCAGTTGCAACAGACGCGTTACCAACAGCTGCTTTACAGCTCATTCTAGACTCGAACCAACTGATCGTTTGGTAGATCATCCTCTGGGAGCTGGCGCTGTGTGTGTACGAAGGACCCTGCCCAACCCGGCATATTCGGGTTCTTCTATAAATTGCATAGTTGACAAATTTCGTATTAGGATAACTGCTCTGTGGTTACAATATGAGGCGATATCCCGTACAAACCGGAAACAATTTCCGAGCCTTCTTCCTCACCTTGGGTGGCAATGGATGGCTGGCTCAGGGCCGATCCGTGCAGCCTTAGCGAGTAGTTCCGCATTGAAACGTTCCCCATTTTGGAGGCTGACGCTCGTCGAACTGCCACAGTTGGCGAGATACACTAGACAGCTTTTCTTTGGAAGATTTGTAGGTGCAGGAAGCCTAAGTCTCCTGTGCCAGCGCCGGGTCCTGAAAGGGAATCCTGTAAGACACAATTGCTCCCACCGGTCAACGCTGAAACTAAACGGAATTGAGGATATTCTCCACCATTGGTCTATTAAGTAAATTTATGGGTAACAGAGGGGTATGCTTGCGTGTTGGAGGGTAGTTGGTCGGCTTGGCACCTCATCTAGGATACGGTTCGGCTCTTTTAATCACCTAGCCGTGAGTAGCTAGGGTCAGGAATCGGGTGCCTTTCTCTTTCATGACCAGCTCTTTTTGTCTGAGAGAAGCTAAACGTCACAAGGCACCTGCCTCATATCACACGTCACAGTGTGTAAAGCATACTCAGTGAAGCAAACACCCTAGCTTGAGCCGGGTAGCTTGGACACTCTGCTCTTGATGAGGCTGAAGACTCTTTCTGATGCGAAGGCTGCAATATCCTTTGCAGAATGAGGCAGGCATCGAAAGCAAGGGCAACGACAATAGAAAAGAAGGGAAGGCGAAAGAGGAAATAAAACATGTGGGTGGTGCACATGTGTCCAAACCGTTTATAAGTGTCAAATAATCCTTGGACTTTTGCCCTGGTATTTTCTCCAGCGATCAAACTTGGATATATGATAAATTTGACATTGTATATACCACGATATCTCAGGATTCTGAACCCAAGCCAGATATTATGGCGTTACAATACTCCCACCAGCATGGCATCCCTGGACCAGAACCTATAGTTAAGCGCAACAACAGCACGGATGTTTCTCCTGGAGGCAATCACGTATACCTTGGGAGGTATAAAGTAGAGAATGGACATATCATCTCTGGGAATGTGTCCGCACAAGGGGATATATACATTGAGACTCAGAGCAAGACGCTTAACTATCTAGCGTTTATTTAGTATTTTTAGGATTTATTATTGCTAACATTAAATATTTAGTGAAAGAAAAAATCCATACTTGGCTATCCTCACTTAATTTCCTTCAAACTCAGCAGGACCTACCCAGAAAAAGAACACAGTGGACGGGCACAACGCTAGTGAGCAGCGAGGCACTCAAGGGATGGGTTTCAAGCTCAAAGGGAACTCTCCTATATACTGGGCTTCGTATGATATATCCCTATCGCCCCTAACTTGGAGCTCGCTAAACTTTCCTCACCGCTAGCACTGGTAAGACCATGCAAGTGTAAGAGCTCCTCGCAGCGATCAAACGGAAGAAAAGCTAATGGAGGATGGATCAACATATCGATCATCGTTGATCACCTCCGGAGAGAGCTCAACGCGAATAACAAGCTTGGTGTAGCCTGCGTATATTGCAATTCTAAGGATCAAGCTCGCCAGACCGTGGACAGTATCCTGGCTAGCCTTTTGCTGCAGCTGGCTGTCGCCCGTGGGGGTCCTGTTGATGATGAGGTGAAAGAACTGCGCCAGAATGATGACCAGAAGCATACACATCCAGATGTTGATGAAGTTCGCAAGGTACTCTACCATGAACTCCGCAGATACTCAAAAGTCTTCCTCATTGTGGATGCCCTGGACGAATTGGGGACGAAGCTCGTGAAGAGTTTGTGGAAGAACTCAACAAACCTCGCTCGTTAGAGCAAACAGTGAACCTCCTGGCCACCTCCCGGTCGTAGAGACGCCTTCCATACATGTTCCCCACGTATACAACCGTGGAGATTCATCCCTCTGAAGACTTAAATTCATATGCGGATAGCCGGATCAAGGTTGACATCTCGCGCGACAGTGGAGGGCTATCAGATTAAGAGAAATTTCACATTGTGAATAGGGTGGTAAAGGGGAGTGATGGAATGTCAGTATCACCATATCTATCATGGTGTGCAGCACTAACCTGGGCTTTGTAGATTTCTTCTAGTGAAACTGCATATGGATACGCTACGTCCGACGCGAAGGAAGGACGAACTCGTTACCTGGATGAATGATCTGCCGGATAACCTGGACAAAGCATTTGAGGACATGTGGAAAAGATTAGGAGGAAGACTAAAAGGCAACTAGAGGTTGTGAGACAAATTTCGTACTGGCTCACTTCGGCGTTCCCGCTATCTGACCGTTGGAGAATTAGAGGGGGCTTTGGCTCTGAGTTGTGGAGAAGGAACAGCCCCCAGGATTCCAGATGACCTTTGTGAAGGCCTGGTCGATATAAATCAGAGCTCATGAACAGTCCGCCTAATCCATTTAACTGCCCAAAGTATACCTTGAGAAGGAACAAAAGGACTGGCTCAGGGATGCTCCAGGTATTGCAACAACCTGCATCGAGTCATTTTTAACAATAGGCCACAGCCTGAAGGAGCAACTAGCGGGTTCTCCTCTCGTTGTCTATGCTGCTGAGCAGTGGGGATCCCATGCGCGACAGGAACTTGATTGGAAAACCGAGAAAGACGCGAGTCCTATCAAGGAGCAAGCTCAGGAACTCCTTGAGACGAGTCATAAACTGCAATGTGCAATCAAAGTCATGAGCCTTTCGCAATACAGCCTGCAACGGAGGAAGAATGTCACGAAGTTGCACATTGTCGCATACTTTGGAATCGACCAATTGCTGAAACGTTTGCTCCGAGGGAAACTGGCCATCAACGCCAAAGAACACCATGGAACGATAGCTCTACACTGGGAGGTACGAAATGAGCACAAGGCTATGGTGACATCAATGGTCAACAACAAGAGCACTAACATCAATGCCAAAGATAGTTATGGAAGAATAGCGCTGGATTGGGCAGCGCGGAGCGCAAATAAGGACATAATATCGCTCCTGTGGCAAAATAAGGGGAGGCTGAGGAAACGGCTTAGGAGCCGATCAACCACCATACAGGATAAGCACGGAGCTACGCCACTGCACTATGCCACCAGCAATGCTATGGAACGATCGTGGGAATGCTCCTGGAAAAAAGAGACTAACATCAACAAGAAAGAACGAGGCGGAAGGACTGCGTTATCCCGAGCGATTGAGAATGGATCCCAGGAGATTGTCAAAATGCTCCTTGACAAGAAAGTCAACGTTGATCGTGCTTATAGACTTCCTGAATTCGAGGACCGTTGCGTGCGATATGGGACCATTCTTCGGAAAAAAATCCACGCGCTTCTTACCAATGGGGATAAAGATGAGGCCGAAGGGCACTGGCTCCTTGCTTTCGCCATTTAAACCATGCAATCAGGCACAAGGATTATGAATACGGATGGACCGAGTGTTTTGAGGGCCTCGTGCCAAAATGCGAACGCTGCTGGGTTGCAGAACGTGATGGGTCATTCATCGGTTGCGTGCTGTTAGTGAAGGACAGGGACTCGGATCTCAATGGAGCAAAACTGCGCCTTCTTCTTGTCGAACCTAGCGCACGAGGATTTGAACTTGGCCGTGCCTTGATTCAGCAATGTACCAGTTTTGCTCGCGAGGTGGGTTATTCGCGAATACGGTTGGGGACAAATAATGGCTTAACATCGGCGCGACGCCTTTACCAAAAGGAGGGATATAAGCTTATAAAGTCAGAAGAGGAGACACTAGGCATGAAGTCGGTTGGATAATACTGGGAACTGATCCTATAGGTGGAACGATCCAGCTGAGGTAGCTGGATGTATTCATGATTCCCAACTTAAAGCTAAGGCTAATATAAATCTCACTTTCTAGCTCAGAAAGACAATATTGGGGTTACTGCTGAAGGCTATCAGGTTTTTCCTTTATTTGTTATCTTCTTTATATATATAATTCGCCTGGAAGGGTGTCTGTGGTGGGCCGTTGTTTTGCATTCTCGTTTCTTCAGATATTCTTACTGCAGGTTCCAGTAGCTTGTACAAAACTCCTTGTGCTTCATTCAGTTCCTGCTCTTTGCCCCCGCCCCATCGCTCTGTCATTTCTTTATTGCTTGAAGTTGATCGTAATGTATGTGTTCCGTGGCAAAGGGGGACTAATTTGGGAGTGGGCGCCTATAACAGGGCAAACCCGGTCCACGTGCGGCAGGGTCCAGATGTCTAGCGGAAACAAGCACTCTAGCGTCGAGCTTCTCCATAGCTAAATAAAACCTTGCCAAGTCTGTGCGTCAATAAAACCCCTTATATAAACTCCCTGCCATGTTTGCGACATTAGACAGCATCTTTGAACAATCAAACTGTTTTGCTCAACATGGTTCGTTTTCTGGGCCTGTCGGCTGTCCTGCCTGCGTCGCTACTCTTCACATCAACATCATTTGCGAAGCCCCAGAATGATGTTCTTCCTAGGCAACTGCGCTTGGCATATGCCGGAGAACAGGGTATGATGGTTAGTTGGAACACTTATTCTCAGTTGACCAAGCCCACGGTTCGCTACGGCCGCAAGCCCAACCAATTGGATCAGGAGGCCTCTTCCGATGTCTCAGTCACTTATGAAACATCTTTGACCTACAACAACCATGTTCCGTTGCTGGATCTGGAGCCAGGCACTGTTTACTACTACCTGCCTGAACATAGCAATGCTACCGAGCCATACACTTTCATGGCCAGTCGCCCTGTGGGGGATCAGGCTCCATATTCGGTCGCGGTAGCAATTGACATGGGAGTGATGGGCCCTGAAGGCCTAACCACCCATGTCGGCAAAGGCGCAGGCCACCCTTTGAAGCCTGGGGACAACAATACCATGCAGTCTCTCCAAGAACAGGGAGCAAGCACGGACTTCTTATGGCACCGTATGTTTTCATTCTTAAATTCAGATGCACGCGGATTACATATTGACCATGTCCCTAATGCAGCGGGCGACATTGCCTACGCCGACTATTGGCTCAAGGAGGAAATCCAAGGGTTTCTTCCTAATACAACCATTGCCGATGGATACAAAGTCTACGAATCCTTACTGAACCAATACTATGATGAAATGTCGGCCATCACTTCGAAGAAGCCATATATGGTGGGCCCTGGCAATCACGAGGCCAACTGTAAGATTGATCCCCCGAGCAATGAAGAAGCAGCCATCTACGGACGCTGTCTAATGTGTTTTAGGTGATAACGGTGGTACAAGTGACTCAACGCATCACATCTCTTACAATGTCTCCATCTGTATGCCCGGTCAAACCAACTTCACCGGCTATCGTAACCACTTCCGCATGCCCAGTCCCCAATCGGGGGGTGTGGGCAACTTCTGGTATTCGTTCGACAGTGGTATGGTGCATTACGTTCAATTCGACACGGAAACTGACCTCGGGCACGGTTTCATCGGTCCGGATGAAATTGGAGGAAGCGAGGGTGAGGAAAGCGGCCCATTTAGCACGCTTCGCGACGCCCAGCTCAACTGGCTTGAGAAGGATTTGAGCTCTGTGGATCGAAACAAGACCCCATGGATTATTGCTGGTACGTTTCTTAAAGTCCTATCCTCATAACCTCCTCTGCAAGAAAGGGAAAGATCCATCGATATGGATCTACGATATCAGTACTAACTAATAGTCGCAGCCGGTCACCGTCCCTGGTACATCAGCGCCAAGAATCAGAGCGGCACAATCTGCGAGGACTGTCGTAAGGTTTTCGAGCCGATTTTTCTGAAGTATGGTGTTGACCTGGTTCTATCTGGTCACACGCACTTATACGAGCGAAATGCACCAATCAGGACTTTCAATGCTGACCCTAACGGCTTGAACAATCCCAGCGCCCCCTGGTATATTACCAACGGTGCTGCTGGTCACTACGATGGATTGGATTCCTTGAAGTATCCTCTCCAGCCTTACTCGCGCGCGGCACAGGACTCGGCGTATGGTTGGAGCAAGCTCACTTTCCACAACTGCACGCACCTCACCCATGAGTTTATCAGCAGTTCCAACGGGACTGTGCTTGATACTGCTACTCTTTTCAAGAGGCGAGAATGCAGCGCAAAGCCTTAGATGCAAATCACGCTGGTTATTTGGTAGATGGGTAAGAGTTCACATATCATTGGGTTATCCTACATTACATGTATAGTTATAGAGATATTAGATTTCACGGTATTCCTTTCTTCCTTGCCACATCGTCTTTCCTCATACCGTGTGATGAATTGAGAAGGGTAGTGATTATTGAATAAGTGAGGGATATGTTTCAGAATGGAGTAGTAACTTCTAGCAACAGGCTATAGGATATAAACAAAAGTCATACACCAAGCATTAGTAAAACTGTACGTTGTGGGTATCTCGCCACTTTAAGCCGTTCAGGGCCATTTGCAAGAACTTGACAATTCTTTGTGTAAACGCTAAGCACCAGAAAATGACTATGGCAAAAAACCACAAAAATTGAAAAAACATACCACAGGGCGGATTCGCTGGTGGTCACCCACCCAACTACTAACCTCCCGGCGTGTGGCTTCTGCACAGTCAATAGGTCACTATATATCTCTGTAAAATAAGTATAGGTGATAATACCAAGTCATCACGTACTTAGTATAGATATATTTCAAATGGCGGTAATAATTTGCTATATCTATTATCCTATAGTAATAGACCAGAATATACAGCATATCTATCTATATCTACCTAGACTATTATCGCTGCCAGCTCTCTGATTAATAAATAATCCTATTCAGTTAAACACCCAGTCTCTTAACAGCTATGCTTCACCACCTTTCCCGCCAGTTAGTAAAAGCTAAATAGTTAAGCTGTTTAAACGTGATAAGTATATCACAGTCTCCCAAGTTAATATTATTGACTCCCATCCAGATTCCGGGCGAGTCTCAGAGACCTACTATCTCTTCTCGGCTTTACCCTTCTGTTACTTGAGTTTACTTCAATATCTCTGCGCTCTCTGGCTGGAGCTGCTAACTAATGCTTTTGTATTTGTCAATCTAATGTCACCGTCATTGATATTAAGGGTACTTCTGAAACGGTCCGTCGTTTACGTATTCTGGAACTATTTTGGAAGCTGGCATAAGGGACACAGTGAGTGAGCAGCTGCGGAGCACGCCGTTTCAACTCGGAGTAGGAATGCCATTCTACTTTGAGGCAAAGAAACTTTTAGCCACCCTCTTGAGTTGACCGGTGTGCAAGGATACTTGTTACAGAATCGACTTTACTGTCTGGTGGCTGCACGGGCATTGAACCAGGTATTCGAACAAGGTATCTGGTGTACTTGTTCAGCCAGCGGACAATCCTAATAGTGAAGAAATAATATACCAGTCTTTGCAGCCCAGGTACTGTTTTATTTAGCTGATAGGAATACCATACTATCGTTACAGTTAAAGTGATTATTGATATGCTCCCCGTCAGATACTGCGCTTGTTTGATATGATGTAGCAAGGGAGAACTGTTTCGAACCAAATACCCGTTTCAATAGCTATTGCTAAGGTATTACCACACATTTGTGGGAATGTTCTAGGCGATCGCGTCTATCAAGTAACACCTGGAAAGGGTAGGGATGTTTCGAAGGTCAAGGAATGGGGGAGTACGTACGTTTATGGCAAACTATTCGTTTCAATGTGACCCTTAAATGTAAATAGATAATCCAATTTACAGAACCTTAATCATAAGAACCAATTTTAATATCCCATACCAAGTTATCCACCAAGGCCAGTCAGATAATCTAAAGTGTGCCAATAGACTTCAGTTGGGTTGGTCGATGGTTGTGTTATACCGAGTAAATCAATACCTAATCCTTCTTTGAGAGCAAGAGGGAAGAGCCGTATTGCAAGCCTCGGCGTTTGCCTTCTGCGTCACATTCTCGTTACACTCGCCTCCATTGTGAGATCCACACCGTTCCTTGATTGCTTCTGGTCTTTCTGCATCTGTGGCAGAAGGTCGGGCACAAAGGCTTCCCTTTGCGACAGAGTGTCGAATAATGCTACCGTTTTCTTTCTTTCTTTCTTTCCTTTTTTTTTTTCTTCTTTTTTTTTTGCCTTTTGTTGAGAGCAGCCAACTTACCCTTTTGCAACCCTAGAGTTATTAACCTCTTCTTGACCTTCCTTTACTAGTGATTTACTTTGTCTACTTTCCCTTGGAAGGTGTTAGGTATTTCATGCCGTTGTAGCTTTCATAAGCATGCCCAAGATCTCAAGGTCTTGTCTAGCATCAGACGGAGTGGTCTTTGCGACCTTCCCCTCCACGACCCATTGGTACACCTCTTAAGCATGAAAGGATCCTTGCCGAATGGTGGGCTCTCTATATGACCCGTCCAGTAAAACCTCCTTAAGTACCATTGTTGTTGGCAGGCCTTTGGTGATTGGGGAATCGATGTACACCGTGACGGTTTTGGTGTTACCAAAAATCTCTATTGAAGCGTTAAATCTTATGACCTGATCGATACTGGACTTGTATGCGACCGCGAAGTTAGGGTATTAGAAATTGCACTATTATCGTTAATTTAGCTAAAACAGTGATTTGTTAGGGAAGTGAAAGGTTTATTTTTAAAAAGGGGATCCGACAGTGGCACAAAGAGAGAATCCTACGATATCTTTAGATATACCTATAATCTCCCGCATAGCACTTAGATTGTGCAAGCTGAGGATAGAGAGTATCTCCTATATTATAGCCGTCTTCTTCGTGTGTGAATTGGTGCTGGACACAATTCCAGCACTAGCCAAAAGGACTATCAGAAATGAGGGGATATAGCTATGCTATATACTGCGGGGGCCCCTATCCTAATTATATTTATAATAATTATTGGTTGTTTACTGGAGGCTTTTATATATGATATTTATATAGCCATTGCTTATGAAGTTAATTTAAAATGAGAGTAGTATTATAGGAAAGGAGATACTTCTCTTGATATATAACTGAGCTTTATATTCTTCTGGGTAATCGGTCTTGATATAATTATCGAGAATATAGTATTGGAACTATTATCTTATATTATAAGCTTACACCAGAATAATATTAAGTCTAATACAGAGACCTTTTTTATTAATTTATCCCAAGAGATAGCTGGTAATGTCTTCCTAATAAATACCATTATAAGCTATCCCGAAATCGGGAGACGATTTTATCCTGAGCTTGCGGATAAACTGCTACAGTAACAATACAGAGCGAAGCAGCTGGACGATGCTTAATTATGTCACGAGGCTCGGGCATCCCACGGTCGCATTCATCGAACCACGCATATGGGATCCTTTCTCCATAATAATATTTATTTCTCCGGACTTCCGTTCTAACAACAGTCTACACGGGGCCTATATGTTCCCCGGTTTAGAGACACGACAATCCAGGAACTGAAGAGAACTCTGGCGCTTTTCGAGGCTAAGGTGGAGATAATAACAGGTGTATCAGGCAAGGTTCAGATTTTTGAAGACGCTTCTCTACTTTCGTAGAGATATAACCTGGACAGGCTGTCAGCATAATCACAAACAGCGTTCACCACAATGCCGGGGACTTCATCCCCCACGCAGGGACTTTCCATTTCAAAAGCGATGAGATCATGAGATGTAGCAATACTACTACGGTCCTCACCAGTCTTAATAACTGTATCGCCCGATCCAATGCTTCCAATGAAGATTGAAGGGGCCTGGGCTTCGTTGTTGTGTCCTTGCTGCTCGAGTGGTAGCTTTATTTTGAGCCGCTTTCGTTGCACCAGATCCTTGCTATTCACATCCAGACTCATTGCATGAAAGCTCACGTTTTGATTTCTGCTTTTATAATGCTACATCTGTGGTTGCTACTCATGATGCATCGGTGGATAGTGAGCTGGTAAACCCTACGTCATCTTCCAATGAACGAGATGATCGTCTTTCCGAATCAATGGAGGCTTGGAATGGATTATCTGGAAGAAGCCGTGCAGATATGCAAGGCGAGAACAGGTTATGGGCACTGCGATAATATTCCCAATGTTCTTGAATGCATATGGTATACACAGCGCCCAGTTGGGGTGGTATAACTTATCTCACAGCACACACTCTATGAAAGCACTTTTAGAGTAGAAAGCCCTATTACATGAAAGCTGATAACACATGATAACCTTTCTCCTGTCGGCACTTCGAAGTACTAATTCATACAAAAAAGAAATTCTGCGGATCCTTGTGTGGTGACGCACCCCCATGTATTACCATATTTATCTGTGATAAGTCCAGCTCCTGTATGGTATTTAGCACAACCTGCGCCCAAGGTGTTCAAATAGTCCGATACAAGTTTTGCCATGTCAAAGTCCTTTGTCTTCGCTGCCTGACAATGTACGCTGTCCTTTTGGAAACCAAGCTGGTCGAAATCCATCGGCGTAAGACGGCTATAGTGTACTGCATCTTTCTGTTCAAGATATTTTCGCAGGACGCTTGTCGGCCTATCGCACACATGGATGTGAATCTGCTCTTCCGTCCTTGAGGTGACTGAGTTCATCGCTAGAGTTCCATCGTCCCAGCTGGAAAATTGCCCCGTCAATAGCGTGATTTGTCCTAGTCTCCAGCCATTATTGTCTGGGCCTAGGTCCAAGATCCCTGGCAGAAGATGTGGGGTGGTAATTAATGTTTTGGAATGGAGCAGCGTCCAAGAACCAGTAGACGAATCGTGAAAGCAGTCACCGTCCCGTAAGCACCGACACAGGCCACCAAAGTATAAATTGCAGGTCTCACAGCCCTTATTGTCATCTGTACAGCCTACATCACACTTATCGACTAGGTTTGAGTTTTGCCCACATCCATTGCCAAGGGGGCAGGTGTTTGAGCAGGCATGAAAAGATGATGGACAAGTACAACCCGACACCGAGAGTTTGGAAATATCACTCTGGGTGCATTCGGCTGCTGTGGTAGTCCAAGGTAAGCTCAATGTCAGTAAAATAAAAAGAGAAATCAAATTTCCTTGTTTGACCGCCATTGTTTTTGGCTTGCCAATACTTCACTTCCCTAATTAGATCGTTCGTGGAAGGAGTGTTGGACTAGTTGGAATGTACTCTGGTGCCTGGTGTGGATCGGTGGAAGAAGCTTGCTCTATGATATAGTTGGAAGAATATGTCAATTACGTAGCTGTGGGAGGTTTAAAACTTTGTACTTGAACTCTAGGAGAGCTTAATGACCCTTGCAACGCTCTATCACGCCCCTCGCATCACATCAGGCCACTTTGTCCATGCCTTCGGAAGTATGGATCAATAAGATGATGACGCAGCGAATGAGAGTAACGCGATCAAAACTATAGAGTAGAGGCCCTAATCATACGGTTGGTGTAAACTTAATCGATGAACACAGTATTCTAAAGTCTATCGGCTACCCGTGTCCCACATCATGAAGGATCATTAAACGCGCTGGCGCCTAGACCTCGATTGAAAGAAAGTGTATGGATCCTTGGAATAGTCCAGGTGGCACCAATATGCCCCACCAAGGCTGTAAAAGTCTCGAACTTGAAGGCCACGCACACTGGTGAAGGCATTTAAAGAGACAAATGATATTCTGTCACTTCTCTCTCTACGAGCGGTTCGGTTGCATATACGCCTCTTGGAATCGCTTTGTACTCTGGCTACATATTTTCCTACTGCATGCTAAATTAACCACTCCCCGGTAGCCGACCCCTGCCGGCAAAAGATTCCGCTAGATCCTTTCATTTCCGAATTCTCACAAGTGTTATGTTCAGGAGGATTATCGGCCCGCAGATGTAATTCAAATAATATAATCCAAGGAATGGTAGGGGACCTGGTCGCCTTCGAGGCAGTCTAGTGTTAGGGAGGTGGGGTGGGGAAAGGGTTTGTACCAACCCTCTTGCTAAACGTAAGAGTGACAAGCAATTCCAACTCCGGGGAGAACCCTCATTCCTACCGTGGAATCTGTCAACTAGAATTTAATTGCTTGTTGGACCTTGGTCGAACATATAGTATTGAGAATTCATAACCCCCCCCAAAAAAAAAGGCTCTTCCAAACAAAACCCAGCAACTAATTAGCCAGCAATTCCGCAGGCACCAACGCATGAGAGAAAATATACTTCGTCCACATCAGACCATCGTAGTCTCCCCATGGTCTTTGTGTTATGCTGTCGCTGAGGGCAAATGTACTTCACTCTGGTATTAGTATTTCAAATAACTAATAGTAGGGTTATACTGCTTGTACATAGAAGCCTGAATCTACGATATCTGTGGCAGGTTCTGCCCTTAAAGTTATTATTCCTACCCTATATAATCCACCTGGCGTAAAATCCTCGTACATACGACCATAGGGTGTGGAAAACAGGGCTTCCCGTCCGCTCAGCCGTACTTAAGCCACACGCCGGGAGGTTAGTAGTTGGGTGGGTGACCACCAGCGAATCCCTCCTGTTGTATGTTTTTTTTTCTTATTTGCTGGGTCCTGAAAGGCTAAATACTACAAGCAAGACTCCGCCGAATGTGCGGAGGAACATTTCTATCCCATCTGCCAGGTAGAGAGGAAAAGCATTATTGTGGCTTGGCAGCAACGTACGAAGACTGCATTCCGGGTGGTCATGAACACATTCGCCTGCCTCATTAATGACACAATTAGTCTTGTCCCATTACCCCCATTTCTCGTTATATTGTGTCATATCCTTATTCTAAATCCTTGTCTATGGTGCCAGAAATGTACATCTATTCAACCCAATAATGCAAGAACAGGTCACGCCTTTGTGGCAACAATGATGCCCTCCCCATTGCTTGGTGGTTGGTAGAAGGAAACATCCTTCAAGCCTACAGATGTAAGAAGATCACGCCACTGTTTCTCGGTGCGTTCGAAGGCGCCGACCTGGAGCATCATCATAATACTGATACACGCGGTGGGAAAGTCGCAATCCCGATCAGGGATGATCTGGTCGTTGATGATTAATTGAGAATAACCTGGTTCCATGGCTCCGACAATATTGCTCAAGATACTGTGCGCTTGCTCGTCTCGCCAGTCATGCAGGATCCAATGCATATAGTATGCTCGAGCGCCTTGTGGATTCGTCAGTATATTAAGGGTTAAATTGATGGGATGCAGGAAGAGAAACTAAGCCCTCCGGCCACGCTAAGGAAATCAATGTGTTTTCGTACCTTTCACAGGTTGAGCAGTAAAGAAATCATGCGCCATCAACTCAATACCCTTGGGTGGATTGTTGATGGTGGAGATCACTTGCGGTAGATCTTGCAAAATGCGACGCCCTGGGGCATCAGGAAATTTGTCATTGAATGGATGGAGATACTGTCCTTCGCCACCACCCACATCCACAAGCAAGACATCACCCGGCTGGTTGCGAAAGCCCCCAATGAGTTTGCCTTGAATATCAAACCAGTCCACCCAGTTCGGGGTTGTTTGCTGCTTGAGTGTCATCCATTGCTGGAAGTCCTTGGCCAGGGACGGGTTCTGTCCCAGCCACGCGAAGTAACTCATGGGAGTGTTCTTTGCGAGCTGGAAGGGGGTATCTTCTGCGGATGTCGGGAACTGATTGTGATTCTGACGGAAGTACTCTGGGGCATAGGTAGTGCAGTAGTTTCCAATATCGAAACTGAATTCGTCCGAATGAGTGACCTGTGGCTTTGACCCACTTGATGCGCAAGGGAGGAATTTGCATACCATGCTCTAGTTGTCGCCTCAAGGGTCCCATCCGCCATCACCATGGTGAGAGGGGAAGGCTTGTAGGTGTGGACTCCTGCCTCTGACACGTATCCCGCGGCGGCCAACAACCTCAAGATCTGACCTGCGTACGCACAAGTCATCAGTAAATGTAATTTTCCATGAAGTGACAAAAGTCTTGGGATCGCCATCGTGAGAGTGTCAAGCCTTAAGGTCGTACAACCGCAACTCCATATTGCAGCCGGCATTGTAGGAGGACAAGTACGTAAACCCACCGACAACGATAACACTTGCTCCTGACTGGGCCGCCATTTGCTCAGTAGTTGTCCCCTCCTCTTGGCGGTCGCAGATCATCCGGAATACCCCAAGCTGCACCCCCATGCGAAGGGCCATAAGCAAAACAGGATTCTAGCATCCCTCGTCAGCTGGTTAGCGTCTTAGCCTTTGGGGCAGACATGATGCCAGTTTGGCAAGGTGCCTGTCTATGAACACATACTAAAACCACATCTTGCATCACAGTCTCTGGTGGAGACCCCAGGGCGTCCAGGAGGCCTCGTGCTGCCTTGAGAGTCCTCAATCGGGTAGCATCATCAAGAGATTCTCTGTTGGATTGCACCGTCTGCGTGAGAGACGCGATCTGTTCTTCAAGAGAAGGACTACTCGACATGTTTTGGTCCGAAGCCCTTAGGGAATATCAAGTTCTTGATAAAGTTTGGGGTATGCAAGTCGGCAGGGGGGAGGGAAGATTTTAAAATGCCACGACCCACTACGATGGTTTGGAATATTACGGCTATTAGATATGGCTAAGGGACTTGTGAACCCCGAAGTCCACCGGATGCCACAGGACCCACTGACGAGAAAACAGTGGGGATATACACTTGGAGGGCATACAGAATATGGTTCTAGGAAGTGTGGTTTTTTATCATTCGGCTAGGAACGATATTACTCAGGGTCGTTGTTGCGCATCCGCCGAGCAAAGGCCAGATAAGCGGCGGGTATGCGTCCCTGGCGGAAAATTCCCCCTAGCTGAGATTTCTCAGACGGGGGCTGGGCCTTGACGGAAGTATGCACGTTGATTGCTGTTCCCCATCCCAATCTCCCACGCAACAGCCATGTGGAGCTCCGGAAGCGATTAAATTAACGTGCGATGCCAAACTCGAGATCGCGGGTTCCACTTGCACGCCATCGCGATCCATGGCCTGAGCGCCAGTTCGAGTCTTAGCCCCGAACAATTAATCCAGCGAAATTGAAATTAGGTAACCCTGTACGTTCCTGCTTTAAAAGATGGTGAGAATCCCGCCATGCGCAGGGTCTGATTGCCTGCATTGCTGCATGGCTTGCGGTGACAATGGGCACTTCGTCGGGCAGTACGGACGTCGCTTACTGTGGTGACTCGCTGATGGGCGTTTCCATTGCCATCGCAGTCGTCCAAATACTAGTGGTCGCAGCTCGGTTCTATGCCCGCTCTGTACAGCGAGTAGCCTACGCAGTCGATGACTACCTGATTATACCTTCTTTGGTTGCTCTCCCTATCCATCCAGCATTCCGTCTAGCGTTACTAAATGGCCTCCCTGCGTATAGATTGCTAGCTTAGGCCAATCAGCATTATACATAATCTGTACGTGCGCAGACATCTTCGTTCCAAAGGTTTAAGAAGACGCTCTGACTTGTGAAAAGTGCTAAAGATTGGTGGGCTGGGGTACCATCTCGAATACGTGATGCAGACCCCCGAGAAACTCGTCAATCTTCAAAAGGTGACATTGATATAAGAGCCCTCGTTAATGCGACCGTTAATCCTGTTCCAGGGACTCGTTGCAAACCAAATTCTTGATTTTCCGTTTACCGTGACCCCGGCGAAGATTTCGATCCTTCTCTTTTATATCCGCATCTTCAGCACGCCGAAGTTCCGCATGATAGCCTACACGGTTGGCTTTATTGTCCTGGGCCACGGGATTGGTGTCCTTTTCGCGGCGATATTCCAATGTTCCCCTGTGCAGTATGCTTGGGATAAGACAATTCAAGGTGGATCGTGCTTTGACCAGCAAGCGTTTTATCGATATGTCTCACCTCCGAACATTCTGACGGATGTCTTGATCTTGGCCATGCCCTTGCCGTTTGTCTGGAAGCTGCATACACGAATGACACAGAAACTCGCCCTGACGGGGGTGTTCATACTTGGAGGATTGTAAGTACTTTGCGTATCGATGCCGCCACCGACGTTGACTCACGTATCCTCCTGTAGGGGAACTGTGGCAAGCATTTTGCGCATGACCATCTTCTTCCAGGAAAATGCACTCACTGACCCAACCTGTAAGTCTTCACAAGATGCACCCAGCTGTCATCTATTGGTCGTCACTAATCTTAATCGACAGGGGCATCAATTAATCTAGGTATCTGGACCGTAATCGAAGCAGGCATCATTATCATTTCGGCTTGTCTGCCTTCTATCTGGCCGTTAATCGTTCGGATTCTACCGCGGAATTTAATGAGTAAACACTCCTCTAAGACCCGAGGTCACCACTATACCGCTAGCAATGTCAAAGTGAAGGTAGGAGATGGCTTCTCCAGGCTTGGGGAGAACATCACTGGGGAGGCGGACAAATGGCCCCTTGACATGAATCCTTCGCATGAGAGCCCATCCACATCGATACACGGTCAAATTCTGGCGAAGGGCGAAAGCATATCGCTACGAAGCCTGGACGAGACCCAACAGGAGCCTCGATATTCATGAGTAATGATTCCAGCTAGAGAATCCAATTCAATTTATGTTTCTATCAAAGGTCATTTATCTATTGTTGCCCCAGTCTTTCGTATGGCTTCATGGTTACGTGCAGCTTCGTTGTTCTTGCTCTCACCCCTGATAGCTTCGGGCTATAGTGCCAGAAGTCATTGACTCATTGCAAGACAACTGCCAGAAAACGACAAATCTTACTCGGAGTTCAATTTGATTAAGTGCAGAAATAGTATGTACCGGAGTCATAGAGCTAGCCCGATTGAGGTGCTACTAGTCTACTTAGTACTATTTACTTCGTATACGCCGGACGTCCTCGGATAAAAAAGTTAGTTCGAAGCTTGAACAGCAAACGAAACGCCTTCCTTTATATTTGATCTACTATAATTTATCCTCCAACCTTTTGATCGCATGGGACTGATGGGTAATCGGAAATTTAGCCGTGGCAGTCTTATCAGTCCACAAATCAGCGCTGCTCTGCGTCGAAAACCTGACTCCGTGCGTAAATTGGGGCAATTAGTGCCAATTTCCAAAGGCTCTGCAGACCCACTTGAGGCCAGCTGGGGACTTGGAGTCGTACGATCGGTCCTCCGTAGTGGAGTCTATTCATAAGCGAGGTTGAACCTCGGCAGCTAATCATACAGTTGAGCCCGATTTCCGCGGATTTCTTTCCCCACCACCTCTTGGCCAGTACTCTTCTCCCCGTGAATTCCGGCTGAAAAGGTTAAATTCCTCGTTTCCGAATAAGTCCAATCGCATCCCTTAGGGAGGGCTGTTCAGGCTGACAGATTCATCAGTCCTGTTACCTACCGAGTCACTGAGGTTCATAGGCCTCCTATCTGTTGAGGGTGGTGTGCTTGGAAAAATGCGATACCGCGTCATGATAACTTGCCAAGGGAGTTATCGATAAGCCGAAAACGAGGTGCTTTTAGACTTCTTTGGAGTATTTTTAGGTGTCGGCATCGTGATGTTAGGGGAGTCTGTGGCCAGACGTAAATGTTTAACTCATCTCATCAAGGAGAAGCGATGACTATATAAATATAGAACCTCCTTGTCTGTGCTCCGCGCCAACAGCTCTCGAATATGTTTTGACATCTCCATATAAATTTCCAAATGCATACCGTTAAATGCGAACGTCATCAGTCTCGTTTTCCCCTTGGATAGGAAGAAGTTTCGAGAGTTCGAAGAACAGTGACGCTATATTCTATTCCTGTGAGTCTCTGCGGCTTGTATGAGAGAGTTTGCTCACTTGTGATCAAAGAACTCAGCCCTTGAAGGTGTGGTACTGGATGCTAGGATTTTTCCAGTTATTCACCAGGCATGAAGTCATTCATTTTATAACCAGCGCGTAGCCCAGAACAGCAAATCTTCGTATCTTATCGGGATGCTTACCCAAGTGTCAAGAAAGCCAACTAGCTTCCAAGGATGATTCTCAGATTCTCAAGGCCGTCATATTTGGCGGTAGGTATGATGATCAAATTATAGAGAATCCCTACCAGGAGATCAGCAGGACCCAAGGAAGGATGAAATTACCTGGGTTAAAAGCGGATTGTAAGAAGTCGGAAACTAGGCCTCCAGGTTCCGATGGGTATTGCAGGTCTGCAGCAGCATAGATTAAAGAAACCCTCATTCAGCTAGGGAATCTAGCAGAACTGAAGGAACTAAAGGCAGGTTACTTCTTCTGGTAATACGGGATAAGGTCAAACTTCAGTGCTTGCGGCTAGTGTGCTCGTTACTTTGGAGCACCACTCCTACGGGCTGTGTATTACTCGTGATATAGGACGGGACCCAGTGGATGTTGCAAAACTCATTCATTTAGTTGATTCTAGCCATCCACGAGAATGGCTAGCAAAACAAGACGACTTTGCCTGAGGTTGGTGTGATATTTGCTATCACCACAGCTTACTGTCGGGCGAGATCAGGACTGTTTCAATTAATTGAACATGGATTAGTCACTCGCAAAAAGCATTTCCGACATTATCATGTCTAGGACTCCTATGGGGTAGCAGTTACATATCGTGTCAGATATTCTAAGCGATACTCGATATGCAAGTAGTCGTTCAGTTTCGAAATTAGGGCGAGATTGGATAACGAAATTGATTTTTTCTGGCGTGATTGTCATAGCTTCAGCATATACGCGTAGAGACATATGTAATATATCAATATTGTGACACATGGCACAGAACGATCTCCAGATTGCCCATCAAAAGAGACCTAGGGGTGCGGAAATAGGCTCCTCGTCGTTGCTCACGAAGACACCCCAAAATGTCTTATAGAGAGACCTGTTGCAGAGATGTTTGAAAAGACCAAACAGTCATTATCTTGGACAGATCATGACAGCAACCAGATATAAAGGCGCACCCTTCCACTGACACTAAACGTCATATCGCTCTACTATCATAATATACGATTCGTACGTTTCCTTGCCGTTCAACGACAGCGAGCACCCTACCGCAGCTCCCACAGTAGTGCTCACAATCTTTGCAACTTGGCATAATGCACGGGATGAGAGCACCAAGGGGGCCAAGAAAGATGCAGCACACACATGACCAGCAGCTATACTCAGGGTTATTGGCCTGTTATCACCGCACGGAAAGGGAGAATCACGTAGCCCTCGACCCAACAATCATTTCAGTCTGAGTTGCTGTTCGTGCATGGCAATATGGGCAGTCAACTATGGTGGGACGATTTGTGAGCAGGGTTAGAGGAATCACTTTCGGAGCCTCTCCTGGCGGGGCGGGGACTGTCGGTGGCTGGGTTGTGGGAGTTACTTCAGGCGATTCGTTCCTTCCTGTTGGTGACAAGGGTTTCTCAGACATTGTGAAATGCTAGTCAAATAGTCTTCGTATCGAAATGTCTCTTTGCCCAGAATGCAGATTTTGCATGTTTGGAGGCGAAAAGTGTGTATTTCACTTCGTCTTCCTCACCATTGCCACTAGAGAAGCTGGAATTGTCTTAATTGTCTTCCGCCAAAGAACAGAAGAGCCCTGAGCGTTCTAGACGTGGCCATGGTGCAGCATACATACGAAGTCTCCTGATATGCCGGCAGCTCCGTGACGTAATCGACAGCCCGAGTTCGGTTTCAACGCATGTCATCGATAGCTGGCTTGGCTCTCCACGAAGTCACCAAACCACTGCATTCAGGACTCAGGAGCCATTTGGGTAACAGAAAGATCTTCTGTACAGGGCAGATGGCCTGTCGGCTGTCCACTAGGTGAGGGTATGAAGAATGGATCATCTAAAGTCCTTGAATCTTGATATACAAAACAAAGTCTATATATACTGATTTAAAAATAGAATCTCATTCTAGTTTAACGTAAGCTCCAGTAGTATACTATGATAAATTCCGAACCGAGACGAGATAATAAAGACTTAGATATGTTAAGGTGTATTCAATATTAAATTAAGTGAACTACCGAGAGTTACAAAAGCCATTTCAACGAATTTAATCATATACCACCCTGCAACTTGCCCTGGCTTTCCAAAATGCCATGCCTAGACCGAGCGAAACTGGGTTGGCTTCTCGACCTTTACTTATACCCATACCACCCAAGAGACGAAGAGGCTTGCTGGCAGGTGTTATTTTGGCAAACATTCACACCACACTCTTGTTGTTTCGTGCAAGCATCTCCCAGGCTCAAGGCCCTCTTGCATGTGGCATAGTCACTGCAATAAAGTCCGCCAGACTGGGGCTCACCAGTACAGAACGAAGAGCATTTTTCATTCGGGCACTGACCGACGCTCTCATTCGACGGATGATCAACCGACCGAACATGGGATGTCCACAGGTCTGTGTTGGCTCGCACCTGACACTTGATGCTTGCGACGCGGCTGCCGATGTCGCCGTATCTCTCCCCTTGCTTGTTCGCGAAGAGGGAATAATGGCTGCGATCGTATGTGATAATTTCGGTTGCACATTTGGAATCCCTATTTGCTCAAGGACACCCGATTAGCGCTGGATAAGAGGAGAAAGTGAACTCAGACTGTGCATACGAGTATAACGAGCATATGGCTGAATGGGTTCTGTTGTGCAAAGAGCAAGGGATATCAATAGATCCCACATTGCGAGACCTGTATGCCATGTTAGATGGACTGCGAAGATCCAGTGAAAGCACTTAAATATTCGTAGCGACATACAAGAAACTCGGTAGGGATTTGCATTGGTCATCCAAGTCCAGGGCTTGGTCGCTGCCGTCGAATGCCCAACCAGTGTATGCCTTGGGTTTGCCAGTAAGTGGCTCACTGTCGTTAGATGCCTCAGGATTGGGACTGGTACATGGACAGTCAGTACCGAACTATGTAACCCTAGCTCTGCATAGCCATATGCCAATTAGTGTGACGAAGATAGGCAATACATACTCCTTAACCTTGCACCAAAGGCGTTTGTACCCCCCGAGGTAGCACGACTCGCCGTAAGCTCCCTGTCTGATGCAGTCATAGCCCACCAGATTTTTGTTCCAAAGGGTCAACCGGTTGTAATCCTTGCTCCATTCTTGCAATACATAGGTACCGTCATCTCGTACTTCCGTGTCTCCTAAACTTTTGTCGGTGCTACCACAGATGGGGCTCGTGCCTTCCCAATGACATCTCATACCCTTTTCATCGCAGTCACGCTTAGATAGTCCTCCTCGGACAAGGATGGCGAGGAGAAATAAGAATCTCATATGCATAGCGGTATCTGGTAGGTTTAAGAAGTGTTGAAAAAAGGTGTTATACTATGTTTTTCGTCCAGGACCGGCAAAGACCTTTAGAGGAAAGATGGAGATGAGAACAATAACCAGGGCCTAGGAGAGATATAAATAGGAATTGAATGACGATTAATGCTCAAAATTTGTGTTTCAACAGTATAGTCAGCTTGGTAACTTTCAGTAGACGCACAGCAGCATCGACGGTCGATCTCGGTGTGGACGTGTAACATGTCATCTGGTAGTTATCCCTTGCATCACATCAAGTGAAAGGGGCAAGAGGAAACCCGAAAAAGCAAGCAGAAGCTATTGAGGAATTTTCAATTTTGAAAATATTGTGACGAATGTAGATCACGATTGTTCTGCCGGCTGAAATTGATCTGTCAATGCAAGTGCAAATAGTCGCATTGATCATCCACAATGTAATTTCGAACGACAGGATATTGCTTTTGTTTTTCTATGCTTTTAGAAATCAAAGAGGACATGTACTCCTCCTGCATGAACACACTCTGAATGAATCAATAGAGTACGGAATAGGCGAATCTAGCCATGGATATCCAAAGGGCTCTAGGCGAGGCTAGGATATGTCAGTCAGATAGATAATGCACACCGAACAGCTCCGTTGGCTTTTATCTGGGCATTATGGCTAGTTGAAGATCATTGCATATTGCTGCCACATGCACTTCATCTAAGATGTTGAGCAAATCTTGTGAGATATGTACTGTATGCAGAATTTCTCTCTCTGGCGGAGATGCCCGGGCTGGCGACCTACATCGGATCTCAAAGATTATACCACAAGTGAAGTCGTCGAAGCAACAGCCATAATACCGTCCCCAGTGAGATGACCAAGCCATAAGCGTCAATTTGATTGGCGCGTTAAGGGTGGGAAGGGCTTGGGTGTGATTGACCCTGCAATGGGACGTGGATGACGACATGACTCGGGGTAGATGAGAGACATGCCATTCCGTATATGACCTGGTCCACTTCCTCCGATATTGACCCTAAATATCTCCTCTTGGTCTACATAATCTACTAGAATAACAATCCCCTTGCTTCATCCCAGTACATCGGTATGGGCCTCTGCTTCAGCGTCCCCAGCCGCCGCCGGATGCGCCCGGGCGTGATGCCTCCACCCCGAAGACATACCCTCATGAGTTCATTTGGCGGCCGACCTCACTATGGAGCACCTGGAATGGGTCCGGGAGGATATGGACCTGGATGGGGCGGAAGACCCTATCATGGTGGACATGGTGGTGGATATGGTGGTGGATATGGAGGAGGGTTTGGAGGTCGAGGACGAAATCGTCGCCGGTGCTAAAGATGGCAATCCGTCTGGGAGAAATTTATGAGCTTTTCGTCTCAGGGCGACATAACGATCTTCTCCAACCATTCGCCTACCGATGTATCCATGTCCCAGAAGCCGAAAGCTCTGGACACGATAGGCATTTCCGCTCACCATGCCATGGGGAATTGTTAGACACTCGCATAATATGACTTAAGCGACCGGCGTTCCTTACTGTGACAGAGTATTGTCTTGTTAGATTGTCCATCGGAATTTCCAATCCAGTGATGAAGCTCATCCTACCTTGACGGATTTCTTTGATTCATATCTAAACAGATCCAGCATGACGGATGAACCTCACACCCCTTGCAATCCCAGCATCTCCCTCTTTCCTGTTGATCCTGGCTATAAAGTACACCCAGTAACCTCTCGTTCGACTCTTCCTTATTCAGCATCTCCCTGCCATCATGATAAAGATCGTGTGCTGGAAGTTATAGCCGACGGCCTAGACTCTCCTCAGTCGAGCACTCTCCCATAACACATACGTCTCCAACTCTTCTGTTCAACAATGAATGTAACTGTCATCTACCAGGGTGATCTACATATCGAATACCACGTATCGTCTGACATCTCTCATGGTCGACGCTAAGCCTCCATTCCGAACAATGCTGCCAGCGTTCCAATGCCTACGTCATACACTTGTTCCATAAACTTCAAATTGTTGTTAGGTTCGAATACAAAGCAGCCGTACAGCCTTCCACAACAGTCACTCACAGCCCCTTTTGAGACTCAGATCCCCGTCCGGACACATGCTCGGAGAACTCGGGAACGAGGAAAGAGTCGAATAAGGCCTTCTTGTCAAAGACCCGCTCGCCAGGCGAGGGGTGACACTTGACCCCAGTTCCGCACCGCAAGTGCCCTGTACGCATTTTTCTGGTTTCCCGAGCACTGCATTCCGGTGCACCTACTCTCTGAGGCGATGGACACTTGAACACAAGTACGCATGCTCTGCGCACATGGTTTCGATGGTGGATAATATCCGCGTATCCGTTGCCCACAACTATGGTGCGGCGACCCTGAATGCCCAAGGCCATCAGGTTCCGATTCAGAGTGTCGGGCTGGACGACGTCAATATTGATTCCGAAGCGGCATCGCCAATGGGTTGCCCAGGGTTGGAAGACACCGTCGAATAGGTGGAACTTATATACGAGTGTCGCTGCCTTGGGAATATTTTCTACACCGGACTTCTCCTTGGCTCGTTCTAGATTATACTTGAAGATCTGATCAAAGTTAGAACGGCTGAAAGGGCTAGTTCGTGCGATTCCTTGCTGGCGACTATGGCATCTATCCCTACCAGCGTAGAAGCCCATTTATCTTGAGTTAAGAGCAACGTATCTGAGTTTCCCGGGTCAAGATGTTCGATTTTCACGGCCTTGGCCTGTTCCTACACTAAATAGAGAGATTGTGCGTGTATTGCTGTGCGGAAGATTGCAGCGATTCCGGTGGCTGTGGTAGTCTCCTAGAGCTTGTGGTACTCTTCTGCATCCCGCGTGGCTTCGTCCGCGATATGCTGGATCAAATCTTTATCTGGCTTTTAGACCTCCTCAGAGACTCAGTGGTAATCCACTACTTATCCTTTCATATGCATGGCTTCGGTATTGATCTGACAAGTACACCTCTCCCAGAACGGCTGCCCCAACCCGTCACCCTGTGCCAGTTGGACATCTTTGGCGACGTACCGAACGGCCTTCTTGGTATATACGACGTGGTACACCTCCGTCTGCTTGTTCTGGTGGTCCAGAAGGGTGACCCCCTCCCAACCCTCCACCGGGCGCATCAGATGCTCAAGCCGGGCGGCTAAATTCAATGAGACGACCTGAAGTACCCTGATAGCGAGGTAGTCAAAGGCCAAGCCATGAGTGACGTGTCGAATCCGGTACGCAATGCCTTTCTACGCGTCGTCAAGTCGAGTGGTCGCAACGACTGGGTTCTTGGTCTCCCATGTCATCTATTGGAACGCCACGGTGGTTTTGAAATTGCGCAGTTACGCAATTATAAGGACCAGCGAGAGATACGGAAAGCGAATGGGGACCAATATATTCTCGTCATGGAGGAGTTTCCAGCTCAGCTAAAGTGTGCCAAACAATTGGACGATGCTCATCGCATTGACTTGATGATTCGGGGGTTGGTGGAAGAATCGAGACTTGGGGATGGGTTGCCCAGGGCTGTGTTTGTTGCTTGCAAGGTCGGTGGTTTATATGCATCGAACCCAGTCATGTTTGCCGAGAGTGCATTGACTGGCCAGGAGACTAGACCTGAATTTTGAATGTGTAGAAAGTTGCCCTTGCATTAGCGAGCTACGCCCGAGCATCGCCGGAGTCAGGAACATTGGCTATAGAAAGGAGCAAGAACCCCAGCAGGAGGCAAGAAAAAGAGAGAGAGTACCTCCGCCTCGCCCTCGCCCCGTATATTGAAGTCCCCGTCCTGTGCAGTCAATGGTTGTAATCCCTACAAACTTTGCAACATTCAGAAGCCCACGATTCCGATCGACACATCCGTTGTACAAAAGCCACATTGGACCTCGGCTCCGCGCACCAATGCGGCTTGTCTTGGAAAGATGGAACAACATTCCCAGTGGCGAGCTACGGCGCCATCGTCATGCAGTAGTGAGCTATTCTCCTCGGTGAAGTGACACTGAAGCCACTCAAATGACCGTCGCAGCACGATTCGGTCCTGAGCTGTTGCATTCAGGGTACGGGGAACTCTAAACAGGAAGATGAGTGTGTCGGCCTGCAAAGCTGTACGGTGAGGTTGGCCTCATGATTGCCGGGCAGTTTCTCCATCTTTTCTCATGCGATGGACAGAAACAGGCGGGAAAGGGGAATTGTCGCCCTGTCTAAGGTGGGCAATATACTGATTGGGTCCCAACAGTCACGGTGACAGGCTAGAGGGTATATTTGTCCGTTGGGGATGATGTCCTACCATAACCTCGAGAGCTCTCAGTAACTGTGGCAGGAGATTTCCTGCGAGACCAACACCGAGTGGACGGTGGACGCGACAGTGGTGGACTTGGGACACTGGGGGTGGAAGCCGAGGATACCGAATGGATGCCTCCAGATCACCAGGAACTTCACTTCTATCTCACCCGAATGCGTTAAGTTTAGTCCGTGGTATATGCACGAAAGATGTCTGCTTCAACAATGGTGTGGCAGTAAGTCTCATACTATAAGTTCGGTCATAGTTCATTCTACCTCCGGATAGCCACCGCAGGAGCTTGGCAGATACAATGTGTCTGTCATTCCAGGTACGTATTCTAGAAAGGTTTCCTCACCATGAGATGCAGAGAGTCTCCTAGCAGTGGCCCGGTGGAGAAGGTATCGGGAGGCAGTTTGATGCGTTTCTCTTGCTTGTAACCATATACACGCGCCCGAATTGGACAATTTCCTTGCCCATCATCTTGGGTCACAGCTAATGGAAATTGCAGTCATTCTTCAGCATTTTGGACCCTTCTTCAAATGCAGATCTGGGCCGTTTAGGTAAAGATCAACACCTGGGGGTGGGCCGCCTGATAGGGCTACGAGATAGCGGAGCAAATAATATGGGGGGCTTTGACCACCACGAGGCGTGAGAAAACTGCCTTAGCCTTGGCCCCCAAACTAGCAAGCAACCCTTGAAATTACTTCCTCCGGAATACGGCACTTGATCCCCTGGAATTGGTCGGTTCTACCTGGGTTGCGTCGGGCTGGGCCGAAGTTATCACATCGTTTAGGGAACAGTCGGTGGAACCCCTCGTATCCACTGATTTTGAGCCTCTAGTAGGCCAATCAAGTTGAATTTAGCCCCTGCAGGTTTCATGACAGTTGTCGACGGTCCTTTGTCAAAGTTCAACTGGTGGGCACCGCGTCAATTTAGCGTCAAGCCGCTCGCTAGATGTCCCCAATGTCCCGCACGAAACAACACCAGCCTAGTCCATGAGTCAGTCAGAGTGTCTCTGTCTTGAGCCGCATCCTGGTCCCAGCCAGTGGCTCCCTCGAAGTCTTGGGGTCCCTTTTCAGGCTAGAGGATAGCTCGAGCGCTATCACGTACGGAGTACATAACAGGGTCTACCGCAGTCAACCCGCAGAATTTTTCGTAGTAAAACTTTCTCATCTCCCGAGAGCAAGTCTTCTTCGCCGTCCATTCCGGCCAAATAGTTGATCTCCTCATTACGTCCCAGATCAGACTCAGAATCGCCACAATGGTGCGTGTCCTCCAGTCCCTCCTTCTCCTGGCGGCCAGCCTCTCGACCACATTTGCCGCCGACGATTCCACCACCGTCGTCCAAATCCTGAACGGCCACTACAACACCCTCGCGTTTGACGACCTCCGAGGCAGTGTCGTGGGCGGTGATGCCCAGGCAACCACCTACGCGGTGAACTGCAAGGAGGGCTCTTCTTCGTGTCCCCTCACCAAGCCCATCACCATCACTCAAGGGCCTTCCACCTTCACCATGAGCGCGGTTTACACCATGACCACCATGGGTGCCAAAGGAACCGGGACGATCGTCCAAGATTGTGATATTACCTCTTCGACTGCCACTGCTGTTTGCTCCGTTTCGGTCGGTGCCGCGGTCCAATACAAAGGCCAGTCCACCACCACTTCCTTTACCACCAAAGCCACTGCCACCGGTTCTTCTGAGGTCCGCTATGAGGGATTGACCGTCACGGCCGGTCTGGGCAATTTCAACAAGGCTGGCCCCACCGGCGCGACTGCGACTGGAGCGGCTGCAGACAACCACGCAGCTCGTGTGGGTATGGCTGGGGCTGCCGCCGCTGCTGTGGCGGGCGCTCTTGTCCTGTAATTGATGTGCGGTTCTATATGGTTGGGTGTGATTTCAATCAGGGGTGACGATTGTGAACGACGCTTAGTATTTAATGCTTCTGTTAATACCCACTTCATAATATTTCATATTTGATTCTCCATAGCAGCCAACGGACTACATTGTAACCAGATGTCATGTGTCTCTCCATATCCCGCTCAACGTAGATACCGGGTGAGCTGTCAACGGCTGGATAGCACGCAAATGAACTGCAATCTTTCCTGGTCGTAAAACCCAGTCAAATGGCTAGCATTCGGATCGGCAAATCGATTTTTCCCTGCGTCAAAGCATCCTATTTTGGTCCATTTCGTGGAATGGTGAGACGGCGAATCAGCCTCGAGGATCGGCGAGCCAAGCGAGGCTGAGATGCGATCGGCAGGACCTCACCAGCGTCTGATGTGTTGGACTCGACTTCTCTTCTCCAGTTGCTCTCTGACACCTCCCAGGGCGTCCTACCTCCCACGGCAATATGAGTGCTGACTCAACCAAACTTCTCGCAGACGAGGCTGTCGAGCTTTCCGAGATTGCCCTGACACGGACACGACGTGGCACTTGGGCATCCACTAAAAGCTGGTACTCCCGAGCGGTCCTTCGCTCGGGAAAAGGTTACAATCCATTGCCAGTCAAGGCTCGGGATCCCAATCATTTTCATGGATGGCGATTCGGGGCATTGATTTCGTGTATTCTGGTCGGAATATGCCTAGGCCTCAATGTCGCGGCCACCATCTATGTTCGCCTGACGTACCCTCCAAGCAGCGATAACCTGGGAATTATGCAGGAGAGCGATTGCGACCATATTCACGATCTGGACAGCAGGCTGCATTACGCTCTCAATGTAATTGCGACCGTGCTGGTTGGTGCCAGTAACTACAACATGCAATGTTTGACGGCTCCGACGCGACACCAGGTGGATCAAGCCCACGCTCAGCGCAGATGGTTGGATATCGGCGTCCATTCGATGCGCAACCTACCTTTCATTGGGAGGGCCAAGTTGGCGTTATGGTTGGCTCTCCTAGCCAGCACTCTCCCTTTGCACCTCCTGTGGAACTCGGCCGTAGTGATGACAACCACCTTCAATGACTATAGCGGACTCGTCGTCACTCGGGACTTCTTGGAAGGCCGCAGTGATATTGGTCTGGATTGTACCAGTCAAGCAATGGAACAATACCGAAACTCCGACGTTTCCAGCTATGTTACTTGCTGGTTGTTTGATCAAACCCGAAACAACCGCAGCAGCCTGACGCAGATGGATCCCAGTCGTTGTATCTCCACTTATAAAGCCGGTTTGGAGGGACGGTCGTTCAATATGCTGGCTGTCACCAAGCAGAGCGATGCGTTGAATCAGTCTAAAATCTTCCCGCCTCCGACAAATACGACTCTGCCGGTGCTGGCATATTTCCATCCTCTGGACTATCCGGATCAGATTGAGGAATGGTGTAGCGGACTGTGCAAGCAATGGGGAAAGGGCAATGATAGCCCGAAGTACTGCTTTGATAAGAACTGGGACGAAGCATCGGTTCCATTTGCTTGCCAGGAGCATAAGGTGAACAGGACGCGTTGGGAGCCCAACGCGCTCACACAAACGAACTACTGGATGTGCCACCCGGATGCCATCCTATATGGCCAATGCAGCGGCTCTGCGGCAACGAGGAATGCCACAAAATGGACCATTCTACCAGAGCATTACGAGATCGATCATTGCCTGGTAACGGACGCAAACCATACCTGCCAGCTGCTGTACAGCCCGGTAATCTTATACATTGCGATTGCATGCAACGCCATGAAATTCAGTTCCATTCTTTTATGTCTGCTTGTCTCTCGCGAACCGACTCTCGCAACTATCGGCGATGCATTGGACTCCTTCTTAAGGTCCCCCGATATGGCCTCCAGGGGGCGATGCCTCCTCTCGAAAATGGACGACACGATCTTCCCTGACCCAAGCAACATTGGCCCTGCGTGGGCACAACGTTGGCAGCACGGCGAAGGTTGGCTAGGGCGGTGTTATCAAGGTACATCGGTGAGGCGCTGGGGAGCATGCATCCTCTTGTAGGTACCATTCCCTCAGGAGGCGGCTGACCGCGGCGAGGCTGTACTAACTTGGAGGCTTCTAGATGGCTCGCCAGCATTATCGTAGGCCTCGTTTTTCTCTTTAAAGGTATCAACCTGGTCGGGGTGCAGAACGCCTTCACGACTGGATTTGGTGCACTTAGTTTAAATGCCATCGTCAACACGTCCGGCTACAAAGGAGGCACAGCCGCGTCCATTGTCACCACGTCGATCGTAGCGAACCTTCCACAACTACTACTGTCTGGACTGTACTTTATGTACAACGCTGTGCTCACAGGTATGGCAACTGCCTATGAGTGGAGTCTGTTCGCCTACCAGCAGACCACACTTCGAGTGACCCTTCCCCGGGGAGCTCAGAGAGAAACGTATTGGTTACAGCTTCCGTGGAGATACTCCCTGCCACTCCTCGCCTGTAGTACGGTTATACATTGGTTGATCTCGCAATCAATCTTCCTCATCAATCTGAAAATATACCAACCGAGCAATGAGCTCTTGACACGGCCTAACACCCACTTCCCTAGTGCGAGTGATAGTGGCATTATCACGGCCTGCGGATACAGCCCACTCGCTATCATCACGGCGCTCGCCGTGGCAATTCTTATGTTTGCCGTACTCACCACAGTCAGCACCTTCAAGCTGAAGCCGGACATCCCGGTGATCGGCAGTTGCAGTGTTGCCATAAGCGCTGCGTGCCATCCCCCAGAAGAAGATTCCGATGCGGCAGGAAAGCCTCTGTCCTGGGGTGCGGTGCGGCATCAGGAAGGCGATCGGCCAGGACATTGCTGTTTGACTTCGCAGACTGTTGAGAAACCACGATATGGCGGGATGTATGCGGGATAGATGAGCCGATTCACAGTTATGCATATCCATATGGAAACACGTAACGTCTCGGTAGAATCTGTTGGGGAAGATTTACACTATTATCTTCTAGCGGCACCAACAGTTGGGCACGTAGTGCGTTCGAGAGCAACAGTCCTAGGGGGTGGGCAGTTCCCGCACGATAAAAGAAAATAATCGGCGCCACAGGGCCAAGAACCATGCCAATGCGACCCCAGGTTTCCCCAAATCAACCGCCTTCTGAGACACTTCCATTTTAGATGCCTCGAGCCACGGGCATCATCACCGTCATCCTTCACCAACTGGGTTACCGACCGAGCACCTGGGGTAATCTGCGAGATCATCTGGGTGTCTACCATTGTGCTCTTTGCGGTGACAGTAGTCATAGACCTGCTAAGGGTGATCAAGTGCCCTTGGAATATCACTTGGCCGTCTTCCAGATTGATACGCACTGCTTGTGCAGCTAGGTGTGTGCCGAGCTTCGCGTTTAACCACGTCCGCTTGGGCCTTGATCTTTCCCTGCGTAAATCAACGACACTGCATGGCTGATACCTGGTACTCAGATCAGCAGAGTGCATGGGAGCTACGACACAACTTAGACTCATATACCAACGCCGCGGGACAGTTAGGAAAATTATGGATCCGCCAGGTTTGCGAGTATGGCTCACTGCGTTTCTTTCCATGTGTTTGTTCATTTGGATCGTGAACTATATATTCAGCATCCAGTGGTTAGTTGCGACGTCTTGGCCGTTAAACATGACGGGAAATCACAGCCTCGTAAACGACTAAATAATGGCAGATAGGTGTAATGGAAATCTATTAGACTACAATGCTTGATCCACATAATGCATAATCCTCAGAGCATATCCAGAATGCAGTTCGGTCGCGGCGCATTCAGACTTATCCTAGGTACAGAATGTCTTGACGTGAACCACCTAGTCGACACTCGTCTCTCGGGCCCAGCCTAGTTCCACAGGTGAAACAGCCATGTCCACGTTTAGGCACAGTCAGGCCCATCTTTAAACAAATAGGAGCCCTCCATTAGCATTGATCAAGCTCCCCGTGGTCCATCTACTCCCTTCTTCGGAGAGAAAGGCGACAATCTGAGCAATATCATCCACCTCTGCCACCCTCGGCGCAGCGGGAGTGCTCTGAATCACCCGATCCCACTCCTCTTTCGCCTCGGGGTCTTGGGTAGTAGAGGCCCACAGCTCCGTATTCACTGGACCGGGACTCACGCAGTTAATGGTTGCGTTGTATTTATGTCCCAGCTCTTTGGCCAAGGATCTCGTCAAGCTCTCCATTGCGCCTTTACTGGCCACATATGCCAGACATCCCGGTTGCCCATCCCGAGCATAAACACTAGAAAGGTTGACAATACGCGGCGCCTGTCCGAAATGCCGTGTCGCCTCCTTAACGAGAAATACCGGGAAGCGCAGGTTCACAGCTATTTGGCGATCAAAGGCCTCGTATGTCATTTCTTCCACGGGGTAATCTTCTCGAGCACCGGCATTGTTGATCACAATGTCAATGCAGCCCCATCGCTGAACTGCTGCATCGACTATGTTTTTCGGTGCCGACAAATCATCGGCTTTGCCTTCGACCGCGATTGCATCTACTCCGACAGTCCGTATCTGCGATGCGACCTCTTCGGCCTGTTGATGGGAACTGTTGTAAGTCAGGAGAATATTGGCGCCTCGACGGGCGAGTTCAAAGGCGATGCCTTTGCCAATGCCGCGAGATCCACCGGTTACAATGGCATTTTTGCCCCGCAGCGACTGTTGAGCAGCCATGTTTTCTTTATATCACTTTGGGAGGGAGAAGAACTTGTGGAAGGAGAAGAGGGAAACGAACACGATGGCAGGGCCTGACTATAAACACGCTCACTCGCTGATTGAGTGAATCGGAAATCCTGAAGAATGGTTATATATAGGACTGGGTGGTGCATCAATCCATCCGGTCGGCATGGCATCCGGCAGACCGGTAAGACAGCCGATCGGCGGGTCGCTCGTAAAAGAAGACTTGGACTATCATGACTGCGGGGAAGGGTGGGGATTGGGACCGCCGATAACGATCGCTCACGTCCACGGAATACAGTCCGGCGTCAGTTCCCCTTGATGGACGAGTGATGATGTGCAACAAGAGTGAGGAGCCATCGGACTGGGAAACCGACGGGGGGGATCGTTGGTCTCCACATCTCTGAGGGGGAAAGGTATAAATCGTAGGAAAAGCCGTGCAACTGTCGTACGCACGTAAGTTTCCACACCGGACATTCCTCGTTGTCGTGCACACGATGAGACTCAATCGCACCATCTCGGTCGTGGGCTGCCATTGCGCCGGCGAGGTTGGCGATGTCATTGTCGGTGGAGTTCTCAACCCACCAAACTGCAAGACCATGTATGAAAAGCTCCTCTATTTCCAGAATGAAGCAGACGACGTCCGACAACTCCTGATGAACGAACCACGAGGCCGACCGGCCATGTGCATGAACCTCGTCCTCCCACCTTGCGACCCCCGCGCCGATGCTGGGTTTATTATTATGGAGAGTGATGAGTATCCGCCCATGTCAGGCGGCAATACGATCTGCACGACGACGGTGCTGTTAGACACAGGGATGGTGAAAATGACGGAACCGGTGACGAAGCTGGTCCTCGACACCCCGTCGGGCTTGGTCGGGGTGACGGCTGATTGTGAAGATGGGAAATGCAAAGCCGTGGCGTTCGATAATGTGCCCAGCTTTGTATACAAATTGGATCTCCCGGTGCAGGTACCTGGCCTGGGGGTGGTGAAGGTTGATATTGCCTGGGGTGGGATGCATTATGCCATTGTGGATGCTCGATCCATCGGTCTCAAAATCGCCAATGAGAATGGTCCAAAGCTGATCGAAATTGGCGAGAGAATCAAGCAGGCTGTGAGAGACACTTATACACCGGTTCATCCGGAAAACGACAAGATCAGAGAGGTCACGATTGTTGAGTTTACAGAGCCACTGCATCAAGAAGATGGCAAGCGAGTCGGGGTGAACACTGTGGTGGTCTCTCCAGGAAGGTTTGATCGATGTCCTTGCGGTACAGGAAGCTCGGCCAGGATGGCCGTCCTGCACGCCAGGGGCGAGCTCCAGGTAGGGGAGAGCTTTGTCCACCAGAGCATTATCGGATCCACATTCACTTGCCATATACGAGGAACCACCACAGTCGGCCAATATGAAGCAGTCTTGCCAACGGTCAAGGGCAGTGCGTGGATCACTGGCTTCAAGCAGATGGTCTTGGACCCGTCCGATCCTTTTCCGGCTGGCTTCCGGGTGGGTGATCAGTGGCATGTTCGTCAGGAGGCATGACAAGTTTCTAGAGGAAATGTACTGTCCAAGCGATGGCTTGGATTGGAAAGATGCTATTGTAAGCCTAGCAAAAGAGCCATGACAGCTTACCTAGTAAGTGAGTGAGAAACAGTGAACGACTCTTGGGTGTACCAATAAAATCGTGTCCAGACTCACTCACAGCTGAGCAAATTCCCTTCATGTTCTGCATAGCCATTTTTCCAGGTAGATCCAAGGTGTACTAAAGCGAGTCCAAGCGCCCCAGGCAGGCAGGCGATGATGAATGCTACAGCGTGGAAAGCGCCCCTTAATAACACACTGGTCAGACCATGAACGGTACGCTCAGTCATCTCGATAATGTTCGTATGGTGTCAATGAGTTCGTAGACCACGGTTGGCAAAGCAGGTCAAGATGTGGAAGAGGATCAAAATGGAGACTGGTAACAGAAGCTCCTTAATCGTGCAACTGAAGAGAAAGGTCAAAAGTGATCTTTTTTCTTTATAGTATACTTTAAGGCACAACCGAATGTACACATCTGCTCCTATGGCTCAGTTGGTAGAGCGCATGACTAGTAATCATGAGGTCCGCGGTTCAAATCCGCGTGGGAGCATTCAATTTGTTTTTCTTTCTTCTTTGTTTCTTTTTTTATTCTCGCCACCTCTGCTCCTCGTGGCGCTTTCCTTTATTCAAAGGTGAAACAATGTACAATGAATTGGTTTCATTTTATTTTAAGCTTAGTTATTGCCATGCAACCTTGTTCTGACGGCTGTGATCCAGTCAGGACATGACGCAAATATATATAGTTACTTGTCACCTTCAGACACAGATGACTCGTCAATCGATTGAAGTTCTCCTGCAGCTCCATTGGTAACCTAAAGATTCCCTGGAAAATACACGTACAGCAGTACTCATGTAGGTAACCAGCTGTCCAGACCTTAGACAGACTACATTCCCTTCCTCTTGTTCTTGTTGTCCTTCTTTTCTGGCCATTTCAACCTCACGGAGAGAAACATTCGGAAGAACAACTTATTCCTGTCCCGTTCCCTCCGGAGAGGGCAGGCGGTAGGCGTCGGTCACTGATCTTTCTTCTGTTTGTTGACTCTAGACTCTTTACTCTTTTCCCCTTTTGTCTGCCCTGGCACGTCCTCCACTCCATTTCTGGAGCTTGTCGGCTCTCTTCACGCTACGACACGATTCAATCGAAGTGTCTTGGCATTGAGCTGCTTCGCCATGTAGGAAATTTCATTCGCCGACCGTCACATATCTCCTGCAGCCTCGCAATCCGACCAAGCGAGGGTACCTTTCCAACCTGACCAGACTCGACGGCAACAACCTTAGCTGTCATCGGATGGTCGGACGAAGATGCCAGAGAACTCGCTGCCCGTGTGGGCAACGCTTGGGAAATGATGACTCTGCCGAAGAGTGAGAACAGTTCGCCTCTGATGTCCCTGGGAGGGTGTTGGGGATGGCTTTGTCCGGCTTGCCTGGGGACAATGGACATCTGTATTCAAGGTCGCTGTGGAGGGACTTGCTGTTGTCGCTCACCGGCACGTGTGCATCTGCGAAACGACTGCTATTCAGCCCCGTGTTATCCGACGAGGAGAGCTACGTAGAGGCGACGACGATCGTCATACGGAATCAGGAGGACGTTTGAGTATTGGGTGACCTTCCTGGCCGTGACTTTCTACAGTAGTAGTTTCAAGGGTTGTCATCAATAAGTTCTGAGTATGCGGGAAGCCTTGCGAAAGCGCAGGGAAGCGCCCGATGTGTGCCGGGCATACGCTATCGATGGCAAGCCTATACTGGTACCTGTAGATTTAGAATGATACTGTAACGCTTTCCCTTGGCTCATTCGCACCCCGAGACGCAAACGAGAGCAAGCCGTGCAATGGCTTCTACGAACGTGTTCTAGCTTTCTGAGGCAATTACGATAGAACTTTCCATTCAACTACAAAGAAATGGTAGGGTGCATGTCGGGTCCGGGCAGAGCATTCTCACGTATACGGCGAAGACAGATCATATATAGTGGCTCGAAAAGGGATGATGAGGCAGACCCTAAGTCTGGCGACCGCGCAGGTGCTTCCGCTCGGGAGATTTTCCTCGTACATATGACACGAAGCGATTCGAGGACCTTGGCACACCGCGCTAGACTTTATGAAGGAATGGATCCCCGAGGGCGACTGCCGGTTTTTTTCAGCCTTTCTCTATCGACTGTGGCTGGCGCGTTATCCAGGGTGCCGATCAGTTGCCTGAAAAGCCTTCGGAGTAGGATGCCTCTCGATTGTGGTCCTACGCCTGATCAGTGCCTCTCGGTCAGTCATGCAGCTGCGAGACGAGCAAAAAAAAAAAAAAAAAAAAGCAAAGCCTTGCAATCGACCAGAGGGACGCTCAGCGCCCAAGGGAATCCATGACGGAGTAGCCAGCCACGGACAAGGTTACAACGGTATACGTATAGCCGCAGGTGCACTTTTTAGTCCCTGACTAGCTGCTTTGGTACATCCATACAGGTAGGACTAGGGTGAATGCTGTCATGGCTATTGGGAAGGGTCAAGATTCGTGCTGTACGAAGTGTAGCTGACAATCAGCGCTTAATGCACTACGCACGAACAAATGGCGATCAAGGGGTCTTCATGCTGGTCGTTTAGCGGCTCTTGGCAGCGGTAAATCATCGATCAACAACGGGGCATCCTTCCATCCCAGCTGCAGCTCGACTCCGTGAACGTGCTGGCGATGAACCCGTACTTGTGTGGGCCACGGCATGTCGATCTGATCGTACATCGCGAAGGCAGTGCTATGGGGCTGAAGTCCGAACCGCCACGATGCGAATGGCCTCTCAGACCAGCTTAACCTCCCAGGAGAGCCTCCACTACGGTGGGATGCCTGAAAGGGCACAAGGCTGGCCGCTGGAGGTTCGCCAACTTCGCCCTGAACTATCGCCACCAACTAGCATTTGATTGGTGTTTCTCCCGAGACTGACCCTAGTTGCCTACCGACACCCGTCGGAAGCCTTTTCTTTTTCTCACCTTCTACTCCAACCACATGCGTGTGTGGATAACACCCGCTGGGCTGCAGCCGATATCACCCACCTGATCCAAGTCAACCGGGGGTCGTAGGGCATACGTTCACGTGGGACTGCACGCATGGACTGAGTTTAAATGTCACTGAACGTGGTATTGTGTAGCATCAGACCCGTGTTCTCGACTAGGAGTGAGTCGATCGAGACGTCTTCCCGCAATCCGCAGACGTCATCTCATAGCAATGGCCATGACATATGACAGCAGGAGCTACTGACCGGAGACTTTTTTTTTTTTTTTTTTTTTTTTTTTTTTGGAACTGGACAACGGTTGTTGGTGTCTATTCGAAGGATTCTCCGGACGAATGGTGAAGGGTGTCTGATACCCTGGTAGACCTAACAATTGCTATTATGTACAAATTGAGTTTGACTCAGCTGACATGGTAATAGTAATATTATTATTCCAATATTAATTGCTGTTGTTATTTTTGTTATTTTTGTTTCAGGTTTGTTTTTCTGCTGACGCTACAAGGGCAGTGTTCGAGTTAGGGCTGAGTGGGATCCTGAGTGTCTTCGACTCCCCGTGGGTGACGAACTGGAGAGATGGCGATGGCCGCGGTAACCGGCCGAAAGACCACCTCAGCTGCCATAGCATGCATCGTATTCCACGCTATAATTAACTTGAAGCATTGCGGCTATGCGTTGTAAAGCCTGGATTGAAATCCGAGCTGGTTCAGGTCGCCCATGACCCAATCACCTGGGAGGCAAAGGGTTTTCTATCACCCGTGGTCAGACTCGTATAACATAATAGAAGCTCATGTCAGATGCCTACGTTTTAGGTTGGAAAATGTGGCTTGCAGAATCGCGATAAGCATAGCAGCCAATAGTGAGAATGTGCCAGCTTCGAATATGCGAACGGCTCTGCACGCCAAGTTCTCCCCACGTTGTATAGAATGCAAGAGCTCGATTATGTTACTTAATAGTTTGCACGAAGATATCGTCCTTGGGTAGAGGAACCCATGTCGAATCTTAATACTACTAATAATAATAACAATAGTAATAATCATAAAAATAACGTCCTTAGTAGATTCCCTGCCCCAGCCGAGTGACGGGATATACCGATAAAAAGCAAATCCCTTGGCAGGAGATCTAAACGCCGGGAAGCAGCCAAAGAGCTGAAGGTGAAAGCAAATCATGAATCTAAAGAGGAACTACCAAAGCTGTTTCTATCGGAACCTCAAAAGGCCCGTCCACCGGCAGGCGACCTGGCACTTGAGAGGATTGTGTGACACATATTCAGAACAACAAGCTACGCCTTTGCTGCCGAAAGCCTGCTCGCAAATGTCATGGTTCCACCGGGTGACTTCAAGATATATGGAGGAGCCGCATCGCTCGGCGAAACAGAAGGTGCAGGAAGGCAGCACACCATTGTAGAAGTCATGGGCCGCCTGGGGCGCCGAAGGCTCGCTACACTGGAATACACTTTCTGTTGGAGTCGAGAATCCAATGACCGAAAGGTAGTATAACTCAATGTTGTGGGTTTCCAAGTCTCATCCACTTATGTCGACGAATATGGCCACAGCAAGAAGTAGTGTGTAGCTGCAAACCCCGAGCTCGTAGTGTGTTATCCACCGCAGTCTAATCTCTGACTCCTTCAAACTGTAAACTTTCTGACGGGCGAAGGCATGAGCCAATCCAGGTACTGCAGTCAGCCGTGTTCCGAAGGGCTGATGCTGAGGCAGACGAGGACTCGAGAATGTCGTTGGTCCATACAGAGTCAAGAAAGATAGAAGGGGAAAAAAGAATAAAGAAAAAAAAAAAATAAAAATAAAAAAAAATAAAAACAATGGAGGGGGGTAAGCCTTGCTATAGCCTGGGATAAAGCAATGAGAACAACTACATATACGGCCGTGACCAGCCCATGTCAAAGCCCATAAATCAATGCTCGATTTTATGTTCAGCAGTCCCTTCTTACCCAAGTGAAGTCAACCAGTCATTGTTACCAGATGGTTATCCAGTCATGGCCTTCTTCAATAGACAGATGGATCTGATGCAGCAGGCCAGAGCTTCATCGACTTTCAATCCCATGAAGCTGACGGTCGTCATATACGACAAGTACTTTGACCCACCCCTCTATCCAGGATACATAGCTATTTATCAGGAAAGCTGATCTCTTGTCAAGCGAAGCAGCGGTTAGTTCTCGGCGAGCAGCATTCCATCGTGTAGAGTACGCACTGGGCCTGCACGACAACATGAAGTTACCACATATATACTCGGGCCTCGACCGCGAAGGACTGTACCTAGAAGGCGTGCGTCGGGCTCGCGTCATCACGCATGACATGATAACCCACGGCCATAATCATTTCCAGTGGTTGAATGAACGTTATCAAATCTGTAATTCGTCTCCGTTCGGGATGAACTTTCTCATGTTTCGCCGGACTATCGAACTGCAGGGGACCGCAGACCAGCGGCGGTACTGGCTGCAGGAGATCGACCAGATGAGAATCAACGGTGCATATGCTCAAACCGAATTGGGCCATGGAACCTTTGTCCGAGGAATCGAGACAACTGCCACCTTCGATGTCGGTACAGACACATTCACAATTCATTCCCCCACTCCTACATCTGTCAAATACTGGCCTGGCGGACTGGGCTTTAGCTGTTCTCATGCCATAGTTGCGGCGAGGTTAATCACACGCGGAAAGGACCACGGCGTGCATATGTTCATAGTCCAGATCCGCTCGCTGGAAGATTTTGCACCCGTGTGTGGTGTGGAGCTTGGAGATCTGGGCATGAAGATGGCCTACAACGGGACGTGTAATGGATACGCACGGTTCAATTACTTACGCGTACCCAGGAGCAGCCTACTCGCTGCCCATGCTCAGGTCTCACGCGACGGCACGTATGGCCAGGCGCAGACTAAGGTGGGCACCCTACCAGTATCGAAAAGGGTATACTCAACGATGTTGGACACGCGGCGAAATATTGTGCGATGTGTCGCCTTCGGATTAGCGCAGGCTGTGACAATTACCACGCGGTATTCGATTGTGCGAGAGCAGGGTCGATTGATGTTCTCTGATGCGACAGATGAAGAAGCAGCCATCATAATGTTCAAGTCTCAGCACTACCGGCTGTTGACCCTCATCGCACAATCCTATGCTATCCTGTTTGCCGCAAAGGACTTCGACGTCAGGTACGATCAGCTCGTCTGCGAACAAGAAAAGGATGATCACGCACGGTTGCCATTCATGCACGCCCTCAGCACGGGGTTAAAAGCGTGGGCCACTACTATTGCAAGCGCCGGTGCCACAGAAGCAAGGAAGATGTGCGGCGGCCATGGGTTCGTTGCCCTGTCCGGCCTCCCGGAGATCGAGGGAACGGTTTCTGCCACCGTCACGTTCGAGGGCGAGAACTATGTGATGTGGCAGCAGTTGGTCGTATATCTGTTCAAACAGGTCAAGGCATTGTGCAGCGGCCAGGACGTCGATATCGAAGTGAAGGACTACATGGGCGGCGTCCGCACATACCTCGATGAAGAAACTTTCCCGTCTCGTATCCAGGGTTGCGGTAAAGAAAAGCTTTTCGATGGCTCCACATTGCTGTTGATCTACAAGGAACGGTCGCAGCGACTACTAGCCACTGCGTACTCTTCTTATAGAGAGATGTGTAACCGCTGTTCTGCAGCAGAGGCGTGGAACACCTGCATGATGACGAGTCTAGCAGCCGGCCAGGCCTTTGTGGAATATATTGTCATAGAATCATTCCTGAGGCGGATATCATCCTTAGATACAGAGGATGCTCCTATATCGGAGGCCTTATCGCATCTCTTCTGCTTGTTTGCTCTGACAACGATCACAAGTCCTAGTCCGTCCTTTGCAGCGGGTTCTTTCCTTGAGCATGGACTGCTCACTTCTGATGAGCTCAACAAAATTCGCGTCCGGGTCAATGAGCTTTTAGCGCATCTCCTCCCTAACATTGCTGCTCTGACGGATGCTTGGGACTTCACCGATAGCAGCCTCTGTAGCGCGCTGGGTTGCAAGGACGGAAATGTCTATGAGCGGTTACTGAGCTGGACGCGGCAGCTGCCGGCAAACAGCGGGCGAGCCGTGGAGAAAGCATGGGAAGCATCGGAGGGGATTGAGGAATTTTTCAAGGCAAGTCGATTGTAAAATGAGTCTAACGGATTTATGGAAGATATGGTTGACGAGGCTGTGCTTGTATCATGTATAAGGGTAATGGCTGTTGTAGCCGGTTAAATATATATAGGTCTACGTGGCACGACGAAATCTGATGTCAGCAGCAAAATGTACATACTTGGCAGTGGAGAAGACTTTCCCTTTCGTTTTTGCTTTTGTTTCTCCCCTTTTCATCCGAGAGGCTGCTCAGGAGAATATGGTATGGCAATCTGTCCTTGGTGGCCCATCGGCGAGTATATGAACTCGGAGATTGATTATCTCCTGGCTAATTGACTACTTGAGTTGCAAATGGACATACGACAATTATATAAGTAGCTCGTAAAAACCAGACAGAGAAAGGGACGAACGGCGTGTGCTTCTCCAGATATTACATGATGGCCATACAAAAGAAAAAAGGAAGGAAATAGTAACTTATGTATTTGCAGGCACAGGCACCGCCCGAAAGAGAACACGGAATAGGAGACATCTTGAATCAACGGCGGCTGGAACACACCATCAGGAGCGACGAGAGAGCTTAACATCAATGCCCTCTTGTCGAACGAAGAAGCTGTTGTGCGTCTTCCAGTCGCGGTGTGGGTGAGCCAACTGGATATCGTAACGTGAGATTAGTGTAGCCATCACCTTGTATACTTCGAGTAGACCTAAGTTTCTTCCAATGCATATGCGGCTCCCGGCGCCAAATGCAAGGTCAGAATTATTCATCAACCGTAAGCGTGCCTGATACTCCTCCTCACTCTCCCGGGAATCGTCACGCAGCCACCTCTCAGGGCGAAACACGTCGGAATCCTCGCCCCAGACAGACTGGTTCCGACCAATGACATACGGATTCATGCCGACGATGCATCCCTGAGGGATATACTGGCCGTTTGGTAGGGTAAGCCCCCCAGGCGGCACATACCGTTCCAGGGTCATAGCGACACCGGGATGCATGCGCATTGCCTCGCGGACCACCGCGTTGAGGTACGGAAGGGCGCTTGCAATGTTGTATGGCACGGCCGACCGTGCAGCATCCAGACTGGATTGGCAGGCAAGAACCTCCTGTTGCAGGCGTGTCCACACCCGAGGGTTCTTCAAAGCGAAATAAAGGGCCGCATTCAGCGTGATGGCTGTTGTATCTGCACCAGCGATCATGTTGATCATGAGGTACGAGATAATTTGGCTGTCATCGACAACGTTGGGGTATTTGTCTTTGGCATCGATGAACCTGTCTAAGAAATCGGGCTTACTTGCGTCGTGGTAGCTGGTGTCCTTGCCTTGCAATCGGTCAAGCAGATGTTGTATCGAGATGTTGGTGATATTACCGAAGGCCGGGGGCCCGATTCGATAAATAGGATTCTTGTCCAGGAGATGGTCCAAGACTGGAAGCTGTCCAACGAGAGAGAAATAGTCCATGGCGGTGTCAGAGATAGCGATCGTGCCATCAAAGTCAAAACCGTTCTTAAGATAGCCGATGGGCTCGCTGAAGGTGGCTTGTCCTACCACGTCCCATGTGTCTATCTCAATCAGTACTCATCACAGCCTGGCTATAGAAAAGGCAACCATACAGAACAGTAGCCACTGGTCTAATTTGCATGTTGTGCCAGCGTTCGATCCATCGATGAACTCCTCTTCCAGCCTCTGACAGAGGTAGTTGATCACCTCATCAATATGAGGCTCAAGGGGCAGGACACCCGTCAAGGAGTAATATTTAGCAATAGGTCGCTTTTGCTGCGCGTGGATATCAGGGTCACACTCGCTGAATAAGTTGTAAATAATTCGGCCGTTGCTTTTGGCACTACTGCCATGGTAAAATTCGGTCTTTCGATAGTCCCCTTTCGTGTTGTAGATTGTTTTGATCATCTCCGGTAGATCCAAGTCGACGACATTAGGGGCTATACGCACCACAGGGCCGTATTTCCGGTGAAGCTCATGGAGGACCACCTGAGACTGTCCCTGCGTAACATGGTAAATCCGCCAGAGGTTGGTCCATCCTACGGCCGAGTGGTTAGTGACGACAATCAAGGCCAATGCGACGCGGCAAAGCATCCAAGCATTGGCGCGAAGGGCCTCCACAACTCACCCGCGAGAAAAGGACCAGGGATCCTGCGTAAAGGAGAAATGAGATAGGCCGCTAGATACCAAAAGACCAGGGCTATCCACAGTGTACCAAATAGCGAGACGGCAAAGCCTCTTAGGCTATAGTCGAGCGCCAAAGACAGGGAATAATCCATTTTTGGAATCAGTTGAGGATGAAGTCCCTGGAGATGAAACAAGCAATAATCTCTAGAGACCAGGGTCAGAGTATTCCCAGTATTTAGAGCGTCCGAGAGAAAAAGTTCACGAGTTGATCCCCGTATACAATTGGCCAATGCGTCTGCCATCGACGCTTTGATGCTGGGCCCAGAACACGCACTAATGCACGCCGTGCGCTATGAAGACATCCGCACCCACCCCTAAAATTCCTTGGCTGCTTCACCTGCTCTTCCCCGATGCCAAAGTACCTTCTCATTGGGACTAACAGCCAATCTATTGGTTCTTCCGGAGCCTTCCTCCGCCTGCCCCGAGAGACTCGTTTACTATTTAGGATAAGACTTACACACAATGCAGCTCTCACACCCGGGAATTCGGATAGCTCCACTGGCACAGACTGACAGCCGTTGCGCTACGTCGAACTGACAGGTAGACAGTGGATATAGGCACTGACAAAACTTTATTCGCAGACCAGTGGACCGGTACGCGCTCAAATATGACCAGTATCCGGGGAGCGAAGTGAAGCTTTTGGGAGATCGCAAAATAAAAGTACAAAGTAGAGGGCTAGAAGCTTGGACCTATGGGACGTGAAGGAGGGCGTAGAGTATCTCTCCTGTCGTATCTCGAAGTTAGTCTAACTGAACAGGAAAACACGGGTTGTTGATAGTTCACAGGTGAAAGGGAGGATGTGCATCAAAGGTACTTTGTACAGTTCAACCGCATATATCTAATCTACTTCACACTCTGCCCTCGATGCTCTCATCTTCAACTTTGATCCCACTTTTTATCTGTCGCACAAGTTGCGCGTTGCTGAGCCAGTATTTCCTCTTGTCGTAGTTTCTTCCCCAAGTGCGTTCAAGATGCTGGCTGGCCAAGGGGTCAAGGCAATCGCAGTGATGTGGGTAATGGCTATTATGTCCTTCGTTCTTGTGCCTTTACGGCTGTACACGAGGGTTTATATAGTCAAGGCTCTGGGGCTGGATGATCATGTGTTCAATTTGGGCTGGGTAAGTTTCTTTGAACGTCGAGTGACACTGTATCGATCCTTAACTCTCGAGCCTAGGTATTTCTCCTCTTATATACGATATTCACCACCATAGCCGGACAGCACGGGTTCGGACAGCCAATTACTAGCCTCTCCATGGATGAAGCCGTCCAAGCTGTGTACATGGAAATGGTCGGTCAGACGTTCGCCGTGCTGGGGATGGCCATTGCGAAGCTTTCATTGGGTATATTTCTTTTGCGAATCGTGGTGAAACCATGGCATCGCATCTCGATTTGGATCTCGATGGTCAGTCTAGCAGTTGTTTCTGTGATGACGGCGATTATCTTCTGGACCCAACGCCTTCCCTCTAGGGCCATCTATGATCCTCGTGTACCTGGCCGAACTATTGTCAGCGTTACCCCGTTCTCAGTGCTTCTTGGTTGTATGTTATCCCCGAGAACCTTTCCAGCCCGATGAACTACTCACCTTTTGTTTGACGCTTAGCATGGTGTGCGGCGGTCGACTTTTACTTCGCCATTCTGCCGTGGATCTTCATTTGGGAACTCAACATGCGGTTCAAGGAGAAGATGACCATCGCTATTAGTCTAAGCTTGGGATTCATGTCAGCCTTCCATATCTCTGGGGATGGACAATCTGCTAACATACATCCTGCAGCGCCGGTATCTGTGGGATCATTCGCACCATAGAGCTCGGTGGATTGTCGAGTGCTAACTACACGGGTACGTCTCTGGTGATTCACATCCACTTCCCAAAGGACCCAAACAGCTGATATATGCCTATTCTCTCTTTCTGTAGAGGACACAGTTCCTCTTATTATCTGGTCTGCTGTCGAGCTTGCCGTCACCCTTATCTGCGTCGGCATTCCCACCGTCCGTCCCCTTTACCGGTACATCGTCCACGGATCCAGTGTCAAAGAGTCCCATGAAGCCTATAAAAGGCAAGATGAAAGTGGAAGTGGCAGCGGCAGTGGAAGCCGTAACAAACCGACTTTTGCGATGCCCATGCGGAACTTCGCTCGGGCGGGTCGAAAAGACGAGTTTCTGACCACTACAACGACCACTGTCGACATACCCGATGCCAACGACCCCGGACCCAATTGGAATAGTCGATCTTATGTGACGGGCCCGGGGCAGAATGACGAAGAAGCACTTGTGGCTACTATCGAAGAAGAAAATTCTCGGTACATGGATCACATATGCGTGCGGCAGGAAGTGCATGTAGAGACAAATTAAATTGAAGGAAAATATACGGACCCATTCGCAAGTAGGAGATTTTTTTTTTCGAATGATTTTATCAAAGAAACTCGACTCTCAACCTTTGTTCCGTGCTTTGTCGCTTCCCAGCTATTCCGTCTTGAGTGCTGTTCATGTATGTTAGGAGGCAAGTAGGTTGCTATGCGGTTGGAGGTCCTCGAAAATGCTAGTCATTTGAGAAACTATAATGTGTTGAATATAATATAGACATGGGTATAAGAATACAACCGGTATCTGGCTGTCTCAGAGGACGGGGAATGGCTTGGCCTCACAATCAGACCCATCGCATCCGTCCCCGGTTGGCCCATTGACTGACTACTACTAAGTATACCCTGCCATTGACCAACGAGATCTCTTTGAGCTAGGATGTACATTGTCCTTGTTCGTCAGATGACCTTCACCACGACAGCGAGAGATGCTCGTATGGAGCCCCTTTGCAGGGGAAGGTGCCATCCAAAGGCAGAAGGCCGAGTGGCGTTGTCCACCGCGTGATGCTGGGATTTGGAGTGAATTGAATTCAGTACCTTTTGCCTCGTGCCAAGCAAAATTCCCCACAGAAAGGGAACCAGCTCGTTGGCTTGCCACCGCAGCTCGAACTTTCGCACTCGCTCTCGGTGCTTACTGTTGTTGGTGCCCACGGGATCAAAAAATGGGCCTTGTCCAATTCAAGTATCTGCGGAGGCGATCACTCATCGCTGCGGTTGATCTCGCCTTTCTGACGTGGTTCAGTGTGTTGCTACAGTATGGCCTGGATTCCAATACACGCCGAAGACAATGATTATTTTTTCCCCCTTGAGAATCTATTAGATAACCAGTTCCCTATCAGATCAACCATCGCGTCCAAGGAGCGACGAGTTGCAATGCGTGCTGTTAGTCAAGTTTTGGGCGGGTTGCGTGCCCACTGCAGCCAGGTGCAGCCGTGGCACCACAACAACATCCAGCCCTGGATTGGGTGGTGGGACCAAGATATGAAATCCTGGATCTATTGGCACGGAGGCGTTTCCGGAGCCTCCCGTGTGTACTACCTGCAGAGTCAATTCCTTCGGACATCTGGGGTAGGATCCAAACTGACCAGTTGGAACGATGGTTTGGCAACAGGGGGTCTCCTCAGAGTTTCCAGGAAAGAAAGGAAGGGACTAATCGAACCAGGCAGCTGAACCACAGAAAATAAAGGAAAGAGAAAAACAAAAGCACACGACAAACATTGAAAATGACATATTTACAACAAGTTAGAGGGAAATCACTACGGGTGGGGGATGGGAAGGTCGATCAACGGAGGACAGTCTGAAACTCGCGGACATGAATGCATGACGCGACGATTTCTTCCCCACCCAAGCTTCATTCCACAGGCCTATGAAAAGCGTCTGCATGCAGAAAAGAGGGGGATCAACAGCATTCTAGGTTGGTTGTTCCCCAGGATTTCTCCGCAAAGAATGTTTAGGGTTCCGTGGATCGGGTGACCGAATCGGCCAACCGCATTGTCTGATCGTCTCGTCATATGATCCAGCGCATGACGTCTTCCATCAATCCACCAAAGACCCCAAAGAATGAAGGAAGTGAACAGTTGTTGCTCAATGGAAGTCAATAAATACCGGTCGTTTCCCCCCCTCCTTCCTGCCTGATCAGTTCATTACTTCCTCACCTACTTGATCAATCTTCAGTGACAATTCGAGGCTAATTGCCCTCTTATACTATCCTCTTTCCCGGGTCTAATTTCACCACCCCCCACACACCATATACATCATGGAGGACATGAACAAATACAATTCCAAATGGGTCGAGTTCCATATTCGGGATCACCTCAAGGACGGCGAGATCTCCGTGCGACACACCGTTATCGAAGAGTATGTGCACTCTTTCGTTCGACCATGGCCATTGCTAACCTCTCTGTAGCGGCGAGTTCCACAATCCCAACGATCGTAGAAAATCGCTCCATGAAGACGAGATCGACGATATCGTGATCCCGGCCGACGGCATCGGCGAGATCTGTGCTCACGGACGTAGAGGCAGTGAAGGTCGTCTGGACCTGTTCCATGGCGACTCCAAGATTTGCGAACTCCACTGGGACAATCGCGAAGGCAGACTCGTCAACCTGGTCGAAACGTTGGACAATAGTGACAAGTACAGGGTCGAGCATGGGGGATGGAGCCCAGAGGCAGGACCTCTGGGCCATGTTTACGTGGATGTATGGGACAAGGACAAGAGCAAGAGCAAGTAGTCTCTCCCCCATACCTGATGGTGTAGTCTTGTACGGATGTAGTCTTTTTTTCTTTCCATTTTCAGTTCGACTTTTTTTTTTTTTTTTTT